AATACTTTTATAGCTTTCTAAATTACCTCAGCTCTTTTTAAAGTAAACAGCATAAATAAAAAGTTAAATATTATCCAAAAATAAACTTTAAAAACAAAAAATATAAATATAAATTTATCCAGGCTAGCTATATTATTAATAGCTTTAAAAGCTATTTAAAATATAAACTTTATAAAAAACATACTTAAAAGCTTAATATATAAAATCTTATATACCTATTAAATAAAAGTATAATATTGCTTAACCTTTTTAACAAACTAATAAGCCTTAATAAGCACTTATTTATAAATAATTCTTATAATTTTAATAATACTTTTAAACTCTATAAAAATAAAGTTAATACTAGCATTATAAATAATATAATTAGAAGGTTTAAGGTAAATATCAATCTATACTAAACATAAAGCTTTCTATATATCCTTTACTAATAAAAATAAAATAAAAACGCTTAATTTAAAATAAAATTACTAAATTAACCATATATAAAACTAGCTTATTACTTAAATATATAATATTAATAATAAGCTTATAGTTAAAATCTAAATTATTTTTAAAATTAAATTTAAACTTTTTTAAAGCTAAATTATAAAATTAATAATAATAATAAAACTTAAAAATTATTTTTAAAGTAAAAAATTTAATAATATACCTAATATTAATTAATAAATAAATTAATTGCTTAATAAATAAATATTTAAAATAATAATATAATTATTTAAGCTTAAATTTAATTAAAAATATATCTTTAGCTTAATTTTTAATAAAGATAAAAAACTATAAATATCCTTATTTTTATATAATAAAAAAAGTTTTTTTTTACTATCCTAGTTTATATTAAACTATCTTATTTATAATATTTTAAAAAAAGATAAAAAGTTAGCTTATATTTTAAATATAAAATAAAAAAAGAATAAATATATTAATTATATAAAAAGTAATTATTTTAATAAATATAAAAAGAAAAACTATATTAAATAATATAAGCTATAAGCTTTATCCAAACTTAATAAAAGCTTTATTAGCTTAAAAAATATTTATTATTACAAATAAATCCTTTTACTAAAAAGTAAAAAGTTATTTATATTTAATAGTAAAAAATATTACTACTTTAGTATTTAAAATAATACTTTAAAACTTTATTATTAAGTATTATTCCTTTAAAGCAAAAATATTAGTAAACTTTAAAATATTCTTATTTATAAAAATATTTATATTAGGAAATATTAAATATAAAAAGGTTTAATTAATAAAAAAATAAATTATTTACCTTTTATTTTTATTATTTTTAATATTATAATCCTTAAAGTTTAAACTTTTAAAATTAGCTAAAAATATTACAAAATTAATATTAATAACTTTTTTACTATTATTTTTATAAATAGTAAAGTAAATTATCCTTATCTAATAGTATTTTTTAAAGCTATATTAAATTAACCAGTACCCTTTCTTATTATATATAAAGTATTTCTTTTTTTTATTATTATTATTTTAATAACTATCTTACTATAAAGCTTAATAGCTGCTACAGCTATAAAAATTACCTTAGCTATTATAATAATTATTATAAAAACTACCTTAAAAGTTATTATACTAAAAGTAATTATTATAATAATTAAAATTATTATATTATTAATTAAAGTATAACTAGTTATTAGCTTTTTCTACATCCTTATTACCTATATTAAAAAACTAAGTATTAATACTTATATTAGTATTAAATAATGCTTATAAGTTAAAAAATAAAGTCTTAATTAAAGTTAAAATAATATATAAAGTAAAGCTAAACTTTAATATATTTTTAATAGTTTAAAATATATTATCTCTTAAAAGTTAATTATTATACTTATTATACTTAAATATTTAAAAATATAAAATTATTTTATCAATCAATATCTATAAAATTTTAATATAGCCTTTATTTAAATACTTCTACTAAAAATTAAAAAAAGTTATAATATTCTAATTTATATAATAATTTTAATAATTTATATTAATATTAAATTAAAATTTAATTTTATAATAAACTTTAGTAAAATTATCTAATTTATTAATATTATATAAATAAAAAATTTTAGTATTACCTTTAAATATAAATAAAAAAGCTATTCTAAACTAATTAAGCTTAATTCCTAAATTCTTATAAATATTAAAAAAAATTAAAACTTTATTATTAAAAATATTATATAGCTATTTAATATATATTTTATTATTTTAATAAATTTTATTAAAATTTACTATTATAATAAAATCTAATAGTTTATTAATAATTAAAGCTAATAAAAGTATTAAATAAAAGTTAAAACTCTTAAATATATCTATAAATTTAATAAAATTATTAAAAAAAAAAAAATTATCATAATTATTATTATCTAAAAAGTTATTATTACTATTTAATAGTAATAAGGGATTATTACTATTACTAAATTTATTATCCTTTTTTTTCTTCTTTTTCCACTCCTTCTCCTTCTTCTTTTTATCCTTATCCTCTTTCTTCTTCTTCTTCTTATCCCTCTTCTTCTTTTCATCCTTATTTATCTTAAAATTAAAAAAGAAAAACAATCTATTATTAGAATCACTATTAATCTTCTTCTTTTTTTTCTTAAACTTATCCTTAAAAAACTTCTTATTAATAGGCTTTACTATCTTCTTTTTCTTCTTTTTCTTCTTCTTTTCCTTCTAATTAAGTTTATCCAAATTAAAATTATCTACATTAAAATAATTCTTTATATTAAAATAATACTAATAGCTAAGTTCTTATTCTTTTTTAGTTTTAAATTACAACTAAATATAACTTTATCTAAACCTTAATATTCCTAAAAAGTTATTACTAGCTATATTAAAAAATTTATTAACTTAAAAATAATTATTAAAGCCTTTAAATATCTAACTTTTTTATTAAAATCTATAAAAATACCCTTAATATATAAAGTCCTCTTAAGCTTAAAAGTATAATTAAATATAATACCCTTAAAAGTATTTTTTAATTATTTAGTAAAGTTATTTTAAAAGTATTTAAAAATTATTTTTAATTATAAATATTTATAATTATTAATATAAAATATAATAAAAATATTAAAATAAACTAGTTTACTATTAAAAATAATAAACTATTTTTATAAAAAAAAGTTAAATTATTTTACCTAATAATATTTAAAATAAATACTATTTTATATAATATTAAAAAATAAATTATACTTTAATAACTTATTTTTTAATAGTAAAACAGATTTAATTTTATTATTTATTATAATATTAATAAAAGTTATTAATAATAAAGTATTAGAATAAAATAAGTAAATAAAAAGTAAGTATTATATTATATAAAAAAGTTAAAATTTTTATAATTAATAAAAGGGTTATAAATAAAAGAAATTAAGTATAGCTATATTTAAAATTATTTACTAAATATATAGTAAATATATATAAGTAATAACTTCTCTTTTATATATTATAGCATTATTAAAATATAGTAAATTTGCTTATTAATAAAAATAAATAAAAAGTTTAAAGCTTAATAAAAGTTAATATTTAATTTAAAGTATAATAAATGCTTAAAATAATTAAATTAAAAAATATACTTACTATATTTAAATCCTTTTAATCGCATAATAATTTATTAATATTTATAAAAAATACCTATAATAAATATAAGTTTATAAATATAAATAAATATTAATATAGTTACTTTATAAAAAGTATATATAAACAATATACAAATCTTAAAATAGTAAACTATTTCTTTTTATATTTAGCTATTTATAATTGCCCTTATAATTATTAATTAGTATTAGCTAAGTTATATATTTAAATATAATATGTATTTAAAAATATTAGTATTTATTTAGGTATAGGTTGCTTATTTAGTTATAAAAAGCAGCTAAAGGCTACATCCCTTTAAGGCCTACTTATAGCTATAAGCTTAATAAACTAATCAGCTTGCTATAAACGCTAACACTACAATTCACACAGTTAATAAGTTTTTTTATAAATTAAAAATGTTAAAAGCTAGCTAATTAATACTAAGTTTAATAATATAGCGCTCTACTAATAATGCTTAAAAGGATTTAACACTAATAACCTTTATAATTAATATTATTAGTACTTTACCTAATAATTTTTACTATAGCAAGTTAATAAAATAGCTTTCCAAAACCTTAACATTACTTTTAACATTTTCTAGTAATAAAGCTATTTTAAAAGCAGAATTGCTACTATTAGCTACTTTTAAGCTATTTATACTTTCTTTAAAAACAATTACACTCTTATCCAGCCCATTAACAACTTCCTCCGCATTTTCCGCTATACACTAAGCTATATATTTAATAGCAGTTAATTTATTCCTAATAGTTTTTAAAACAGCCCCTAATATAATCCTTTTACTACACTTTTTCTACTATACAGTCTATAACCTATTAATAGCTACTTTTACTATTAGCTTATATATATATATCTACTTAAGCACTATTATATAATTATTAATAAATTACACAGTATAGCGCTATAAGTAAGTTTTTTATAGTAATAAGTGCTTAAATACTGCTTTAAGGGTTAATTAAAATATATTAGCTATAAATTTAAATAAGTAAGCATTATCTCTAACTAAAGTAAACAAAGGCTACACACCTTTATATAACATGCAGGCTCTAATTTTATTATTTTAAGCTATAAAAAAAGTACGCCTAAATAGGGTTTAGCAATAATACACTGCTATTAATAACAATAGTAACCTTATAAAGAGGGTATTTATAAGTGCCTAAGCCCGTTTACAAATTTTAGTGGCTAGCGCAGGACTAACTCAAATAACAGGGGGGGGGGCTCATTTTGCTTTCCACAGACAGAGGCTGCAGTAACAATAGCCTGCAGCATACAGTAAAGATCGATTGCTGTCGTCATAATATTTACTTGTCTAAGCCTGGATAGCTACCCCTCAGATGTCCACCACAAGGCCCCCAATTGCGTTCTATAGACAGAGTTCTGCGAGTCAATAGGCATATAGCAGACTATGCATCCTTACTGGGCAGGACGGCGCCCAGGAACCATCTTCTGTTAATCACGTAGTCCATCGCCTCAGCCCACTTTGGGAACAAGCCGTCCTTCAGGACGCCCGTCATGCGTGCGTAATTTCTCACGGCCTCGTCCTCTTCTTCCGTTTTGACCGCCCACTTGTCATCTGGACCGTACACCATCCAATTCCCCTGCCCGAATCTCTCCCACGGGTCCTTGCCATGAGCAAAGTGGATGAAATCTGCGCCCAGCTTTCTCGACAGGTTCATCTCCTCATCTGTCATCTTCTCTTCCAGCGTTTGAAACACAAACACCAGCTCAACCGCATGGTGAGCCAGTCCTTTGAACGAAGTCTCTAGCTGAGAAAGCTGGTCAAAATGGTATGCATACGTTCTCTCTACCTTCGACGCATGTGCGTGCAGGTAGGTGTGCAACCAGAATAGCCCTTCTGTCGCCATCTTCTCGAAGCGTAGGTCGAGCTCCTCGTGGGATAAATCGTCTGATATGCCGTACCTCTGCAGCACATCCGCGGCATGTTTCTCTCCCAAAAACCCACTGAAGTGACCCAGGATGGATGCGTAGTCCTGATCGTGCAAGGAGCCACGGAACATTGCCGCCTCGTCCTTGACATCACCAATCATGTACCCTTGTAGCCACTCCGGCGGCGAGATTATCCCCCGGTCACTCATCGTTGGGCGCTGTGCGTGATACCAGCCATCTGCGCACGGATTCCCGGTCGCTCCCATTGAGCCCTCGATCTCGCAGGTCGCTGCGGCGATCGCCTTCTGCGGCGCGTCCCGCAGCGAAGCCAGTGCAGCACTGCCCGTACTCTCGATTTTGAGATGTCTCAGCAGGCCCCGGAATCGCCTCTCGTGCTCCTCGAGCGACCAGACCGGAATCGTGTTGATCGTGCCTGACATGCTGATAGCGCGGGCGAACGGCGCCGGCTCGCGTGCCCATATCTGGTGGGCGACGCTCATGCCGCCCGCGCTTTCCCCGAAGATCGTGACGTTCTCGGGATCGCCGCCGACGTTGGCGATGTAGCGGTGTACCCATTGCAGCGCCGTCTGCTGGTCTGTGAGGCCGAAGTTGCCGACGCCCTCGAGGCCGTCTGCCTTGAGATCGCTGCCGATGGCTTCGGAGGCGAGGAAGCCGAAGAGGCCGACGCGGTAGTTGATAGTGACGCCGATGATAGGAGAACCAATTGAGGCCGAGTAGTCGACCAGCTTCACCATGTCGTAGCACGGGTTTGTGGAGGAGCCGAAGAGCAGGGAGCCTCCGTGGATCCAAACCATGACGGGAAGATTCTTGGTGTGCGAGGCGTGCGGGAGGACGATGTTGAGGTTGAGGCAGTTCAGCTCATCTTCAACGTCCTCCTTGAAATACGGGATGGGCGGCACAGGAACCAACTCGCTGCCCCAGGTATATTCAGGTGGTTGTGGGCATATTGGGCTGTCATCGTCAGAAGAGTCTGCCCGAAGCAGTGATTTTGTTCAAAATCTTACCCATGTTGAGTACCGTCATGTAAACCATTCGGCAAAGACGTGTTCAAGACAGACCGAGTCCATCGTTTCTTGAGTGTGGCATAAGGAATGCCACGGAATTGACGAGCTCCACTGGGGTATACAAGACCCTTTACATCTCCAAAAGTTGGGATGTGGATGGTTTCGGTAGAAGATGGTGTTGGAGGAGGCATGTTGGGTGCAATTTGTTGGAATTGTAATACGGCGGGCGGAATACGACGTTTTTTACATATTCTACACCAGATTGACGTGAAGCCAGAACTTATACTTCCATCCGTATCTACCTGGTGATCAATGCAATATGCTGGCCTCTGCTCACAGTGCAGCGCCGGCTTCGACGGCCCCTAGATTATCCCGTCTATCCCTTTTTGGAAGTCGTATGCGCCGGATGGGAACTGCAGGGATCTGAGCTGGCGGGCACAGATTGGGCGCACCCCATGTTCACTCACGCCTCACACCTAGTCTCTCAACGAACTTGTCTTATCAAGAGACAACTCTAGTATCCTTCTTCAGCAACCATCTGTACAGCCCCATGCGATCTCTGGTGTGGAAGCGAGCGATGAGCGAGATGGATGAAGGACAAGGCCCTAGGATTCAAAGATTCGAAAGTAAATCCGAAAAGGGGATCTCAAGGACGGATTGCAGTTGAGATGTGGAAATTGAATCTAGGTTTCCTGCTGCCACTTCCTCCTTCCACCAGGGTGATGAAGACAGTGTGCTGATCAGGAGATTGACATCGCCTACTAGTGATCACTCAACATCTGTCTCACACAGCAGTCCGTTTATCATTTTTGGAGAGACTGGGGATCAAATTCTCTTCTTCCGGCATGTAAGACACTTATTTTATTGCAGTTGACCGAAGGCTGCAGACTGATAGATAACCATCAAGACGACGGGGGCTCGAGGATTGGGGCAGGGGGGATAGCGGCGAATGCAAAGGGGTAGACACTACCTGTCGGGGAGGCAAAATGTCGAATATCTTCTTTATTAATATAAATTGTTTGTTTCTTTGTGTGGTATAGCGACATGTACACAAGCTCGGAATTGGATATCCGTTCTCTCGTTGCGATGGAAAATGTACATACGCCAGTTTTCAACATTGCGAGGACGCGAGTAATAGTCTCTTGACTATTTAGAGCTATACTGCATGAAGCTGCAAGATTTTCTGATACACGTCCATAAGCTACCTCGAAATAACAAGGAGACGAAGGATACTTGCAACCTTTTGTGGCGTGGTGGTGAATGTGTGGGCCAGCTCGAGGCTCGTTTCGGAGCTGTGTGGCCGTGTGGTTGCTGTTTGGGAGCGGAGAAGCCCCAGCTAGAACGCCAACCTTCACGGAATTCACCGCGCATGACCTTGGATCTTCATTGCATTCTACATATGATAAAGGGAAGAAGCTAGATCAAAAAGATGATTCAATATATCGAACATCATTATTCACATTCATGGATATCTTGTGGACGCGAACGAGCGCATGCAAAAATTGGCGGGAAGCTGCCACCAACAGGATCTGAAGGGACGTCTGACACGCATACTCATTAACCTCTTAGTACCGATGTGAGATCAAGAAAAGCCGGCCTTGTCAATTGGACTATTTTTAGGGCAGGCATGTGTGTCCCTGCATGAAAGCACATATACTCGTTTAAAAGAAAAATCTGCGGGCGGCTTGCAGTTGCTTCCGACTTCTTCAGGCTCTTGGGTGGATAGAGAAAACTCGACATCCACCAGGTTGGCAAGACAACATAGCCGTAATCAATCTTGGAATCTGAGGCAAAGACAGAATACGAATCTTTGCTCGATGTTGTTTAAGCAAGTCTCCTTAAGCGGGCGACCCATTCAACACATTCCTCGAATAATGGTAAGAACAAGATATTAGAGGTTACAAAGAGTATGCTGAGCCACTGGGAACCGGATTCCGAGAGGTATCAGGCGCCCCTGCGCTGGCGAGTACCTGGACAGAGACAGATGTTGGCAGAGTCAAAACCAAGCGACGACCTGAACGCCCAGCGTTGTCGACAGCCTCGGCCCAAGAACAGACTTTCTTCAAAACAATTGATCTATGACGGCCACAATGCTAGAAATTGAAGACAAGGCTTGAGAATAAATCATGGTCCCCTTGTGGCCATCATCACGGAATGCGCACAATAGCTATCCAAGACAATAAGGACAGCTCCCGGAACAAGCCATCGGTCGCAATGCAGACCTAATTCGGCTCCGCAACAGTAGTTACACACGATAACGAGCTGTCACAAGGCCCCATAATGAATGCGGACCCCAGATCGTCTAGGCTCTTTACGTGATAAAGCTGTTGATGGCACGTTGGCCAGGAGTGATGAGCTCGTGTTCAAAAGCAACGTATGCACACGATGCACCAGCGGCGTCCAACGCCTCAGCCTGCCAGCCCATCAACACAGAGCAGAGATGCGATTGCTCAGCTGTAGGCTGAGGGACCTTGTCTGTTTGTTTCAAGGGGTCAAGGGCATCCAGCTCGGCCTAGCTTAGCACTCCTGCGCCAACCGCAACACTCTATAGCAAAATTTACGGGGAAACACAACCTAGTGTCTCGCGCTACGAGCTGTCAGATTTCTTGAACACCATAAGGCTCGCCTTGGCCTGGCCGCCCTTGTCCTCGCGAGGCCCGCGATTGGCCCCGCGGGCGTCGTCGATAGGCAGGCTCGGCACGCATAGGCAGGCGGGACGGGGAGAGAAAGGGAGGGGGGCTTCCTCTGGGCTGGGGGAGAAATGTTTCACAGCCGGGTTATTTCTCGAAGACGTCAAGATCGCGAGGCTTCACCGAGGATCAGATGATCGATCTTTGAATTGAAGAGCTGCTTGAGGTTGCCGAACCCGCCGATTGGCCGTGTCTGGCAGGGTCCCTCGGTGGTGATGAAGCATTCTGAATCTCATACGCGCGGCTTTAGGGAAGGATCTCCAGTATCATCTTCCTCCACTTTGCCGAGGAGTTCTCGCAAGTTCGCACCTTGTTTACCCATGGACGAGGTTCGAGCTTTGATACTAGGGCCCGAAGTCGGGCGGCAAGTTGCGTCTCGCTCGAGTCAGGGCCAAGTCACGGAAGAAACAGGTTGGAAGGTGAATTCGGCTGTCGCGTTAGATTTGAACATATGTTATGTGTATGATGAGCTGCAGTGAGCTGTGCTTGGCTGGGCTAGAGGCACTGCATGGATGGATGGTAGGGACGTAGAGTAGGCCGACTGTTGTTAAGATGGGCGATAGGCGAGGCAGATCATTGCAACGCTGAAACGCGGATTGCTACCTCATCAACCAGTGCAACCGGGAGCACCCATCCATATGCTCATCCTGTGGTGGCGTCGCGCACAGGATTTGGGGCTCTGATGTTCCCAAGGTGGTGGGATTGGATGGGTTGATTGGGGATGGGATGGGCGGGCAGCCTGCAGCGAGCCAGCAAGCATAACCTAAAAAACGTTGCATACCGCAGCCGCACCATGGGCAACGACTGTTTGGTCGGGAACTTGTTTCATTTGCAGGGCTAAGAACCACTTATATGGGTGAGGGAATAGTGGGAGAGGGAGTGTGGTGGGGTTTTGGACTGCAGCAGCTGTGGAAGCTTGGATGGAAATTGTTGGGCCTCGTCGTCGTCGTCGTCTTGGTCGTGATCGATCCGTCGCCGTTGATGGGGTTGATAACATGGATGAGCAAGGCCTCCAGCATGGTAGAGCATGCTGCACTAACAGCCCGTGCAACGGGCCCAGCGTGTCGGTGCTAGTGCACAGTCCCTGCGCAGGTGCGGCTGGACCCGTGTGGCTAGTCCTAGAAAGGCGACTGTCGCGACTGATTTCCCCCAGTACCCAAATTTGCATCGGCTGATGTCCGCCTTCGTGCTATGAATCCGTTCGTCTCCATCCGTCAAATCCCATGACCGCCACAGTCGCCGTGACCGTCCTTTTCCCAGACAGACCCCTGGCCTGGCCAGCTCATCGAACTGGCTGTTCTGCTCAGCTCTGTCGTGTTCACTGAACATCCAAATTTATCGAATGACTTATCCTTGACGGCTGCCCATGCCCGCCGCAAGCGCATTGGCATTCTCGCGGCGGGCGCATCGTCTCATCTCTCGCGGAGCTAGACGGTATTCAGAGACCAGCTTGCGAGCCTGTCACGTTTGAAAACACCGGACGACACCCTCAATGCCCACCAGTCTGACTCCAATAAAGCTTCAACAGTTTCCAACTCGGCCGTGGACAGCCGCTCGGCATCTCGGGAAGGGGTCCACCCTCTACGTGAGAATCACGAAATACATGCTTTACATAGGACGTCCCTGGTAGCTTGTTTCCCGTTGTTTCTAAGCTGCCCCAGGGCTGTTATAATAACAACAACACCAAGGATGATCTCACTCCCCGGGCTGCATGCATTCTATGCTGAAGATCAGACCGGCGAGTCTCGCTTCAGAAACATACTTTTGCAGGCCTGGATGGTGGTGTGGGTCGTTGTGGTGTGTTGCAACGTCCTTTGCTATGCAGGGCTGGGCAGGGCAGTCGGAATGTAATGTGTATACGACATTACATTCCGATCCTCACCTTCTCTCCTGGCGAAACAACGAGCTCTACAAGCCAGAATTAGTTACTGACGAAGCAATTACTACAACTGCGGCAAAGACGTTGAAGAATGGTCCGGCATATGATACACGACACTAAACCTCGCCCTCACTAGCCGCATTGCACTCGCATTCGGGCCGGACAAGGCACGCTTGCCACCCTCCAGTCGGTGCAGGTTTGCCGAGGTACGACTCTACTAGAACGACTACTACAACACACGCGCTCGATGTCGATCTTGGTCATCAGGGCCATGGACTCTCCCTCCGACTGGTCCAGGTTGTCCAGGGGGCAAAAGTATCTCTCCTTTCCCACACTCACCAAATATTCCTGCCGTCTCTGCTTCCTGTAATTTCGCCATCAAGACCATCAAAACCATCAAGCTGCGTTGTACTGTGCACACAGTAAATCGCTGGCCACCGACCCGCATCAAAACCGTGGGGAAAGGAAATTCCCAGAAAGGGTAACCTTGCTTCCGCCCAAGGCGGTCGGTACATGGTACAAGTACAAGCGCTGCGTACAACGGACTCCTTGCTCGACTTCTCTCAATCTTTCCCCCACAAGGTCTTCACCTGCTTCTCGACACCACTGCACCGGCATAAATAAAGTTGCACCTTACTTCGCGTCCGACCTCATCTGTTAGGGCTCTTGTTGCATTGTTTCATTCTTCTCTTGTCCATTACAAGGGCACCCTGTCAGGCAGAAGCAAGGAGCCAGGCTTTAGCAAAGAGAAGACGAACCGGCCTGTTACCACGGCGAGCAGGCATTGCCTGTTGAGACCTTGAGCCGTACTCTTGGCCCATCTGCGCTCGTCTTATTGCTATATACTTGTCCACTCCTCGACCAGCGACGCCGATTCTCACCATGTCTTCATACGAAAAACCCAGCCTATTCGAAATGGACGCCGACAAGATCAAGATGTTCATGCAGATCTTGCCCAAGCTGCCTCTGATGGCACGGGTGGTCTTGTTGCACATGCTTCAGATGTCACCTCCGAGCAAATATGTCGACATGAGGACCGAGTTGACCGTGGCCGTTATACGGTCCTTCCTTACTCCCTCAAAACCCACTACCATATCCTCGACACAGAAGCTTCTCAACAAGGACCCCGGCGTCAAGGGTCGTATCTGGGTGGCCAAGTACACAGCACCCACCCCCAAGGAGACCAGCATGCGCGATGTTGTCGTTCGTGCCGTCGAGAATATGCGCCAGCCCAGCAGCAACGGCAGTCCGCCGCCGCCACTGAAGGATGTTGAGTGGCCCGAGACTGCCCCAGTCGAGGCCGAGTGGACAGGCTACCGAGCAGGCGCGACACCCCAGTCAAGGCTACCGCCCATCACCGAGGCTGAAAAGTACTCGGAGATGATGAAGGAGGTGAAGAGCCCAGCTACTATCCTTTATTTCCACGGCGGCGCCTACTACCTCATGGACCCTGCCACTCACCGGCCGGGGACAAAGAAGCTGGCAAAGATGACTGGCGGGCGATGCTACTCAGTGCGGTACAGGCTGGCGCCCCAGAATCCTTTCCCGGCAGCACTTATCGACGCGCTGCAGTCGTACCTCACTCTGCTGTACCCGCCTCTGGGAGCTTTCCATGAGGCCGTCAAGCCAGAACATGTGGTCTTTTCAGGTGACAGGTGAGTGATTCCATTGCTTTTGTGAGGCTCATCTCTTTGTGATGGCAGTCAGACTGATAGAGAAATGTAGCGCCGGAGGCAACTTGTGCATGGCCCTTACGCAGCTCCTTCTTGAGTTCCAAAGGACTAACACCAAGATCCAATGGTTCGGCCAGGGGGTCACCGCCCCTCTCCCCGGAGGCGTGGCCCTCAGCTCCCCATGGCTGGATCTCACGCACTCCTCACCATCGTGCAAGAACAATGCCGCTTTCGATTATCTCCCCATGCTCCAGGGCCTCGAAAAGATGGAACGGCCGTCCTGCCCAGCGTGGCCCGCAAAACCGCCACGGAAGATGCTGTACTGCGCGGACGCATTCATCGCACACCCCCTGGCGTCTCTCGTCACCGCAAAGAGCTGGGCAGGATGCCCCCCGGTGTACATTTCCTGCGGGTGGGAGCTGCTTGCCGACGAGGACAAGTACATGGCGGTCAAGCTGCACTCGGACAAGGTGCCTATCGTATTCGAGGAGTTCGAGGCCATGCCACACTGCTTCCCCATGGTCTTCATGGACAGCCCTGTGTCCACGAGGTGCTTCGACGCGTGGACGGGCTTCATCAAGGACGTCGTGGAGCATGGGCCCTCGAGCGTGGAGACGGCATTCAGGACGCTCAAGGCCAAGACGCTCAAGGAAGTCGACGTTGACCCGGCCAAGCTGAGCCCCTACACCGAGGCTGAGCTGCGCGAGAGGCTAAGAAACCTAGGTAAGGAGAGGGCGCCAGCCAAGGCGCCAGCGGACGTGGCTGCGAAACTATGAGGACTTAAGTAATATTTCAGGGCATGATTATTGCATGATTTATGGTTCATGACGGGGGTTTGGTTTTTTGCATGGATTTTCATCCGATTACAAGACGGCTTTCTCAACTTTGATATACCCAGTATGAGAATGATAATTATCAGCGGATGTAGCGACAGGACAATACAGGAAGATTTTGGCTGCAGTCTGAAATAAATGAATAAAATAATCAGAGTAACGTGTTGGAGTTTGGATGATATTAGTATGTGATGAATCTTGCCGCGTCCACATGCTGGGACGTCGACCTGATGAGTGGATTTCGAATACGAAAGCTACTGCACGCACCCTCGAGATTTACTTACACATGCAAATAATGCACGTACATTTTCGTAGATTTCTAGAAAAAAGGAAACAAAGTCCTAGCGGTTCGGACCCGAACGTGGCAACCAATGTGGGGTGCATCAATTCCACTCGGAGGATTTTCGAAGGAGTGCGTGCTGCGTAGCGACTCACTCGTGTTCGCGTCCGGGGCCAGCTGCCGAAAACCTTAAACTTGCTTCTTGCTCCGTGCCACACCAGACAATCCAACGAATCACCCGGACGTAGGCTGGGGTGTGTGTGTTACACACGCATACAGACGAGGCCAGGCCCATCATTCAGCCAAGCCACAACCGCCACTGTACGACACGATGGAGCGCCACCGCGCCCTGGTGCAGAAGATCTCGTCGACGGTGCGCGCCTTCTACAACGCCAAGGAGCCGTACCGCATCTTCCACGGTAGCACAAACAGCACGCGGCCGCAGCCCCACGGCCGTGGCGCCCGCGTCGTCGACATCTCGGCCCTGCGCGATGTCCTCTCCGTCGACGCGAGCAAGCGCACCGCCCTGGTGGAGCCCAACGTGCCCATGGACCGGCTCGTCGAGACGACGCTGAAGCACGGGCTCGTGCCGCCCGTCGTCATGGAGTTCCCGGGCATCACGGCGGGCGGCGGCTTCGCCGGCACGGCGGGCGAGTCGTCGTCGTTCAAGCACGGCTTCTTCGACGACACGGTCGCGTCCGTCGAGGTGGTCCTGCCGGACGGCGAGGTCGTGACGGCCGCGAACCCCAACACCGCAGCCGGCGCCGAGGGCAAGCACGCGGATCTCTTCCGGGGCGCGGCCGGCGCCGTGGGGACCCTGGGCGTGACGACGCTGCTGGAGCTGAACCTCGTGGCGGCCAAGAAGTTTGTGCGCACGCGGTACCGGCGCACGGGCAGCGTCGCCGAGGCGGTCGCCGCGGTGCGCGAGGAGACCGCCCGCGCCGAGAACGACTACGTCGACGGGATCCTCTTCTCCAAGGACCACGGCGTCGTCATCACAGGCCAGATGACGGACGAGAAGCCGGCCGCCGCCCCCGTGCGGACCTTTTCTCGCGCGAGGGATCCGTGGTTCTACATGCATGTGCAGGAGCGCACGGCCTCACCATCACCATCATCATCACCATCATCATCCAGCACCACCACGACGGCGGCGGCCAGCAGCGAGGACCAGGACGAGTACATCCCGCTGGCCGAGTACCTGTTCCGGTACGACCGCGCGGGGTTCTGGGTGGGGCGGGCCGGGTGGACGTACTTCAAGCTGGTGCCGTTCAACGCGCTGATGCGGTGGTTCCTGGACGACTTTCTGCACACGCGGATGTTGTACCGGGCGCTGCACGGGTCGGGCGAGAGCGCGCGCTTCATCGTGCAGGACGTCGCCATGCCCTTCTCCACGACCGCCGACCTCGTCGACTATACCTCGGACGAGCTGGGCATCTGGCCGCTGTGGCTATGCCCGCTGAAGCGCCGCGCGCCGCCGACGTTCCACCCGTACACGACGACGCCTGGGCGGGCGCCGGAGGAGAAGGAGGACGACATGATGCTCAACGTCGGCGTGTGGGGCTGGGGCCCGGAGGACCACGGCGAGTTCGTGCGGGCGAACCGCGCCCTCGAGGCAAAGGTCCGGGAGCTCGGCGGCATGAAGTGGCTGTACGCGCACACGTACTACGACGAGCCTGAATTCTGGGACATGTACGGCGGGCGCGAGTGGTACGACGCCCTGCGCGGCAAGTACAAGGCCGACGAGGCAGGCCTGCCCAGCGTCTATGACAAGGTCAAGGTGGACCTGGAGAAGAACAAGTCGCGGAGGAGCGGGCTCAAGAGTGTGTGGCCCTTTGGGGGCATCTATGGCATTTACAAGAGCATCAAAAGCAAGGACTATGTGCTGCACAGGGACGCAGGTTGGAAGTGGAAGGGGGAGGAGTGAGGCGAGGCGCGGTAATGGCGCGAGTCTGCTTGATTTGGCGCACTAAAAGATATTTACGCATACTGCATCGGTGCTACATGGCCTGATAGAATTAGACAGGGCAGCGGGCTTCTCAGCCTGGCTAAAAAGAGTGGTTGGTAGAACTGCGTCACAAAAAAGGACATAAGCATGGGGATAGTAAAATGGTTGAGTTACTAGATACTGATAAGTTCCAGTGCTCCCATAATGGGTCTATGCTCTAGTATAGATGCTCCCCATGAACGTTCAAACAATCCCGTCATATATACATGCTGGCCATATATCCGTCAATTGGCCATTCATGAGACGTAATTAATTAGTACAGGCGATTGGCCTGCAGTTCGTCGCGCGTCGCTAGTCACCCAAAGCAGTAGTAATCTGAATTTCTCTTGCGCCGGGGCCCGTCTCTTTTCTTCTCGGGTGAAGTTACCATCCCGAGGCAGACGCCTCCCATTCTATGCGTTTTAGACACCAATGTCTAGTACTGAAAAAGTGTAAAAGTCGTCTAAGCCTTGACAGAGTAAGACCGTTGGAACATGTCGTTGACCTCCTCGAGGTAGTAGGTGCCAGAGACGATGGTCGAGGCATCGCCCTCGGGCTTGAAGTTCTTCTGCAGATGCGCCTTCTTGCGCAAATCACACAGCTAGCAGGGTTGTTAGCACTGAGATGTCGCCATATGGACGGATAACAAACTTACAGCATCGTAGGCCTCGGGAGCAACCTTCCTCCTGGCCTCCAAGCGGGCAGGGAGGTTCAGAGTCTTGGAGATCTTCTCCGTGTTGCCCACAACCTTGAAGGAGGTGAAGCTGGCAGCCAGGCCGGAACCGTAGCTGAAGAGACCAACCCGCTTGCCCTCAAGGCTGGAGGCGGGCACGAAGGACACCAAGCTGGCGAGGCCGCCCCAAACACTACCGCAGTACATGTTACCGCACAGAGTGGCAACTTGAATGGCGGGGTTGACACGCTCCTGGAACCTCTTCTTGGAGAGGGCCATGAAGGTCTTCTCCACGACCTTGTCGGTCAGAGACTTCTTGTAGTCCATATCCCTGATCTCCTTGGGCGCCTCAGCAAAGGCAGAGCTGTCAGGGTCAGCAAGGAAGTCATGGTACAGAAGACGGGCGTAAGACTTCTGGACCAGCTTGCAGGTAGGAGCATGGAAGGCCATGTAGTCGAATCGGTCAAGGGGGGTCTTGACGGGGCCGTCCGCGACACCGTTGCCGTTGGCGTGGCCGTTAGCAGCGCCGTTCTGCAGCTTCTTCTCCTTTTGGCTGTAGGAACGGTAAGCGGCATCCAGAGCCTCGGTGTAGCAGTTGATGGAGTAGTGGCCGTCGACGTATGGGTACTCGCTGGTCAAGTCAGGCTTGTAGAAGTCGTAGACGTGCTGCATGTAGGAACCACGCAGACCGGGCTCGGCGACGATGGGAGCGTCAGGCCCGACGAGCATGGCAACGCAGCCAGCACCACCCGAGGGGCGGGCGTTGCCCTTGGCATACAGGGCGATGTCTCCTGCAACCACGATGGCGTCCCGTCCGTCCCAGGCGGAGGACTCGACCCAGTTGACAGCGTTGAAGAAGGCGTTGGTACCTCCATAGCAGGCGTTGACGTTGTCAACACCCTCAATGTCGGTGTTGTCGCCAAACAGCTGCATCAGAACGGACTTGACAGACTTGGACTTGTCCAAGATGGTCTCTGTGCCAACCTCGAGGCGGCCAATGGACTTTGTGTCGATCTCGTACTTCTTGATTAGGTTGGAAACGGCGGTCAGGGCGAAGGAGTAGATGTCTGAGTAAGATGCTGTCAGCAAGATTGGTCCTGAGAATGATCTGGGTGCGTGCCCAAACATGAACAAGGGGGTCAGGGAGGAAGAACTCACCTTCGCGGTCATCGCAGAAAGCCATCTTGGTCTGGCCAAGACCAATTGTGTACTTGCCGGCACTGACGCCGTCGAACTGCTCGAGCTCGGATTGCTCGACATACTATTTTGGCACGAGAAGTTGTCAGCACGAGTCCAAATCCAAGACGTGACGAGCAATTGGCGCTGGTGCTGGGAGGCAGAACACGACGCGGAGGCGACATCGGGGCTAGGCGTGACGAGCAAGCACGTACCTGGCTGGGGAAGTAGATTTCAATGGCCTTGATGCCAATGTTCTGAGGACGAGAAGCCATGTTGAAGAGCTGATTGACAGGTATAGGGAGGTTTAGAAAGTTTCCGCGGGGGTGAGGAAGAGAAGAGAAGAGCAAGAAGCAGAGAGAGTGTCGCTCTGGGGGAGGGACAAGTTGTATGGTGGCAGAAATTGCGATGTTGGAGTGGGCTCTGGCAGATAAAATGCAGCGCGGTGGGTGTGGGTGGGCGGATGGTACATAGGATGGACGGAGGAGGGGTCCTGTCCTGGGGGGGTCCAATTTGTTAGCCCCTGGTTTCCTGCATGCGACTCGGGCTGGTTGCATAGGTTGTTGGGACCCTGTCTCCCCTTCTTCCCCTTGCCGCCTCAACCTCACCCTCACTAACACGAATAACAAGACTGACGGGATAAGCACAATACACCGCCCCTTCTGCCTTCTGGTGATTTCTGTCCCCAGGCTTGTCCCAAACAACCCTGACCAGGCCTTCAGAGGTGCATTCAGTCTTCTGCTGCCTACCCAACGCGTACCTTTTATATACGCAGTCACAGTCCTGCGAAAAGGCAGAATCTTTGACGGACTGCTGTGGTCTATATTGGGAGCAGTCCGCCACCTAGAGAGAGTGTATGTTTGAGAGAGAGGTCAATCGGGATCGGACGTCCGTCATTGAGGGCTCCCGGCTATAGAGAGCATATGCTTTCGTCTGATTATCTGTCGCTCTGTATGGGTGTGTCTGGCCAGCCGCCTGTCCGAGTCGAGTCGAGGGGATCCCAGGATGGTGCAGAACCGGTGGAGCTCAAGCTTCCATTCGCTGGCAGGTGGACACTGACTGGATGAATACACCGTGCATACTTCCACCTCGCTCACCTTGAACAGATAGATGCCTGTACACGTATATTGAAGTTACTTGGGGATAATCACTGTGTACTTGGTGTCGATCCGACCCGACTCGAGCTTGCCTGTGCGTATATGGCGCCAGCCGTGCAGCTCACGCGAGCTCTATGCCTGCGTCTAACCACAGCTGCTGCTTGGACATTCAGGTACCAGCCAGCTCAAAATTAACACGGCGAATTTAACGCCCGTTCCTACAGCAACAGCAACGGGAACAGTGACGGTAGTAGTGCACACAAAAGGCTGGTGGGTTGCACCATGCGTGCGAAACCGAGTACAAGATTGATTGTTCATCGGCCAGGCCAGAAACAGGAACGGGGTCGGGCTTGGTCGATTTGGGAAATTTCGGGCATGGCAATCGCGGGAAAAAATGCTAGCCTTGCTGCAGTGCTCCTACTCAGTCTGGACGCGGATTGGAGGTCGCTGGAGGTGCATGTCATATATGGTGCGATGTGAAATGGATAACGCCCCTTCCTTATCGATATCAGAGACACCCCTGCTTATCAGACCCCTGCCTGCCAGTGCCTGCCTGGTGTCTTGCCTGGTCTCTTGCCTGGTCTCTCTTGCCTCTGTAGTGAACCTGGTCCTTGGTGGTTTTAAGGTAAGAAACAGAGAACACAAGAGACAGAAGAAACAGACGACGTCTTGGCAGCGAGGCCGTATATCTGCGCCACTTAAGCATTCGCAATCTCCCTCGCCTCTGGCAGATCGCCTTCGTCATACCACGGTACGGACGCAGCACCTCTTAGGCCTTTCTTCATTTTTTTTCCCCTTAGTGCCGTTCCGCTAGTGCTTGGAGCAACTGTTCAGGCAGTCAATGCGGTGCGCCCGTTGAGCCGGTACGCAGGTCACATTGTGGTCCACAGCAGGCTACACTGACCTGACAGGCTATCCGCTGCAGTAGTGCAGTAGCTCCGTGCTAGATTGCTAGATGACAATAACGGACGGGAGGCACGTGTGGCACCGCATCACGCCCATCGTTCACGACGTCACCTTGCTAGCTTGCACGAGGTGGCTGAGCTCCGGATCGCCCCTCGCCTCTCTCTATCCGACACACGGCTGCTGGCTGCTCTGGCTGACAGCTCCCACGGGAGCTTGGTCCCTCCGACTTACCTGCATGATAGGCACATAGTCTGACTGCATCGCGTACTCACACCTTGGCTCGGACATTTCCCAATCTGGATAGCAACAACGGCTTCGATCTTTTCAACACGAGCATCAGGCGCCAAATCCGACCCACGGGGGAGAAAACTCTGCCGCAAGTGACGACGCCATGGGCCGTCCTCGGGCCATGTCACGAACTATCGGAATTATCAGATTTCATTTAATCTAATCAATCTCATCAACTTGCATCAAATCAGTGGATCAGAACTGCTCCTGCCTACGTAAAACCTGACCCACGATGCGCGCTAGAGTGCCAGCATCCGTGGCGTGGCCGTCTTTCCTTACCCGCGGGTGACATCGTCCAGCGACCAAAAAGCAAAGCAGCCACAGACGGACAACCTCGGGATTCCTTGCGGGCAAGAGGGCAGCACGAGTCTACGATATTCCACGATCGGAGCAGTCGAAGTCAATCATCGGGGACTACCCTATGCGGACTCCGAGGCCCTACGGACACAACATGACAGAGCATCTCGGAACTGCGCAGCCGGCGAACCTCGTCTGATGCAAGCCCGTTTCGGACCAGCACTGAGTTACCGGAACAGGTTCCATTACTAAGACGCAGCGATTCTCATGTCTAGCCAGCCCGTCATTACCAAATGCTGCATATTCTCGGGCTCCAGCAGCAGCAAGTCCCCGTTATGTTTCATCACAAAGCTTGTCTAAGTGGGCCATAAGCTGCACTATCACTTACACGACGGGAGAATCACATGTGGATTCCAGCCGCCCCCGCGGAATACTTGCTCACGGATTTTTACCAAGAACTACTTCATTTCTTAAAAGTTCTCCCTACTGTGACCTATTTCAGGTCCCTCAAGCTGATGCCCGATCTATCACTGGCTGGCTACCCATGAAGTGTGCGCGCCATGCACCGTGTTTCTTCTCTCTCCCGGTGTCTGATTCTCGAAATATGCCCCATTTCAGAACATACTCGCCTAGTAGTCGCACCTGTTCCCTAACATCCCCTCATGTCCTTCCAGCCTCGCCTCCATTTTGCTAATACTCGAACACCAAAAAATGTATAAAAAATGTATGGCGCAAAGGCTGTACCTCAAAAAATTCCGTCCCACCCGCCTCCACCCCGGCCTCTCCGAGTCCAGGTTGTACCGCCCAGACGGATCGTCCATCACCAGGGCTAGATCTGGGGATCGCTCTGGCGAAGCAGATCTTGTGGCAAGGCCACCTCGAAATCAAGCCCATGGGGCTGCTGCTCGTGTTTATCCAAGGCACCCCTCATTGTACCCATTTCGAATTGTGGGACTTCCCGAGCTGTGGTCCTTCCACCGGGTCAGTGCTCGGCGTTAGTGACTTACACCGAGAAATGCCTGGTAGCAAGCGAGTCCGACGTCAGGTGCAGTGAGAAAATATTCGGGCAGTGTCCGAACCTCTCTTTGTGCCTAGAAGTGCTGGTGTCGGCGTTCTATTCCGTTAATTGCAACGGTCAACGGTCTTGGATCCTTGCCTGTCCGAGGCCCGTTCTGTCCCAACTCATCGAGGAGGTGGCAAGCTCTGGAAGTATGATGCTCGCGGCCATTTGTCGCGCGTCAGGCTGCACTCCTCCTTCAGGGCCTCGATGAGCTCTCGATGAGCTATATCAATTTCCAAACAAATAGCCTCCATCTCTGACTGGGTCTCACTCCTGTCATCTCGGCAGGACGACCCAAGTGGCGCCATCTCGACGTCCTCCAGTTGCCGGCGTTTGGGAAAGAAGTTGTTGATCCACCGCCAGCCCGCCTCAACCCGCCTGGCCGAGAGGGTGTATGCATCGACGAGGCCGGCGTGCAGCAGGCCGAGGACCCGAGACTTCCAAAGACGCCCGCGGTGACGGGCCACAGCAGGATGGGCGCGAGGTAGAGCAAGCTGCTCCGCGGGAGGCGGCCCCGCCGCCATGCCTCTTGCCCGAACTCGTCTAGGCTGAGCCTGAAGAGGAAGAAGACCACGACGATGTAGGTGAAGAGTTCCGTGCAGATGACGGCGCTTGGTGGTGTTGTTGGGATCGTGTGGGCCATGGCGGGCATCTTGGTTTTATATTGACGAAAGGGGTGGGCAGCGAGAAGCGTGGCGTATGTTCTGGATCTGTATCTGGCATCGCCACTTTGTTGTCCATCGAAGGTGATTTGAAGACTCCCATTTTCTTCCAATTCTTTTTCTCTTGATTTCTGCGTGTTAGCGTGTTGGACAGGTCCGCGGTTTGGATGGACCTTGATGGCGTAGGCTATGCAGCTTCAGACTCACATATTGAAGGTAAATGCTTACTGTTGATGACGGACCTACTCTACTAATCGTATGCTCTTACAACTGGCGCATGTTGCCAGCAATACAAGTGAGAGCCACACAACACCGTCGCAGAGTAGACCATGTGGTCCTCTGAGGGTAGACAGCAAAGGGCCAAGCACCTAGCAACTGAAGAGATCACGATTTAAAGCACAGAAGGCTGAGACTTCCGAAAAACATCTCATTCATACATGTCTAGTCTTTCTATGGTATCACCCAAACGCCTGGAGGCTCTGGCCAAAGTGCTGAGCAGTGAGTAGTAAAATAAAGACAGAGAGCCGCCGCAAAAACAAGCCATCAAACACGCTCCCTAAGGGGTGCCATAGCCAGAATCCGTGCCCCGTGTCCGCGGCCTCCCCTCGTCGTCGACGCAGTCCTTCTCAATATCGACAAAACCGTCCGACTTCTCTGTCGCCGCCGAGGCCGGGGTTAGAAGTCCCTGCTCGCTTTTAACACCGTCGATCTTGATCTTGACGTCGGTCTTACCCTTATTCTTTGACCTCTTCTCCTTGTCCTTCTTCGCCTCAGCCTCCGACTCGGACTCGCTGGACGAGTCGCCGGAAGAATCAGAGTCGGACTCGCTGGACGACTCCTTCTTGCCCTTGCGGTCCTTCTTCTTGGATTTGCCGCCCTTCTTCTTGTTCTTCTTCTTGTCCTTCTCCTCCTCCTCCTTCTTTTTCTTGTCAGCCTCCTCCTTGGCCTTCTTGTCCTCCTCCTCCTGCTTCCTCTTATCCTCCGCGTCCTTCAGCTGCTTCGCGGCCTTGTCCTTCCTCGCCTGGACGACCCACTCCTCGGCGCCGCGGACCGCCCCCTCGGCGTCGCGCTTGTTCTTGAGCAGGTACCCCTGCAGCTCGGCAGGGCTGAACTCGTGGGCGGGGATGCGCGCGGCGAACTCGCCCGCCAGCTGCTCGATCTGGGCCGTGATGTCGTCGCGCCGGGCCTTGTCGGCTGCCACACGCCTCTTGACGTCCTCCGGGTCCCGCAGCGCCTCCGCCTCCGCGTCCGCGGGCTTATCGTCGCCCTCGAGCGGCGCGAAGATGGCCCGGAAGATGGAGCTGATCATGCCCGTGTCGGCCAGGTCGAACTTGACGATCATGTCCACTCGCCCGGGCCGGATCAGCGCCTTGTCCAGCTTGTCGACGTGGTTGGTCGTCATGATCAGGACCCTGCCCTCCTGCGAGGCGACGCCGTCCAGGATGTTCAGGAGGCCCGAGAGCGAGAGGCGGCCGTTGTTGTTGTTGTTATTGTTGTTAGTAGGGCCAGTGCCTTTGGTGAGCTGCCCAGGCTCCATTTCGTCATCTTTATTATCGTCATTGGTTTCCTTGGGCTTATTGTCCTCTCGAGTGTGCGTCAGCCCTGCCGTGTCGATGTCCTCCAGTAGAACCACACACCGCCGCGGCAGCTCGGCAAACAGCGTCGACAGGTTCTCCTCGTTGGAGGTCACGCTGCTCAAGCTGACAATGTAGATGCGCATCTTGAAGAAACCAGCCAGGGCCAAGGAGAGCGAGCTCTTGCCAGTTCCAGGAGGACCGTAGAGCAGGTACCCACGGCGGTAAGGGATACCGCGGTTCGAGTACCACCGCCTGGTCGCCGGGTTCAAGTAGTCCTGGACATCGTCGATGAGGTCTTGCTTGACCTTATCATTCAGAATGACTGTCGAGAAAGGCCGGCTAGCCCGGGCCAGGCACCTCTGCCAGGTCGGGGTCGTGGTGCCGGCAGGAATCATGCCACGGTAGATGAGCGTCTTGTGCTCGTCCCGCTGCGTGAACTGGGTGCGCGCCTCGAGGAGGAGCTCCTTCAGCAGCCACGGGTCACGGCCGAAGCACGAGATGGAGATCTCCTCGCGCTCGCTGACGAGCATGAAGCCCGCCTGTTGGTCGCGGCCCTTGTCTCGGCGGAAAATGCAGATCCGGCCTTTGTACCAGAAGAAGTGGCTGCCGAAGGTGGGTGTATAGGCGAGTGCCTTCTTCTTCTTCCCATTCTGCGCAGAGCTGTCGTCTCCCTCCTCGGGCCCATCGTCCTCGTCCTCGTCCCAACGCCACAGGTACCATGCCCTGGAGTTCAGGTTCGTGTTGACAACGAAGCGCCGTGCCCCCTTCGCAAACTGCTGCTGGGCTACCCAGGCCATGAGCATGTTGTATATCTCATCGTCGGTCCGGATGTCCACCGTGCTCATGAAATATGCTTCGAGCTTCTCCCTACGGAATATTAGCAAAATGCCAGTGATGGGACTCACAGGATGGTTCCCAAGATAGGAAAGGAGAGTCTTTGGCATAGCTGGGCTTGTACGTACCAGAAATATTCAGAAAAGTAACGCCACGCGAAGGTTACACTGCCAAGGAAGATAACAAGAGGTATGTATAGGTTGAGGTCCACCTTGAAGTATTTCTCAACGGCACTGGAGAAGGTAGAGAAGCCTGGAAAGAACATGTCAAGAATAGCAAACTGAGGAGCGGGGGCTCCAAAGGCCCCTAATGTTTCTGGGTCCATGGAGGGTTGTGAGGAGGAAGGACACGAGCAGGACGGCATGCCTGATGTTGAGCAACCGCTGATGGAAGCCATGCTGCCGTTGATGAAATATTGGAGGATAAAGGAAAGGATTGGAGGGAGATATGGTGAGAGATATATAGATGAGTATGGTCCAGGTACGAGATACCAACAGGCAATCAACTGCCTATTGCACCTGAAGTATATATTATTTGGACCGGGTCTTCTCAGAGTAACGCAAACGCCCGGGAGGTGAGAGACAGTTGCTCCAAGAGTGAACTTTCATGTCTTGGACGAGGCAACAATACTTATACCTATAGATCTGGACGGAGTTGTCATCCGTACGACTGAGCTCGACTTGATGCACGCCCCACATTAGGTCAGCCCTCTCAGTTCTATCGCCGAGTGAGACCCTCACAGTCAGGCAGCAGGACGGCTAGAGCAGCGATGGTACGGGTTGGCCTCGGGGCTGTGATGCATGCCCCCCTGCACAATGATTCGCCTGCAGTGCCCGGTGCGGACAACGACCTATGAGCCTTAACGTTCAAGACCGGACAAGCCCGACCAGGCTTGCAGTTAATTGAGCCGCAAGCAATAAACGCTACCCACCTCTCCCCACCTTAGTCAACAGGAGCATAGCAATGCATGGCAAGGCTCGCTGTCGAAAGATCGCCGCCCTAACGACCCGCCCTAGCTTGTGGTCCTCAGAGCGTAAGAGTCACATCGCCGGACAAGGGGACCCAAGCAGCAGGCGGACAGCAGCCGGGCCAGACAGGCAACCTCTGATGATGTTGTGCGCGCCCCTCATTCGTCTGGGTGCATATGTGAGTGTGCTTGTGACAACATTGCAGTGTGATCGGGAAGCAGCGTGTGTGGACGGATTGCCTTTGAATTCGGCTGCCTCATTCTCCTGCCAGTGTGCTGCCAGTGTGCTCCCCGAAAGCTGTTTGCCTCGTAAGCTGTGCACACACGCACATACACCGCTTGGGTACGTGCGCGCGCACCAGTAGTAGCACGCAGCAGGCAGGAGGCCGACAACTGGGGTGGTTTCTGGTCCAATTGGTCCTTTGGACAGTGTGTAAAATGTCCCAGGGCCAGTGACGCATGACAGTGAAGAGTAAGATGTGGATTGACCAATGGTGGCCGGACAGCACATGGAAGGAATGGGCCGACGGGATAGAGTGCAATGAGGCCAGAGGGGAGCGCAGTGAGGGCAGTGTGAGATGGAGGTGTGTCTGCCTGTGAGGCTGCGCTCACATTAGACTACCGTGCTGTAAACGCGGGGTGTGCATCATTCACAGCAGTACAGCGCCCCACTCCAACCCACACCCAACACCCACACAGCCCCCATCCAACTGCAGGTACGTGCAGACGACCACTGCAGGCTGCGGACGCCAACTACTTCCAACATCGTCGACGACAGTGGCTGAATCCTAGAACTGGGATAAATTCTCGACCTACTGTGGTGCAACATTTCTAGCTCTGCAGCCACTGCATCTCCGACGCACTTGCGGCAATCTTGCGGCCATACTCTCGTATCCTCACGACTCCGATACCGTGAGTCCAGCAAGACTGCCCTCGATTGAGGCTGAAAGCCATTGCAGGCTGCATCGCTAACATATAATGGTGGCGCCTGCACCTTCTCAGAGTATCCATCACCATCTGCACTGACAATCAGAGTCCTGACGCACAACTTTCCTTGACTGCCCACACTGTCTCCGGTATCAGGTCTCTTGTAGACGCCCACCCGAGCCGTGTCTCCAGGTCCTCGGGAGGGAAGATCCAAATGCGGGAGCTCTGTCGTCTCAGGATGCCGGTCATACTCTATGGTATAAGCTGTGGCCAGAATTCCAGCTTGCTGTCCGCTGGAGTGGTTTCAATCTGCGACCAGGCACAGTTGGCTTAGAATACCGGGAGTGAGCAGCGAGGGATAGCCATGGCAACAGGGCGGATGGGAAAGGGATGACCGGACTGAGCACAACCCCGCCACAGTATGCTACGATTTTGCTTTTCTGCCAACCGTCGTATCGACATCTGTCGCTTCCGAGTGGCGGCTGACCTAGATGGCGGCACCGATGTCCGGTCGAGCTTCGTGACAGAGCCTTGACCGAGAGCATCGCTCGGGGGCTCTATTCGCCATCACAGCTATAATCGAAGCATCATTTTGCATCATTGAATAGTCTGTCCCACATGAGTTCCTGCGTCGATTCTAGAACTCTTTCGTCGGCGCCTTTGCTAAGTCTGCGTCATCTTGCAAAGGACATCGTAAAGCAGCGCTTGCACGGTTTGTATCCGACTGGCTCGCTTCGTTCTTTTGATTGGTCTAAGTGGTCTTCGTACTGACCAAGAGCGGATAATGGGGAAAGTCTATGGGTTTGAAGAGCAATTCATGAAATGCTCGAAACAACTGTGCCTGAGTGATAGTGTAGTCTTGCCAGGAAAATATGAAGAGATACTACAGATGTCCTCTGACTTCGTCAAATCTTTGACCACTTAGCCACGATCTCCTGTGATATTAAAATGCACTTTGGCCTTGCTGAAGTATCACCATCAACTTGCCAGCGAGCTTATTATCGTCGATTCTCTATGCCAAACTTAGACATAATGCTTCCTCGGCTTCTGCCATATATTTTGCAATGTCATATACCCTGCAATAATAACGCACGCCATGAAAAGCTAAACACTAATATGTCGACCGGAGTGCTGTGTCCAACTGAAGTGTAAAAAGCAACTCAGCTTTAGCATCAATTTTATCCACATCCCCTCTCCTAACGCGGATTCGCTTTTGTTAGATCTGAGACAATTGTTTTGAACATATATCCAAGATTATGTAATATTCCATCAAGTTCAGGCTAACTGTGCATGTTTTCAGATGCCATTCGATAGCTTTCTTGCGAACCAACCAGTTGAGTGCGCAGCATCCATCCGCAGCCCACCACCATGGAATTCTACCCTGAAAGATGTGCCGAATTACACAACGCACTCTTACAAAAAGCCATCGAACATGATCAATCGGCCGTGACGGAGACAACCCTTATCACGCGGCTCCTAGAAGCCGCGCCCCAGCTCTCCGGGATCCCAGGCCTGCGGGACCTGCCAGCCTACCGCTTCCTCTCGCTCCTCAAGACCACCCGATCGCGCCCACAGCAAGGCCCTGGTCTACTGACGCCGCAGATGTACCAGCCAGACCCGTTCCTGTTCTGGAGCGAGACGTTCAGCGTGTGTGACCGCCCGGAGCTCGTTCTGCTCTACGGGCAGAACAACGCCGGCTCGCCCGCGGACGGTGGCCTATTCCTCAACCTGCGGACATGCAGAGCCATCTGGCACTGGGAGCCTGGCCCGTTCCCTGATGACGAGCAGTGGGTGTCTCTCGAGATCGTGCTGAGCAATGCGCTTGCCAAGTGGGATTCGGGCAAGTACCATTGGGATGTCACCCTAGGTTCTATCTGCGTGCGTTCCTGGACCCAGACAGATCTGTCTGAGGCACTTGCGGCCTGGGAGCGGCTGCTCTGCGGCATCGAGGCACGCCTCCCTGAGTCTGTGCACAAACCTCAGAGACATGAGCCTCTGGAGATCAGTCAAGAGATGATGTCTGCTTTCCGAGTCAGTCGGTTCGTAGGGGAGTTTCTCTCGCGAGCGCCAAGGCCAGGATTCATGTTTGTAGCCCCAGGAATCACAACGTTCTCCGCCGAGGCATTGCAAAGTATCTACGCCTCTGAAGACCCAGCTTCCTTCCGGCGATCTACCTTGTTGGGTCAGGAAGACCCAGATGACCTGGAGTGGGCAAGCCTCCTCCTTCCCACACACCAGTCAGTGGACCAAGGCACTTCGCGCCACGCGAATTCTGGCATACAGTCGTTCGATAAGCCTTGGGGCCTGGGCAAGTTCACAGTCAACCGGCAGGCAGGGCTGTACGTGATCCCCGAGGCGACGGAGTCGGATACCGTGCAACTGATCACCCCTTCTGGACTGACAACAGCAGGAGAATTCAGAGGCCGCTGTCCGTGGGGTGAGAACCGTCCTCCGAGGCTTGCCGAGATCTTTGGTCACTGGGCGTCGCTTGTAGAGAACGGCACGTGGGCTGTGGCAGCGGATGGAGTGGCAGAGGACCACAACTGGTTCGACAGGCACGCGATGGACGCAAAGCTTGACTGGCACGATCACCTCATTTAGTGCTAAGACTGTAGGCTGACTCCACATGGTGATTGTGTCCTAGTCACCATGGATAGTCGACGGCACGAGCAAAATTTTGCTTACTGCAAGATGTATTAAATTCACGTTTGGGACCGGGTGGGCGTAGATCACCAGTGGCCAAGTTCAATCTGTCAAACAGCGTGCACTGGGACAAGCCCATCTGATACACTCCGGACATAACTCAGATATTGGAGGAACGGGCAAAGGACCATAAGCAGTGCGTCCATCGAGCGGTCATCTGCCTTCATCTTTACTCATTAAGGCAGTTCATTGTGTCAATATGTCTCGTATCTGCCATTAGTCTATGACAATCAGAGATCAAAACTCAGTATAGACACCCCGTAGTCAACAGATATTAATCCTCGTCTCTATCCTCAGCGGGCGGCACCCATAGCAAGACCCCATCCTTATCAGTCTTCATGCCGTCTGTGGGAATGATCCTCAACACCTTCTGGAAATACTTGTCCTTCACCGTCAGGGTCGGCCTGATCCAGCTGCCAGCCTCGACCAAGGGAACCAGCCGGTATGGTATCATCCTCCTGGACACTGGGAGGAGGTTGAGTGTGGTCTGCTTCGCACCGGAAAAGGCAAACTCGTCGCTGGGGTCCATCGTCAGCCCGAAGGTGAGGAAGTGGTTCGAGGCGTTCTCAATGGTGATGTCAAGGAGCACGGTCTGCGCCCCCTGCCCATCATCCTTGGCGTACGATACGGACGCGAGGACCCTAGGCTCCGTGTTGAAGACGGGCAGGCGAGGGACCGCGAGGAGGGTTCGATTGGGTGCGTCAGTAGCAGCACCGGGCCGGACCCATTTGATGATGAAAGACACGTCGAGACCCGTCGGGTTCCGCTCGTCGAGACTTGCCCTTTTGACAGCGACGTCAAACTGCGTCTCCTCGATAGTCTTGGGGCTGACTTGTAGACCGTCGGGCGGCAGGGCCTGGCGTTTCGACGTCTGGCACTGCACGCCGTACGCAGGTTGAACTTCAATGTCGAGGTCCAGAACCGTCAAATCCTCAGACGCAAATGAGGCGTATCGAGTCACAAGACACCATGCCTGCGCAAGGCCGTTACTTGTTCCAGATGTGTCCGCCTGTGGATTCTGGATTCCCTCGTGGTCGAACAAGCTTGGCCAGGGTTCCGGATGGAGGCGTGGAAGGAGCTCGTAATTCGCCTCAAATGGGCTGGCTACATTGATGCGGAAAGTTGCAGATTGTATGATCGAGGTGGCAGCGTCGGTTACAAGGCTGTAGGACGCCTTCAAGGTCAGTGTGTAAGCCGCCGTCCGCTCCGCGCCTGTTAGAACCAATGTGATCCGCGATGACTCTGAGCTCTTGATCAGCCCTAGAGGGGCCCCCTGAAGTGTGCACTCCTCGCCATCTGCCAAGGCCCTCTTTTCTTCCCCGTCGCCAAACTTCAACTTGATATTCGGCGGTTCCTCGCTAAGCACCGTGACGTCCAGTTTGACGGTTGCATCAACCTCTTCCTCATTGACGATGTCAAAGGGAAGCTCGATGACCTCATTCGTGTAGTATTGTTCAAGGAACTCCACCTCTTTGATCTCCATCTTGGGAGGCCTGGGCAAGACTCGGATGGACTGAGGGTGAGTGCGCGCGATCCGTCTGCTTGATCGTACAGTGTGCCACGCATGCCCGGTACCTGCCTTCTGCACATTTGTAGTATATGTCAAGGCGAATGCATCATAGTTGACCGTGAATTTGAGGGAAGAAGCGCTTGCATCGCCCGGCTCTCTCAACGGAATGTTCATCTCGAAAACAGACGTACGCCCAGGGACCATAGTCAAGTCGCTCGCACCGCTGAGATGCAACTGACCACTGAGATCTCCAGAGGCCTGAGTTTCCTGCTCGGTCTCCGTCGTGGACTCGGCCAGCGAGACGACATGCAAAGAGACAGGCCCTCGGCTTGACTCATCGGCGTCCCCTTCTTGTGCGTGAGTTAGTAATATGGGTTTGATACTGCCGTCGAACCTTAGGATAATGCTCTCCAGGGTGATCGGCGTGGACCCCAAGACCGCATTTGATGTGATGGAAAGCTGAGCCTGGCAAGTGAGCCCGGCCTTCCCTTCCTCGTGCCGGAAGACGAAGGAAGGCATGATGAACGATGTGCCTAACTCATCATTCAGATCTATCGACGGTCTGGGCGCATTGACGCCCTCGAGACACTTTTTCAAGTCGTAGTGCCACTTCGGATGCTTCTTGAACCCTACAAGGATGTGTTAATGAAGGTATTTTCGGGACTGCACTCGTGTAACCTTACTGTTGTTCAACAACTCCCAGTCGATAGACACTACTAGATCAGCCTGCGCGGTATCCACTGCTGCAGCTCTCAACACCCAACACATGTCTTCCGTAATCTCTGGCCAGCCATCTCGTCGGAATGACAATTCCTCCCAGAAGGGACGCAAAATCTTCACCACATTCGCCCAGTCCTTGACCGCGGCCAGCTCTTTGGCGCACTCGAGGGAGACTTCGGCGGCGAGGCGCTGCTGCTGCTTCTTCATGAAATATGATTGTGCTGAAAGAAGATAATCCAGAATTATTTGAGAGTGATTGATGCCTGAACGAGCCAGAGGGAGCTCGTCGTAGGGTTCAGGACACATGTAGCTGTCATATCTGAAGGCCTTTGACGCTAGTTTGGAGGCTGGAGACTCGCTCGGTGACCTCCTGTCGTCTTCGGGCATTTTGAAAGCAAGCCGGCGCCGCGAAAAGGTGTGTCGAGCTGCCAGACGGTACCAGTAGCCCGGATGGTGTAACATCTCCCATGGCTGTAATCTTTCTGCCTGTGCAGACTTCTCTGGTGGCAAGTAGATGCTTATGGCGGAATGATCGAAATCCGGGATGTCGGCTTTCTCGATGAGGTTCGCCATCACCACTGCCCACCGTGCTTCCCAAGCCTCCCAGCCGTAGTTATTGGTCCCGTGCCCCTGTCGATCGACGAAATCAGCCATCCTCTCTCGGTGGCTTTGCCAGCGCCTGACTGCCGCCGTGTGCTGATCGTTCCACAGAAGACACCTTAAACACCGCACAGCGATGATGTCGGCTAGCAACCTGGCCTTGTTCCATCGTGGGCTCCAACTAGGTATAATCTCCATGACCTCGGAACTCAGCAGATTTTCGTAGGCCTGTTCAAAGGAACGCAACGCCACGTCCATCTCCTGACGGTACTCTGCGAATACGGCAGATTTGAAGTCGTACCGAATATGCCATCCCGGAAGGGACAGTGTCTGTGAAGTGCCGGAAGTGGGCGGGACAGTGGGCTGGGGGGCAGCACCACGACCTCGTTTCTTTTTGACACGCCTGCCGTGGTCGCGATAGTAATCGATGGCCTGTGCATAAAGCGTCGTCAAGGCATTGTCCATTATGCGATCGAGCTCAACTTGCGAGGCGTCGGTCGGGACAGCAAAGAATGACTTTGCATCCAGCCCGCTGCCCCTCCGAACGTTCTCCAGCCTCTCCTGTACTCCATGATTGTTGTCGACCAGTATTATTACAGACAATTTTGATTTACAGCCAGACTGGGCTAGGGCGTTCCTCAGAACTCCTATATCAGTCTTGATCTTGTTGTCGTGGAGGGTTGCCAAGGTAGCATCTGCCGTAAGGCTGTACAGGCATAACAAAACGCTCGGGATGAGTTCCTGATGCTTCTTGAGCCATGCTTGATCTATCAGACCGTCGGGATAGAGATTCGCTGTGGGACTGAGGGGCGAGAAGGGCGAGTGCAGCACGGCCTGGGATGGTGGTATCTCGAAATCATCGGGCAGACGGGCGAGCTTTGGCGGGAGCAGGTAGGTCTAGGTTGGTCAGCAAAGCCATCGTCACATAGCCGCTGCGCAGCCCTCAGTCTCGACATTGACGGATCGCGTACCCTCCCAGTGGTCCTAAAGCGGAACTTGTACTTGACATTACTGGTGTCCCTCCCGTTCCAGGGCAGCCCAGATGCGTCCGAGTCGCGGATGTGTTGTACGAGGGCGCCGACCTGGTCCCCTTCCACCGGAGGTGGTTCTGATCGTATCAGTGTTGCGCCGTCCTTGAACTGAGAGTCAAGAGAGGATTCTTGGGCATATTTGGCGGGCAAGCCCAAGACGACAGCCAAGGGCAAGCAATGGTCCAAGCTGCATGGAGGATACTCGTCCATGCTGGGCAACGATAACCGCTGCAGATCCCCAGGGCTGGCCGTAGTGTACAAATGTCGACCTTCTGCTCAAGAATGTCGTTCACGGGGGTATCATTGGCATCGGTCGGAGGAATAGACTGGCAGCCTGGGTCAGTGGAAGCTCTCGCCAGACCCAGACCCATGCGCCTGGCGCGTACGGAGCACAAGGATACTGTATAGCCACTCACAGGGGAAGTCGACTAGCATTATAGAGGACATTTGCAAGTTGAACACCAGCGTCTATAACATTCTAATCAAGAAAAGAGACGGTCCACCAAATCGGTTGCTTCCCGTCCAACATCTAGGGGATAGCGGGAGAACATCCGAGATGCTTGGAGGTCTAGGTAGCTCTCCAAGACTCCATTCGCTAGCAGAGTACAGAGGGCCGCGTTCCCCAACTCCAAGTGGGATGAGCTGTATATAGGCAGGCGGTCAAGAGTTCTGCCGAGTGAGCGAGCCCTTGGGCGGCAGGGATCAGAGTTCCACTGGCGTCATGTCACTTGATGGTCCATTTCCCTAAGGTGTTTCTAGTGCAGGCAGAATGCCTTTCGAAGCCAATGTGCCTGCCTGCGTGCATGGTTCTGCTGCTTCCGTACGATACCACTCGAGCGCCGCCGATCACCCTCCATCCTCGTGCAGAACACTCCCCTCTTCCCAGTGTTTTCTTTTCAACACTGCCTTGGAGAATTGGGTCCCTTAATCGCTGTCACTCGCGCTACCAAGGCTATCTCGCAGCCTGTCGCTAATCGTATTATCATCGTGGTGGACTGAAGCTTCCCTCTGTCATCCACTTGCTGGGTCGCAACCGCACGCAGGCAGTCTAGTTACCCAAGGTCAAGCAAGTGCGATTTGCGACCAAGTGCGACCGAGTGCGACCGGTGTCTCTGCTGCCCCAACACCTGACTACTTCATCACGAACCTCTGAATACCGCCAAGATGTCATTGACACGCGAACAAGTCCTCTTCTCCGACCTGGCCAAGGCAATGAAGAAGACCGTGGCCAGGCAAGCCAACGGTAAGTCCTTTCGGTCCGACGAACCTCCGCCTACCTTGCTGCTAACATGTGCTCCTTTGCCAGAATCCGACTCCGACTCCGAAATCCAACAGACGACCAATCGCGGGAACAAGCTGAAGAAGAGGGCAAGGTTCGTTCGTCAGGGCAAACTGGGGCCACCGACTGGGCCTGCAGTCTACAAAGAGGCACGTCCCAACCCCAATGCGCAAGCAAGCGCGACGCTCCTACGAGATGTTATACTCATTTGCGCACGCATAGGAGGTCGAGCACGCAGGGTATAAGCGCGCTATAATAAGTCGCAACCCGCCGCTCATTGACGAAGACGGTTATAGCATCGACAGCGACGATGACGAACAACATGTACAAGACGCAATTGCCGCTGCGGCTGAGGGCGATCCCTATTCCTCAATTCATCTCGAGCGTATGCAGCACCCCAGCGCGCTACCGTGCGAGTTCAGGCACGGCCATTCTGAAGAACGATTGCTAACTAGCACTTAGAACTCCTCGCGCCTCTTACAGCCGTCACAGACCTTCCTGCCCATCCCACACTCTCGAGACCTTTCAAGTCGACAGCCCTGAAGGAATTGACGAACCAGGCGTGTGATCTCATGCACAAAGAGAATGAAGCACTGTGGAAAGTGCGACCACTTTTGACCAGGCTCAGCGGAGACCATACCTGGGTGACACCCGAAATGATGTTGGGCACCGACGACCAAGAAATGTTTAGGAACAGCTTTACATCACGCACACTGAAGCGCAAAAGATCGCAGGAAGCGGAAGCTGAGGGCGCCTCGAGTCCGAACATCAATGGCGACAGCACAGTTCGACCTTCTGTGAATGGAGATCATAACCAGGCTGTTCAAGGGGAGGCTGTGACGAACGAGAAAGTAGATACGTCAGCCGAGGACGTGACAATGACGAACAGCGACGGCAATGTACCGGGCAAGACCGAACCGGAGAAAGGCACCCACGACGCATCAGTGGCCATCAACGGGGAACAGGGCACAGAAAAGGAGGTTACCAATGGGGCCAAAGTGGACGAGGCTAACGGCATTTCGGCGAAGCAAAAAGGAAAACAACCAGGGACAAGGCAGGACCCAGCAGATGACGACGTTGCCATGCTGGATGGGAGCGCTGCGTCTGGTCTCGGTGCACAATCTAATCACAACGGCAGCCGAGCTGCGTCCCCTTCAGCAGCATCCATCGGCGATTCTTTTATACATCCAATATTCCTTGCACCCAAATTTGCCCATCCCGACCGCGACCTAGGGCTTCCGGAGCAAGAGGCGGAGGATGTTCGCCGGCTCCTCCAGCTATACGTGCAGAAACAGGAGGAGGTATGCCGCGGTACTGAAAAGCTGTACCATGGCCTTCTCAGGGCAGACCGTATGCGGAAGACTGTGCTGGAGTGGTCCAAGTCCGAGGCGCACGTTGGGGAACTGTCCGACGGCGAGGACTGGTATGACAAGGAGGAATGGGGCCTGACGGAGGACCTGAAGAAAGGCCAGGACGAGGAAGAAGAGGACACGACGCAGACCCAGAAGAAGACTAGGAATCGGAAGTAGAGACGCGGTCGCTGGCTCCTCGGTATCATACTCTGCGATTTGGTTACTTCCCCACTGTCTACGGACCTAAATGTTTGGAGGACTCAAGAGGAGGACTCGCAGTCATAGACGTTCTCTTGTGCGACGGATTGGCAAGCCCGTCATCATTTCATGCCTCCAGTCAGTCTCTGAGCGAGAGGCAGATATTTCATACTTGCATCTTTCTTATGAATGGCGAGTCCAATAATACAACCCAATGAATCACCTGAAAGATGATTACCTTCGTAGCTTGTAGGACCTTGAGGGGAGGCTCTTGGAAACACGTCCTCAGCATGTGAGGAAGGGAGATCGCCGAACTGTGTTCCCACGTACACTTCTGTCCACGCCGACGCTGGTAACACGGCACCAAAATCACTGAAGACGTTGCCTGAATCCAGTCCAAGTGCCCCAGACCCAACACATAAAGCTCCGTATATCGCGCCAGCAGCTCCGTCTGATTTTCCGAAGCCTTGTCACCAATTCACCCGTCATCCCAACGCTGATAATGCCACGAGATCGACCACCCCACAACGACGAGGCAAGCTGGCCTGGTGGTAAAGCGAGCGACTTGAAAGTTTGAACAAGATGAAAAACCATACAAACGCCAATGAGTCCAGACACAGTGCCCACCGTAACGTCAATAAACACACAGACAGGTGGGAGGCCAGACACTGCAAATAAATATCCCGAAGCTCCGTCAAGGAAATACCGAAAGGAGGGACGCGCTGTAGCACCGAAGGAGGTGGCAGGGCGTGAAGAGGAATTTCTCTTTTTGACTAGCTATGGCTTCCCGTGACATACGCTCTCTTTTTGCCCTTATCCTCGAAGTGGAAAGAGGTGGAACAAGAGAAAGGCTGGAGATTGCTCTTCGAGTAAAGACACGCGTTTGGTTTTGTAGCGAGAAAATCAATTAGCAATCGGGTATCACTGCACGAAGTCTATCGTATCCAAACATGCCCATCCCAAAATTTGCGCCAGATATGCAAGGAGACTAACCTAATCCAAAAAGCCCCTAATCACTGCGAGTCCAAGGGTGGAGGCTGATTCCAATCCCTAGGAGCGGCCCTCTGCTTCCCCTTCCTCGTCCTCGCTGACCTACGGGTACCAGCGGCAGACCCTCCACCACTAGCACCGCCCACGAACTTCAACACCCAGTCCCTCACCCTCCTCGTTTTCTCCAACTGCGGATGCAACGGCCTCGCCCCCTTCCCGACCTTGGCCAGGTCAGCACCCGAGTAATGCCCACCCGTGTCTCCGGAACTGAGCTTCCGCCCACGGTGCAGCAGGTACACGGCCGTCATACCCCTCGGCAGGCTGCCGCCGTAGACCTTGCCGCGGAAGACGTTGAGGGCGACGTTGCGCATGAGCACGACGTCCTGGGCCCTGAGCCCGGCCAGCGGGCCCCCTGCGTCAGGCCCGGCGCCGCACTCGGCCGCGGACAGCCAGAACGTCACTGAGAAGCCCGACTTGGTCTCGTCGCCGACCAGCACCTCGACCAGCGTCTTGGTGGTGCCGAAGCGGGTCTCGACAGTCCGCGGCGCAGCGATGCTGATGATGCCCGCGATGAGCGTCACCGCCATGGTCTGTGGCTGGATCGATAATAGGTACTTGGCGGGCGGGATGTCCTCCAGGTCCGAGAGGTGGTCCGCAGCGCGCTGGTGAGCCGGTCGGAAGGGCGTCCTGACGACGATGGTGGCGTCGCCGTCCTCGGGGAGGGCTGTCGTCGTGTCTCCCTCGTCGCTGGTGAGCGAGGAGGACTTGGAGTGGTCGGCGCCGCTTATGAAGGAAGACTCCTCATCACCACCACCGCTCGGGTTCTGGGAGTCGTGCGGGACGAGCTGCGACGAGGCCAGGTCGTCATGCTGGGCGAGCGAGTGCTCGTACCACTCGGCCAGCAGCCTGCTCTCGTGGCCTTGCGCGTCGTCCTGGCTCAGACCCTGGGACGCCGCCTCGAAGGAGATGCCGGCGGTGGTGAGGAAGTCGGCGCTGGAGGGGAAGTGGCTCACGATATGCAGATCATGCTGCTGGGAGAAGCCCGTGGGGACATGGGAGCGCTTGAGGGGCAAGGAGCGCCATACGGCCAGGTCCAGGAGTGATTTGTCCTGATCTGATGTGGCTGTGGAGGATACAGCTGGTTTCGTCTGTGGTTGGAGGAGGGCAAAAGCTGCGATGGAGTCCTGGAAGGTCTGGAGGAGGTCAGGAGAGCTCCAGTCCAGCCGGTCGGACTCGGGGGCGCCGGCCAGGATTATGAGCTTTCCCATAGCGAGTGGTGACTACGCTCACATGGTTGATTGATGATCCAGTGACTGAAGCCCCAAAGCATTAATTGGGGGGGCTATGTATGGGAAAGCTGAAAGTATAAAGCGATGTAGAAGGGTGTCGTGTGTAAGTCCGGGATGAAGTCAAAATGCGGGATGCGGGCCGGGGTGAACAAGGCTGCCGGGCATGGGTTGCTGCTGCTAGTGGGGCCGACCGGCCAACCGGCCGAGGGTGAGACGGTACTTCTAGACGGAGCTGTGAGCCAGCTTCGATTCTGAAATCCTGCCGACTTCATCTTGCAGTCTTGGCTTGCTCGGTGGGCATCTGTAACCACCTCCAGATGCCATGTCGTCCAAGAAACCCAGCGACGCCATGGCTGTGAGCTGTTGTCGGACGTGCCGAGGGCCAGGAACAGGAAAAGGACCAGCAACCAGGACAGCTCACACCGATGTCAATTTCCCATCCCATCCCCAGTCCACCGCTCAACAGCTCATCCATGCACGAGACTGTCCTTGTCTTCCTATATGAATATTCCACCCCAAACCCCACCCAATCCAGTCGTATGCCTCTTGCCTTTGAATAGGCGATTGGACTGACCACTCGGGGCTTTTCTCTTCACACGTCAGGTCGCATATTAACGTTGTACGACCGTCATTTGCTTGGCATTCAATCTACCTCGACCGAAAAGTTTACCACCCCACCAGGTGACACGTTCAGCGACGACATTACACAACTCAGAAGGTTCAGGGACCAAGCACCAAGGTCCCAGCGAGCCTTGAACCGTCCGAGACGGTTATCATCAGGTCAACGAGTCTACTGCTTCAGCATTCGGGGGCAATTGCCCAAGGGAAGGCTTGCCCAATGGCCTCTGCACCGTGGGCAGCTGTCCCTGCCAAAGACACCTTCTTCGCCCTCGTGACGGGCGCAAACAGGTACCAACAAGTCCCCATTTTACCTACAAGACACGAGCACTCAGACCAGACACCTACAGCGGCGTCGGGCTCGGCATCTGTCAGCGCCTGATCGACGAGTTCCTGACCACGCGGTCCCTGACCTCGCACCTGGTCCTCATCCCCACGACGCGCGACACCCGCAAGTCCGACGAGACCACCGCCCAGCTGCGCAAGCACCTCCACAAGACTGCCTCCTCAGCCAAGCTACAAGCCCGGGGCGCCACGCCGGAGGCCACCCTCAGCCGCGTCCACATCCTCTCCCTGCAGCTCGACCTGTGCAACTTCACCACGATCCACCGGGCGGCGGCGCAGCTCGTCGACGGGACGGTATCGCTGGACGGCGTCGAGGGCGGCGTCCGCATCCCGCGCCTCGACGCCGTCATCTTCAACGCCGGCATCGGCGGCTGGACCGGCGTCAACTGGCTCAAGCTCGTGCACAACCTCTTCACCGCCGGCTGGATCCAGGCCACCACCTGGCCCACCTTCAAGGTCGCCAACGCGGGCGCCACGGTCAACCCGCTGCCACAAAATCGCGACGACAAGGACAAGGAGAAGGCGGTGGTGGGCCAGGTGTTCTGCGCCAACGTCTTCGGCCACTACCTCTTCGCGCACGCCATCCTGCCGCTGCTCAGCAGGCGGCAGGACTCCTCCGACGCAGACATCCCGCCCGGGAGGCTGATCTGGGAGGGCAGCATCGAGGCGGCGAACGAGCACTTCCGGGCGGACGACCTGCAGGCGGTGCGGACGCGCGCCGCGTACGAGAGCACCAAGCGGCTGACGGACCTGCTGGTGCTGACGGCGGACCTGCCGGGGGCGCGGGCGCACAGCGCGCCGTACTGGCGCCTGCCGGAGGACGACAACAACGACAACAACGCCGAGGGCAAGAAGGGGACGGCCCCCTCGCCAGCGACAGCGGCGGCGACAATCAAGCCAAAGGTCTACCTGTGCCACCCGGGCATCGTCGTCACCACCATCCTGCCGCTGCCCTTCGTGCTGCAGTACCTGTGGACGTTCGCGGCGTACGTGGCGCGGTGGATCGGGTCGCCCTGGCACACCAACACGTCGTACAACGCCGCGGCGGCCATGGTGTGGCTCGCGCTCGCGGCGCAGGGCGCGCTGGACGGTGTGGGCGCGGGCGCGGTCAAGTGGGGGTCCGCGTGCGACATACGAGGCAACGCACTGGTGAAGAAGACTGAGGTCGACGGGTGGGGGTGGGAGGGCAAGGTGGAGGATTTGAAGGACGATAAGGCGACGGGTGCGCTGAGGAAGATCAAGGGCCGCAAGAGCGGAGCCCAGGCCGTCACTGAGGAGAAGAGGGTTGAGTTTGAGGAGACGGGGGCTTTGTGCTGGCGGGAAATGGAGAAGTTGAGGGTGGAGTGGGAGGCGAGGATGAAGGAAGCTGGGCTGGATGGTCACGCATAGCTGGGTTACGGCCTGACGTCTCCAAAGGGCGGGCGATGTGTCCATACTGGGATCAATACTTTCTCAACAGCCAGCGACGACTCCGATATAGTTGTTCACGATGGTACGACGGGCACGGACTGCTAGTTCATGCATATATGGGTATTTGCCCGGGTTGAAAAATAACTACAGTAATCATAATATTTGCGCGAGAATAGCACAAATTCATTAACAAGATCATAACTATCCTGACGCCATCAAAATAATTGAGATTGTCCCTACACACACCACAAAGGTGACATGCAAGGGTCTCTCCCTTCCTCATCACGCATTCCCATCCCCAGGGCCCCCTGATGCGGCAGCAGCGTTCTGAGCAGCCAGCCGGTCCCGATCGGTCTCCACCCTCCTCAGACGGACCTGTTCGCCCCGCCCGAACAGGCCCAGGCACAGAGGGATTGGCATGATGGCAAGGGCTATGACGGCCTGGAAGATCAGCGCCCGCGTCATGTTGAAGGGCGGGTCGGCGCGGGGCCCGTCCTTGAGCGCGTCCGAGACGATGATGAAGATAGCGCCCAGCAGCTGGCCCCCGGACCACGCCAGCGTGCTGGTCACCTCGGGGCTGACGGGGTGCGTCAGCTCGACCAGCAGCTCCGAGGCGACGGGGACCAGGCTAAAGCTCGCGGCGCCGAGGAGTGCCAGCACGACGTACGGGCCCGCTATGTCGCGGGTGGCCGGCATCCAGATGAAGATGAGGTAGCACACGGCCGTGGTGGGGACGGCGACCTTGATGGCCAGTATGAAGGACTTGGTGCGATCCAGGATCGGCGAGGTGATGGCCGCAGAGACAAGGCCGACCACGATAAGGATAGCGCCCGCGATGCCGCTGTCGGTGTCGTTGAAGCCGTAGGGCTCCATCATCTGGTTGAGCAGCGAGGAGATGGAGTTGAAGAAGCCGACGTAGACAGCGTACGGGATGAAGAGCATCCAGAACTCCGGGGAGCGGCTGAGGATGCGTGCCGAGGTGGGGATAGAGAGCTTCGAAGTCTCACCAGAGGGAGCGGGTGGCGTGGGCGGCTTCGCGGGGAGGAAGAACGAGGGTAGGGCGCAGACGGTGGCCTTGATTTCAAGTCATGTAAGCGCGCAGTCCAGCTGACGGTGCGGGAGGTTGGGAGAGGGACATACAATGATAGCCACGTATAAGACGGCATTGGGCACGTCACCTGCCGAATAGACCCAGAAAGGCATGATCAACTGCCCGATGGCAGCACCAAACGGATTCGCTAGAGACATTATGGCGGTGGCCGCCACACGACCACGGTTGGTAAACCACAAATCCGAGTATCTCGTCGGCGCCGCCAGGACAAAGGGCTGCGAGAAGCCGATGAGGATCTGGCCGAACATGACCAAGCCAAAGCTGGGAGGCGAGGTACGGGTGCCGCCATAGCGGATCCAGTTGCCTATGAGGATGAGGGTTGAGGAGATGATGATGGACGGCTTGGGGCCCCAGTGAAGGACGTAGATGACCACGGGGGCGATGACGACAAAAGACAGTAGGACGGCGGTGGAGAGCCAGTTGATGCTGCTCTCATTGGTGTTGAAATACTCTGCGGCGCTGGAGACCACGGGTGAAAAAGTCAACCACTAGAATGATGGTGAAAAGTCAGCCTCATGTTACTCGACGCAGGTACGATACGACGCCAACTCATGGAAAGTGCATGAAACCCCTGGATTGGGGGCGGACACCACAGCGTTTGGTTCTCGCATGAGACCAATCACACACACACCAATGCAAGCCATTTATCTTGCCTGGCAGAATCAAATGCTACAAAGCAAACAGCAGAAGCTAGGACTGATCGGACTTACATCCCAGCTCACGACGATGTTGAGAAGGGTCAGCTGGACCAGGCCAAACCACCTCCTCTTGTACACCTTGAAGAACTCGACGGTGCCATCCCCGTTCAGGTCTTGAGAGGGACGCGATTCGTGAAACAAGGCGTCGAGACCAAGACGCGGAAATCGTCGACCACCAGGTCCCTTGTTGGATCTGTCCGGTGTTCGATCTGGCAGCTCGACGTCGTCACTTTTTGAGCCAGAGCCGCGGTCAATCACGGGTTCGCTTCCAATGCGCAAGTGCCCCTCCTTCCAGTCTCCAGGGATGGCGTCAGATCCCATCCTTGCAGCGTAGTTGTTCTCTAGTAGAAGTCCCGGCAATGCTGAAGCCTTTCGTCTAAGGCCGTGAGGTGCGGTGATAGTTGCAAGTGTGGGTTCGGTGTGCTGACCCTTCCAACTCTCCAAGGTTAAGGTTCGACTGGAGAAGCACAAGTCCAGGTCGAAGAGCCAGGGCTTCTCGCCCTCCCTGCCGTATCCGCCTGACGGCTCGCTGCAGCTAGATAGACTTTCACTGAGCTTTCGTGAGGGTGAACGGATCACTCGTTACCCAAGAAACAGGCGCTGTGGATGGTGTGAGCTGATGTCGCGCGGTTCTAGAACCGTTGTCGTCTCATTCACGTGCTACTCATGACCTCGGGTTCGGACAAGTGCGGCGGGGGCTGTTGGTACTTAGCAGCGTTGCACGGCAGACCAGACCAGGCCAGACTGAGAGAAAGGGAAAATGAAAAGAAGGAATGTGTATATGTACGTCTATTTTTTTCAAACTGGTGAAGGAGTGGGAGTGGCCAAATGAAGAGGGTGTCCCGCCCCGGCCATGTTATGTATGAATGAGATGAAAAGGATGGCACTGGGGGGGTACGAGGCGCATGAGGTTACGCCCATTCGAGCACTCGAAGACAAGTCTAGTGTTACCGTTGGTAAGGTCCCTAGTCTCCTACTCCCCAATCACACCCTCTCCTCACCAGCCTGTCAAAGTGGTCCACCCTCCCGCTGTGGGCTTCTGCCCTTGTCGGGCCACTTCCCGTGGTCCATGCCAGGGGTCCTCCATCCTGCCAGTCCTGCCAGTCCTGCCAGTGTGGGCTGTTGAACGTCCAGACTTGGACATGGTCCAGCCCTGAGAGCATCGCCTGCATGATGGTGAAATTGCCCGGCCGTTTGAGCCGCCTCTTTTCTCACTAGAATCCGCCGGCTTTACGAGGCGCACGCGCTGACACGAAACCAAATCCACCAAGAAAGTTCTTTCAGAAAGGAATTCTGCAGCCATCAGTCATATTCCTGGAACACATGAGCTGTCAAGTTGCTCCTACGGGTCCAATGTGTCATGTCTTATCTTCCCACCACCAAATTGACCTCTCTCCCACGCTTCTGGTCTTCACAGCTAAACTAGACCACTACAACACCTCCTAGATTGGACCGAGCGAATGAAAATGATAACAACTGGACTAAAATCTTGAATCTCTGCACAAGCTCCTGATACGATCTCAGAAGCCACCTTTACCCCGAAACCAGGCTTTAATTCCCCGCAACCCGGGGTAGGCAAGATGCCCTTCCGATGCAGATCCGGCCGGATTCATCACCCAAAATCGGCGCCCGCGGACAAGGCATCGATTGCGGAGGAGATGCGGAGCACCAAGGGGAAGGGGTTTTACAACACAGCTTTCGGGCACCCCTTTAGGTTGCATTTACCATGTGATGCTACCCTGCCAGCCGTCGGTGGTCGACATTGGTATGAAAGTTGTGGACCGTCAACTTTATCACGCCCGATGAGAGGTGAGCAGGGTCAAGCCGGGTATCATCACACTGCGGCAACAAAAAGGCACAAGACCTCGTAGACCCAAGCTCGATAACCAACGACAGCGTCCAGCATATGCATTTATGTCGCCAAGATGCTATACATCCCACAATTGGCGCAAGTAAATGTCATAGCGGTCTAGAGCTGAGCTGATCCAACCTTCTGCCAACGAGCATGAACAACCCATAGGGATAACCTATAACGGGATGGCCTTTCATGGGATAGTCTCTTGTAGGACAGCCTCTTGTGGGGTGATCTCTCATAAAATAACTTCTAATAGGACAACCTCCTGTAGGCTGTGGGATAGTCTCCTGGGCCAATATCTATATGGGATAACCTCCTGTGGGATCACCTATGGGATAATCCATGGGATGATCTCTTCTGGGAAGTCCGGATATCTCTTGTGGAATAGCCTCTTACAATGAAACCTCCTGTGGGCTAAGCTCCGAATGACTTGTGTATCTTGGGATAACCTCTTTTCTACGTATCCGTGAGTACATGGCTAACCTTTGGGGTCCCTGCAATTTGTAGCAAGCCTTACTCTATTGCTGTGTGGTGTAAACAGATGGAGGCGCGCACGTACCGCAGATCTATACTGACTCCTCTGCCCAGCTACACAAGAGCTGCCCAGAAAGGTAACCAACCGTTTGAAGAAGGGCCCGACAGACCTGGATCTCCCCAAAGGTCAAGCGGCAGCTCGAACACGCAGAACGAGCCAGACCGGTGTGCGATCATACAACGACAGCATCACCAGCCTCGCAAACTCCCAACTAGCAGAATTCTCGAACCGTCTGAGGATGCCCGCGGGACGCCGTCGCAAAACATGAGGCCCCGGAGACTCCTCAACATAAAACACCCCGACAGCGCAGAGGACAGGTCAGTGTTATGGGAGGCAGGGAAATTGTGTCATGACCCGCTTGAAACCGTGGCTCAGAGGTTGACGCCAGCTGAGAACCGCGGCGTGTGTGTGAATGCCGGTCGAGCTTGCTTCCTCTGTGTCTCGGCCTTCGCGGTGGTAGTAATATCCCCGTGGCAGTGGGCTTAGACAGCCCTCGTCTGTGTGTTGCTTCTCAGCTTGCTCCGTGCTTTACCATGTGGGAACCGCATTGAACGTGTCCAAGGGGCGGTGCTCGCGGGGCCCGTCTTCAGCCTGTCCCTAAATAGCACCAGGGAGCCAGTTAGTCACTCAGCCAGTCACCCGAACAGCCAGCCGGTATATCTGCCAGCTTCCATGTGACAGCCGCACCTGCAGTCGAGATGACATACTCTGCCCACCTGGCTAAACACCAAGCTGAACATTAGTACTTTGATGGCCATTATGGTTGTCCACAAGATGCCAACACGTCCAGCTGGAGTCAGCCGCCGAGCAGCGTCAAAAGAGGCAGAAGCGGTTGAATATAGAGGCAAAAACACCAGGGGAGGTACACAAGAGTGTAAATCTAAAAATTCGGCTTCGTTTCGGGGAGTCTTTTTTGAGTGTATATGATACAGGTGGCTGAAGCAGACCGACCGTCCCAAAGGAACAAAGCCTTCCCTCCAGCTTCTCCAAATCCCCTCGTCAACTCGTCACGCATTTGTACAGGGACACTTGCTGTCTTGTTCGCGTCTCGCGTCCCATGTGTCTGTCCACTCCCACACAATCGTGATGGACCGGTGACAGCGACCCGTCTCCCTGTGGATCGGCACTCGCGAGCCCGGCGTTCTATAGGCGGTTTGGATCCTCTAATACAAGATCATTGCAGTAATGAAAACACAGTTGCCGATTGTCGCGGGTGCCGAACCGCGTTGGAGGCGAATGCTGCCGCCGGCCGGTCCGGCGTCTTGGTTCGATGGGTTGGTTTATCGGAGCTTCGACCACAGCTTGGGCGCGGCGCATCCCGTTGCGCAGTGGGCGAGGTGGAAGACTGTATGTTGTCTGTCAGCATGGGCGGTGATGTGGTGATGCGGCGCCTTGAAGTCGCTCCTCCATGAGGGGTAGTGATTTCCGTGGGATTTGTACTTACACTCCTCGGTGCAGTCTTCCTTGCCACCTTCGTTGACGCGCTCGACACACTCCTCGTAGTGGTGCTTAGCGGGAGCACACTGCTTGGACTCCTTGCACTCTGTGGGTAACGATATGTCAGCCTCTGTTGTCCACTTCATCGTAGCTGTTTCATCCAGGAAGTTCGCTGGATGTGAGCCTCATTGAGACACATCGCCATGAGTGTAGACGCTGCGCTTCATGGGCGCAACAGTCGTCCACGATCCATCGGGTGTTTCCGGATGTGGGTCTTCGTCACTGACCTTCCTCAAGCTCCTCCTTGGGGTCCTTGGGCTCATCATCCTCTTCCTCTTCCTCCTCCTCCTCCTCCTCTCCCTCAGCTTCAGGCTCCTCCTCGGCCTCCTCTGACTTGTCGTCGCTGGACTCCTCCTTGCTGTCCTCGGCGGGTGCTTCCTCGGCCTGTAACGTTGGTTTGAGATGTCAGCCAAGGAGATTGGTCGAGATGACATGTGCTGACGCTTGAGCGAGGTTGCGAAAGAGTATCGCAGGTCGGCAACGAGCTTGGTTGATAGTTATTGACGCACCTTGTCTTCTGCTGCAGGGGCCTCGGCCTCGGCGACGCTCCATGGCGCGACAGACTCGGCCAGGTCGGCAATCGTGTCCCAGAAACCCATTGTGTCTTTATTTGACCGGAGCTGGCGGGCTGAGTTCGGGTCAATGGCTTGAGTGTTGTCGGTGAAGTGGAGTGGAGTGATGGCGGGTTGTCGTTGACGTGCGGCCGGGTGAAAGCTCTCAGCAGAAGAAAAACCGGGCTGCAGGCTGGCAGGCTGATCGGAATTGAGCCATACTTGATTGGACCGTTTCGTCCCGCAGGGCCTTGCAAGCACAGTAAGCCAGCGTCCTCGGCCTCAAAGTCAGGTACACTCTATATAACACTAAAAAAAATCTCAACAATTTGGAACCTTTGTTTGTTGTCTTCGTAACAAATTGAACCGTTGCAAAGAACTCAATTTGATTCAGGGAACAAATTGTTATCACTAATAGACCATCACTGTTTTGATGCGATGGTCACTGTGCTTTGCAGGGTAGTCGCTTATATAAGCAGGTGACCATGCCCAGAGGCGGACGATGACAGCATCACGCAAGACGACCGAAGACAAGGTTGATGATAAACAAGACCTCTTCCTAGTATGTCTACCGACTTGGAAATGAATATCAAGATTCATCGAGTGGCCTAAAATATGAGATACCAGTGATGTTCTATCCATCGACACTCGTGCACCAAAACACATAGATATGACCCGTCCCGCTCCTGAACTCCAAGCTCTCATCATCAGTAAAGTCCTTGTATCCTGAATATTGCCAAATGCTGGGTATCAACGATCGTGGCGTCTCTCTTGACTGTAAGTCTGGTCAACCTGATAGAAAGAAGAAGAAGAAAAATAAAACTTCCAATTCTCCATCTGCGTCCAAGGTGTGGCATGGCGGTAATCTGGCGCACAGCGGCAAATTGTGCCTACTGGGCCCTTTCGGCGTCTTGACGGTCTCTCTCTTCAAATTGCTGTTCCACGGCTTGTGCCTGTGCTTCATCATAATCAGGTGGTGGTTCGTTCGGCGTTGGCTGGGGTTGCTGAGTTGCGGCCGGTGCCTCGGGCTGACTCTGGGCTGGAGCAGAACTCGTCTGTCCTGACTGTTGTCCGGGTGCATCGCCGGCTTCTGCGGCTGAATACGGTGGCAAGTCGTCATCGTGAACAGTGATGCGCGTCCCCGTCTCCCTCGCCACGTCCCGAGCGTGGGCCAGACGCTCAAACATTAGGCTGTACTTGGAGTGGAATCCCTCTACTCCGCCATGGTTGAAGATCAGTAGGATCTCGATGCGAGGGACATCGCCTGGTATCCCACCGCCAGCCCTGGGCTTGGCCTCAGCCCTCCATCGCCAGGCTCCAAATCCGAGGAGCCCGCCTGCTCGTGGCTGCGGGTCATATGTGTCCAGGATAAAGGCCGAGAACGACTGGAAAGTCTCTGTCGGCTGCTCAGCCAGGTAGATGATCTTGAGGGTCAACAGTCAACATATGCTTCCCATTATGTTACCACGGACGAGGGCGCGAGCTCACCCTTCTGTTCGTGACATATGCAACGCCCGAATCACACTTCACATTAAAATTGGAGTTGGCAGTTCGCAATGCCTTGGGCACTGATAGCTCCAGGCTTACGTAGCCAGGCGTCCTGAGCAATATCTGCTCGTCTTCGAGGGGCTGTATCTCGCCCTTCTGGTTGAGCATAACCCAGCTGCGCTTATGGTCAATGTCATATTCATAAAGGCAAGGATCTCGAGGTTGGCTCTGGGCCGTGATGCTCTGATGCTGGAGGGTGCCCTGGTAGAGATCCATGGGGACGGGGAGATAGGGAGAGGATGGCGAGATGTTGTTTGACTAGCACGAGGGGATAGGTCATGCCTGACGGAGGGGTGGATGGTGGCTGGTTCGAGGGCAGAGGGTGGAGTAAGAGAGGGGGGTTCGGTGATTCGGAAAGGAATAGAGTATGCAGGCGAGGCGTGCGTGCCAGAAGAGATAGGGCAGAAGAGAGGAGACGGGACTGACTTTATCGACATTTTGAAAGTGACAAAAAGGTGGTTGCGCGTGGGGAGGCTTGAGAATGCTCCGATGCTGGGGCTCACGCAGCTCGGCACAAGGATGTTCGAGACTGGTCGAGGCTCGGGAGGCACAGGGCGGGAACGGACCGGGAGAGAAGCAAAGTGGGTTATGCCGGAGGACTGGCGCAAGTTCCCCCCGTCAAGGTGAGGCGGCTGCAGTAGTTCGCCTCGTCTGGGTGTGTCGAACAGTTCGTATGGCTTGCCCACGGGCCTCTTCGAGGTATCGCAGGGAGAGACAGCCGGAGAGCACGGCAGAGAAGGCCGAGGGCAGCGATTGGCAGGCTCGCAAACCAGATTTGGATCTTCAAGGTCGCAATCAGGCACGCCTAGGGTGGGCTGTCTGGCTGTATGAGATTCAGTGCCTTGACGGCTGCGAAAGCAGGAGCAGCAGATGTGGCATGGGTGGGTGCTTGGGCAGCGTGGGCAGGCCGTGGGCAGGTAGCGAGAACGGTGGATGCGACCCCGGACTGCAGGATGTCAAGAGAAGTGGTATCCAGTGCCTTTCCTTGACTCAAGATATGCGTCACCGGCCTATTGGAGGTGGGGGGGCCTATGCCTCTGCTCTCGTGGTGTGGTGTGGTGTGGTTTGTTTGTTGTGTGGGGTGCTGTAGTCGACTGGACTTGTAGATCGAGGGTTTCCAGTATGCCCTAGGTTAGTCTTGGGCCAGGGTCGTAGTCTGCAGCACGTAGTCGCGACGAACAAGTGGTGAAGACGTTCAGAAGTCGATGCTGATTGCCCATGACGAAGCGAGGAACTTCCAGAACAAGAGTGACAGGCCAGGGTGGTGGCTGTGGTGGGGGGCCCGTGGCCAATGGCGACTTAGCGCAAAAGCACCTCTTCCTCCAATCCTTCTTTCTCCCTAATCCTCCTCATCCACTTCATCACGATCTATCTGTCTATCTCACTCTTCGCACGCCTCCCTCTCCTCCTCGCCAACCTAGAGATCAGTCCATGCTGCAAAGAACCCAAGTGATACGGTCCTTCAGACAGAACGCGCAAGCTATTTGCCTCCGGTTGCCCATGCTTGCCAATTGGGTGCTGCGGACCGGCGGAAAGGCCCCGACCCGCATATCGCATGCCTTGATGGAGACGCCGTGCCTTCATGCGCCTCGATGCAGCCTGCCCTGCATGTTCCGCATCTAGACTACCTACCTACCGTACGTCCAGTAGTAGCCTATCTCCCACCTTATTTATTTCCTAATTCTAAGCGATGGTGTATTCGGTCTGACCAGTCTGTTTTGTCTGGAACGGCCTCTTTCAGCCTCTCTCCTCCTGGGCGTGGGGAACCGGCAATGCCGATACAAAGACTGTGCTGTCGAGTCTACGGATGCTCCTCGAAGCTCGATCAACCGTTGAGTTCAGTAGTTGACTTGACTTGATTTGATCGCTAGAGACACATGTGGTCAACTTTGTGACAACGGTCCAGATGTCTTTTTTTTTCTGGTTCAGGTCTTCTTTTTCCCACTCCTTTCATATCCTCGTGGCAGGGCTTTTGGGTGGAGATAGTCCAGGAGCTCCGCCCTACGACGCACGTACTGTCGTGTCTGCTTGTACAGGGCCCCATCTGCGAGATCTTGGGGCACTTTCCCAATCCCATCAGCGATACATGAGCCAAGCGGTCGGGACACTCCCCATTTGTTCCCCTGAGGCTGCAATGCCCGCCCACTAGGCCACCGACCTTGCCGATTTCTGCACATGACCACCCTCATCTCACTCCTCCAGCAAGACAGATGCCGTTCCCCCACGGAGCCCTGGACGCTCAAGGTGACTAACTTGTCTTACCATTCCTTCTCCTGCAGCGGTGGGGAACACCGTCGCTCTGTGGGGGCACTGCTGCTATGGCAGGGGAGAAAAAAGAAAAAAATGCTACCTTCTCAGGCTTGACCTGTCGAGCAATTCTGTCATGGAGACATCCAGGGGCTGTTTGGAGTGGGCGTGAGTGGCTGGTCCTGCTCCCACTAACACACTGATGACGGCTCTTGTCGATGCGACGTGCATGGCTGGTCCTGGTGTCTCACTCCCCGCGACTTCAGCTGTCACTGTGCTCTGCAAGCCACATGAAAGACGGGATCATATGCACCGCAACATTCTGGTTCAAGTAACGGCCCGAGGTGTTGGAGCCAGCCCTCGATCCTCGCTCGGCTCCCGGCAGTCAGAAGGAGCTTATTAGGGGCTGAGAAGAAACCCCCCCGTGGCGTCGTCAAAGCTCAGGATTCACCGCCTTGGACCACCTTGTCTGTTCAATCTGAGCGAATTAGAGAGCGTAGCAGTGCTGGCCCATCCTCCACCGGTCAGTCCTTGATTTCCGGCACTCTGCAGAGAAACCTGGAAGCAATTGCCTAGACGGAACCATGTATCATGGATGCTATGGCTCATTCCGAAAATCACTCGCTACTTTCCCATTATCCCATCAGATTATGGCTCAGGGCAAAGGAGCTGTCAACGGGCGGCTGATCCCGAGCGTTCATTTTTCCGGGCCCGCATATGCTCTCTAACCATAGCAATTCCACCGCGGTCTCTTGTGCTCGCATAACCATTGGACGTACACTTCATGTACTGTACATTGTACAGTGTACAGTGTACAACATACCGTAGAGGCAGCACGTGGACAAGACACTCCATACCATGGTACCGGAAACCTTATTTCCTATGGGGCGGTCACGTTACTACACTCGCAGTCTGTTCAAGGTAACCTTCTCGTAGGGCCCCTCATCAAGGCCAGTGCTAACTATTATCATGTGCTCAAGTAGTCGGCCACTGGTGCGCCTATGAGGACCATGGGCTGCCCTGGCGTTGAGACATGCTTTTGGTCTAGGACACCGGTGAGCTAGATTGCAGGAGTGGTTTCTTCTTCAGAGCAGAGGGCTGAAAGTCCTGCCTCGACCGCGAAAGGGCGAGCTCGAGATTCTGTCACATATCACAAACCCGTCCGGATCTGATCCATGTTAATTTCGCCGGTGTCGCTCACCGCCATACACGCCCATACAAGGCTCGTCATGGAATTTTGACGTCGTCCGATGGGGAACATAGAAAAAAAGAAGACACTGATGAATCAATCAACGTGGCAACACGGCAACGCATCGCATCCGTTCAGGAAATTGATGCGGGTTTCATTGCGGACCACCAAGCCGTCACAGCTACAATGACCGGTGAGGTCCGCATGTCCGATCCTGTGCTATTTACACAGATTGTCAGTTTATCTCGCTCGTCTGATTGAATCAATATGTGTCCCGCATCAAATACCACCGACACAAGCCAGATTGCTGCCATTGGCCTATCCGAGCAAGCACGTCTATGAGCTAAGGCGACGTTCCTCTCGAAGCTTTCACACTATTCGTCCCCTGCCTCACCGGCTGTCTGCTAGAGGCACTGCCTTCGGATCACTCTCGGGGAGACGATCAACCGCTGCGAAGGCCGTAGAAGTCATGACGGCGAGATGACAGAAACTGTCCTGCCGTGATCGGCGGACCAAAAATACACCACGGGATACTGCATTCTTCAATTACGTGTCACTGCGAGATATCCATGGCATATGCACACTCCAGGTGCGTATACACGCGTAATGTGCGTCGCCCTGCGCTGGAAGGGAGGTCGCACAAAGGCGAAAGCCTCGGCCTTGAATATGATAATGCTAGGTGTGGGCTGATCGTGACGGGATCGGGCCAGAACGTCCGCCTGTGGCCAACAAAGGATGGCAAATGTATTTGTCTATGTTACCAGTTGCGTATGTCAACATATTTGGCGAGGAGACTAAGAAGCATTCCGTAGGGTGGCGCGAACGGCAAGGCGACCACGGCATAGAGTGATAGCGAGGCTTGCAGGTGGCGCATTCGCCACAAAGGTTACATTCCCTGGATATCAGTCATGATAGGGACATGTCCCAGACCGGTTCGGAAGAGGCTATCGAATTCAGACATGACAGACAGGTGTCCGGAGCGAATGGACCGGGATCCTAGAGAAACGGTGATGGTCACGATAGAGAACAGCATCGACTGAGTAGACAGTCATGCCAGAGACAGTATTGACACTCCACGGTGTCCTACCACAAAAGGCTTCCCCGAGAGCTGTGTGGTCTCGGCGTTTTGTGTCTCTTCTCTGGGGGAACGCAGGAGCGCTCTCCAAAGATCTCGTGGAGACGGGCAGAGAGCCGGCGGCGAGGTCATCAGCGAATATTCAGGCGTCAATTACTAAAGTTTGATAAGAAAGAAGGGATCTTTTGCTGCTTTAGGCGACAAAGATTCGCACAATGCCAAATCATCAACGCAAAAGCTTCTATGAGAGAGGGCGTGTGTGTGGATGCGCGCCTCCCATCATCGTAGAAGCAATGAAAGATTTGGAACCAAATCTACCGTGTATAGACATGTCAGTGATGCTGCTGTAGGAAGATGAGTGAAACCACAATATCCACATATATAATTGATCGTTGCAGCTCCAATTTGGCGGAACTAACGACTTGCCCAGAGGGCGGCTAATTGACACAACTAATTAGATATGGAGGTTCCCAGCATCCGTTACACAAAAGTGTCGCCCAGTCTTGGGAGATAGTAAAAGAGGAGAGAGGGGCAATTAAACAACCCCTCGCTATTCCAAACAAGACTTAGCGACTCACAGGCCTGAATTGTGCGCAACGACCACGTCGCCAGGTATTCGGCTTTGGTTAGACTGTGCTACCAGTACCAGATATGAAGTTTCTTTTATTTGATCACTCTTTTCACAGGGACAGGTAAGAATGGAGGCAAGAAAAATAGTTGTAGGTGAGATTGGACACCTGTAGTCATGCAATTATATGTAATGTTGTCTATGATAACGCCTATCCATTATTTACAGTTACTCATGAGGCGCTGCCGCCCTCTTCCTTGTCGTCTCCTTTCGTAGATGATGCACCGAGCGGCGAGGGCGCCGGCTTCGTCTGCGGGAACTGTTGCCAGTCTCCGCCAGCGCGGTCGATCGGAGACCAACCCGCCGCGCCGACACTGCCTGCCACGATACCCGTCATCAGGGTGGCCGCGCCCAGGACAGAATTAGACCTGGACCTGGACCGCATCGACCTGGACCTGTTCCTAGAGTCCGGCGTCGTGCTGCCGACATTGCTGCCGACGTTGCTGCCGACGTTGCTGCCGCCGCCGCCCGAGCCGAAGCTATTCTCCCGAGTCGGGGTGTGCGGCTGCTTGATGGAGTTGGAACGTGAGTTTTGCTTTGAGTTCTGTCGCGACATGCTCCTCTTGGGCAAGAAGACCTCCTTCGGGTGCTTCATGGCGAATTTTAGATTGTTAACACGTCCGCCCTTGAACCGCTTCAGCCAGAAGAGCTCGTCACGGATCTCGGCAAACTCGGCCGGGAAGTTCTGGAAACGTTCCACATCGTCAGAGACAGTGACATCTGGGGTCTTGGTTTGAGCCCTGCGCTTGATGGCCTCTGGCACGAGTTTCTCGAGTAGTGAGTCAGGAACGAGTCGGACGACGATACCGATAGGGATCGAAATGAAGCCTAGGACGATGGCGGTTCCCCACATGCTGGCGGACTGTCCTTCGGAAGCAATGTTGAACGCCTTGCCGCCAACAAAGATGATCAGGATCTGTCCGCCGCACATGATAATACTAATGCCGATGAAGAACCAGTTCTTGAAGAGGCCCTCGAAGATGTTGAATTGGTTGTCCAGACGACGGTTACTATCTCTTTGTTAGTCTTCTTGATTCACAATTATAAAGACGGGTTGTGCACTTACTTCCACTGGTTGAAGATTTGCATCCACACGAATGTGTTGAAAACCAGTGTTTGGATTTGCGCGTCGGTGGCATCATCGCCGGGGATGACCGAGTTACGGCCAAAGTAGATGAGGAACGTGATGACGAGCTGGTAAATGGCCTGGCCGAGTATCATCTTCCACATTGTTGTAGAAATGATTGACTTGTTCCTCCTCTCAGGCTTGCGGTTCAAAACACTGTCCTGTGGAGGATCAGTGGCCAGAGCCAAGGCAGCGAGTGTGTCCATAATCAAGTTAACCCAGAGCAGCTGCACAGCCGTCAAAACACTGCTCTCGTCGTTGCTAGAAACGGCCGAGACAAAGGTCAGGACGACAGCGGTGATGTTGACGGTCAGCTGGAATTGCAGGAAGCGCTTGACAGCATCATTGACAGCGCGGCCCCACTTCAGAGCCTTGACAATAGAACTGAAGTTGTCATCCATGAGAATAATCGCGGAGGCTTCTTTGGCGACCTCAGTACCGGCGATTCCCATTGAGAAGCCGACGTCAGCTAGTCTCAGGGCTGGTGCGTCGTTGGTACCGTCTCCGGTGACAGCAACAACTTCGCCCCTGTTCTTCAGCAAACCAACCAGAGTGCGTTTGTCTTCAGGGCTAGACCGGGCCAGAACGTGAAGTCGTGACAGTATATCTTGCTGTTCGGACAGAGGCAAGTTGCGGAATTCGGGGCCTTCCATGATGATGGAGTCTGGCTGCAGGATACCGCAGTCCTCGGCGATGGCTTGAGCTGTCAGCTTGTTGTCTCCAGTAACCATGCGCACGACGACGCCAGCTTTCTGGCAGTCCTTGACAGCTTCCCGAACACCTTCACGCAGGGGATCCTTGATGCCGACCATGCCGAGGAAGACCATGTTGTTGAAAATGGCTTCGAATTGGACCTCATCTTTCTCGCCGTCGGCGCGTCGTGCCCTTGGTGGTGGCCACTTGTCCAAGTCCTTGTACACAATTCCAATTGTCCTCAAAGACTGCGTAGCATAGTGCTCGATGAGGCTCATGATAGTCTCCCTGTGCTCTGGGCCGAGAGAAGCAGTGCGAGAGTCGGATGATGGGTCACGAACCATCGAGGTACACTGTGCCAGGACGATTTCGGAGGCACCCTTGACATACAGTCTCGCCCGCCCGTCGGGAAGCTGGATCACGATGCCCATGCACTTGCGGCCGGAGTCAAAGGGAATGAGTTGCAGGATCTTGGCGTTTGACCTTTCCTCTGCTACCGGTCCCATTCCTAGGTGCTCCTTGGCGAAAATGAGCATTGCCATTTCCGTCTTGGATCCAATGTAGGTCATTTGTCCGTCTACCTCACCCTCGAAGGCAGTTGAGTTGAGAGCGATTGAGTTCTTGAGCAATTCCTTCACCTCTGCGCTCAGCGTCTTGACAAGCTCCGAGGCACTGACGTCCAGGGTGCCAGATGGCACAGGCTCGTGTCCTTCTCTGGGCGGCGCACCACCAAACCTATGGGATGTGCTGATTGTGCCCGCGACGACCTGCATCTTGTTTTGCGTGAGAGTTCCGGTTTTGTCGGAGCAGATCGTGCTGGCATTGCCCATGACCTCGCAGGCCTTCAAGTGTCGTACCAGATTGTTGTCCTTCAACATACGGGTTGTTGCGAAAGCGAGAGCGAGCGTCACTGCCAGTGGAAGGCCTTCGGGCACGGCGACGACGATGATAGTAACAACGACGATGAAAATTTCCAGGAAGTTTTGGCCCTTTTCGGTGGGCGTCAGATTGCCCTGGCCCTTCAGCTTGACGAGGAATTCGATGAACAAGACGATGAACAGCAGCAGACCCGCGGCGCCTCCAAGCTTCGCAATATACTCGGCAATAACGTTCAGCTTCGACTGAAGTGGAGTCATCTCAGGGTCATCGTTGAGAGCCATGAGAGTCTTGCCGTAGCTAGAGTGGATACCGACAGAGGTGGCCATAAAAGTTCCAACACCTTCCATGACGCGAGCACCAGACTGAATGAAGGGGTCCATCTTAGCGAGGCTCTCGCCGTTCTCGATGGCAGCGTAGACCTCATCTGCTGGCCTCTTCCGGATGACGTCTGATTCTCCGGTCGCCTGGGATTCGTCACATTTCACATTGAAGCCCTCAATCAGGATGCCGTCGACAGGGATCATGTCGCCAGGCTCGAGATGGAGTACGTCTCCAACGAGGATGTCAAAAACACTGAGTTCAATCGTCTTTCCGGATCTGACCACCTTGACGATCCGATCCTGCTTCTTCTTGTTCAATTTTGCGAATTGCCTCTCCTTTTGGAAGTCGTTCAGAGAACCGACCATCACAACAATCACAATGGCAACGATAATTGCCACGCCCTCGACCCACTCGACCGGTGGGTTGTTGACATCGTGGTGCGTTCCAAAGGTCTGATACAATCCGATGGCCAGAGATACCACAGCGGCAATAGACAACAGAATCAGTACCTTGTCGTTGTAGGTAATCCATATCAGCTGCAGCAGACTCTTTCCCTTCTTCTCGGGAAGCCTGTTGTCCTTGAAAACACGTTTCCTGTCGCTGAAGGTTTGATCCTGATCGTGAGAGTCGTGTTGAGCGCCGGTGGCCTGGGGCTGAGGTGTTGGTTCTGCGCCCTCGGTCTTGAGCTTGTCGGCGCCGGTCGCGTCTTCGAAAGTTACCCTGCCGTCCAAGTGCTTCTCGTCGATTCCAAGTCCAGCTGTCCGGTCTGAACGCAGGCCCTTCTCCATTCCTGCAAGTCCTCCCAATCGGTAAAAAGCTGAGAGACTCTTCGGGTTGAACATCTTGCCCAGCTGGCCGGGGCTAAAAGCAAAAGGGTTGTTGTCCACATCGAACTCCTCTTCCTTTCCTTGGTCGGGCTTGAGAGCATCGGGGTCGTTCATGACGTGGGCGTGGTCGAGTTCCATGGAGACCTTGCCCTTGGCGTCTCCCTGCTCGCTCTGGAAGAGGGTGGTGCTGGTGTCGATCTGAGTAGAGGACCTCGGGCGGGAATCGTCAGCGGAGTCGACGCTGTTTTGCCTGGAACGGGGGCCGCCATGGTTGGGGACGGCCAGGAAGTTCTGAGACTGGTCCTTTGAGCGGGAGATGGGGCTGGAGACATTGTGAGGGCTGGTAGGCCGGCTCTCTCTGCTCTCGAAGGATGGCTCCGTATCTATCTGAGTGCGCACGCTGCGGCTTTCGGAAGTCTCCACGGTGATTCTCTGGGTCGTCCAGCTCTGTGCTGCCGGATCGACGACTGTGGAGGGGCTGTGGGTGTCGGAGGGAGAAATTGGCGAGTGGCCATTGCCATGCTGGGCAGCAGCGGCATCATTATCCGCGTCGTCGGGCTGGGGCGTGGGACTGACGGCGGTGGTGTCGATGGTGATGGTAGGGGCTCTGGGCCTACCGGGAGCCATGTTGAAGGAGGAGGAGGAGGATGTCGTCGGCGGCAGGAAGCGCGCACTCTGCTACCGGTGGTATGCTAGGTACGGCTTACAGTAACATGCTGCTGCTCCGAGACGGAGTGGTACCAAGTTTTGTCAACAGAGCGAGGCGTGGTGTCTAAGTGGAGGTTGTTTGGGGCTTGTCCTGCGTAGGGAGACAGTTTGTAGGCAAACCTCAAGGCAGGGCGATGCAGGGCGAGGTAAGGCAGGGCAGGACAGGGCAACAAACGAACAGGAAGGGAGAAGGAGCACGAAGTGGGTGCATGTGTAGTGGTAGTGTATTGAAGAAATGGAGCAGACCAGTCTCGTAGGCACATAGATACATGGCACATACCAATGGCAATTCTCACGCTGGGGCAACGAAGGCAGAGGCAAGACAAGACAGGACGATGTGAGCAGCAGCAGTTACACGAAACAGGGATGCAAGGTATACGCAGGTATGGGGCAAGGAGCATGGAGTATGGATCCTTCCCCCTAGCGTGCGTGGCTGTGTAAAAATGCCCAGGCCGCTCTTGCATTTTGTTGCAGGGCTGCCGCAGGAGATCCCTGGTGATTGGAGCTCTGCCCTGCCGGTACCTTGGTACTTGGGTACCTGACGTCCCTGGGCACCCACAATATCGACGTGCCTTCTTGGCACATTGCTCGCAGCTGCTCTCATAGGCAAGGGCCGCAAGAAGCCTGGCCTGGTGCTGGCGCCAAAACCCCATCTGCTGGTAATCAGGGTGGTCTATCTAAAAGTGTGTGTGTGTGTGTGTCTGTATATCTCTTTCATTGCTACTCTGTACGGAGCATAAGCAGCACAACCCGACTGTATCCGTGTAGTCTATCTACAGTATGCCTTTCTGCTCTGCGTACCTACTATGGCTGGCTACTACAGACAAGACAGACACTCTCGTCCTACGCTATGGTCTGGTACGGTAGGTGCGTGCTCTGGTCCATCACGACTCGAGGCTCAAAAAGACGGTCTGCTCTCGTTTGTGCTCGGCTCTGACTGAACCCTGACGTCGTCTCGCCCTTCACAAAGCACTGATAATTGTTGGACGGCCTCCACGGGGCCGCCTCCCCAACAAGCGAAGCAAGCAACCTACTGACTAACTGACCTACTGGCGTTTGGCTGCGGCTGGCGCTGCGCCATCAACAAGTCACGAACATCAAACCGGAGGCCGCAACCGTATTACCAGCAGATCTCAGTCACCTTCAATTCCGACTCGCTGGACCGAGCGACTGTGCTGCGCGGATGCGAGATGATTGATGGGCCCTGCCAGAACCCTAAGGAAGGCCTCCAGTGACAGCCCTCGCCTGGTGGAACACCAGAGACACGGCCGGGCCCATTACTTTTCGCCATCGTCATCATCGATCCATCAATCAAAATCAACTAGATCCATGGGTCACGCTCACACAAAAGACAGAAACAGCTGTGTGCGCATACGAACCCCCCCCATTGGCCTCCGGGAGGCCCAGCACCGCCAAGGAGGGCACTTACCACCTGTGTGGAAATCACCCGATGATCACTCTACTGACTGATATCTTGTCGTGGGCCCGACACGGGCAACCCCAAAAGTCCTCGCCCTGCGAATCCAGTGCACCTCACCGTTATTTGAAAAAGACTCCAGGGCCAAGAGCTTCGTGGTAACTCTCTGTCGTTGCTCCCAATTTCCACCCATCGGCCTTGATTCAGGGCATGACACCCACGCAGCCGCCGTGATTGCTGCTGGACCCTCATCTCCGGCGGTGGAGATTTGGCGCCTACACCCTCGCATTCTCTTCCACCACCTCCCGGCCGCCCAGCCGTCCAGGCCGTCCTGCAACTACCTGAGGCTCCAGACTTTCCGAATCGACTAGTCGGGTTGCGCCCCTTAAGTTGCCGCCTCCATGCCGCGTGCAACTCGCACGCACCACCACAGACCGCCTCCCAAGCGACGGCTCTTCCGGTTGTTGCTCGCCTAAAAGGACCGAAATCCACGGGTCCCCGCTTGCAGTGTTGATGTTGGTGCTGTTGGTGCCTGTTGGTACTGTTGTTGGGCCTGGTGCTGCCCCGGTGCCATTATTCTTCACCACATTCTAGAAGCTTTCCCTCTGAGATCAACGACCAACGGGGATGCCCCCGACCCGGACTGGTCGATGTTATTGATCACCGGAGGAGGGCCCACCCGGCGACCCGCCCGAAACACTTTATGTCTGCAACCTCTGGGCACACTACCGATATCAAAACACCTTGGCAATCACTCACAATGCCGCCGCCATGCTTTCCCTCCTGGCCGTGCCACGCGTTAGTAGTCGTCACCTAAGTGTTTCCTTCGGCTGGCTAGGTGGGATCATGAGGATTGACATCTGCGACCTGCACTCGCGCCGCTCCTGCTCCCGGAATAGGTGACTCAAGGAATGTCTGTGTCGCCATATCCTGCCGAATCCAACAGCTTGGATCATCCGCCACAAGACGAGCTACTCACGCATGACGAGCTCAGCCTCGGCTTGTGACAGGACAGACTAAACCGTAGCTCTCAACCACAAGTGTTACACTGCTCAAGACCGCGTCGTGTAGCCAGCAATCTGGGATACCAAAATGCAACATCCGAACGCGCAAACGGGGAGGTGGGCTAGCGGGATCGCCTTTACCCTCATTGCCGGAGGAAAATTGTCTCCCAACGGCCCAATAGGGTGGTCTAGATCTCACAGTCCGCATAAAAACTAGCCTAGTTCCTGGGCATGCTATCACTTATCATCAAAGCCTACCATCACCATATCACCGGCTAACGCCCTTGGCGTACCATACTCAAATCATCCTCAATCATATTTCAGAAAAGGGCCGCCATTATCGAAACTACAACAGGCTGTTTGTTGTGGCCAAGCAAGGCTTGGCGCACCCACCTGCTTGCGCACCCCCTCTGAATAAGCTCGCGGGCTTTCCCATGCCGCAGAGTCTCGGCCGTCTTGGTGGCAGCTCTCCGGCTACCTCAAGTCCCGTGGCAAAAGAGCTTGACGATCGACGGGTCTTCTTGGGCATTGCTTGTGTGGACTTGTCTTCAGCCCAGCGGCCCGGCAGCCTCAGGTGGTACATTGAGGCTGTGCAAGACATGATTGGTAGGGCGCACCCGGACTAGGCGCTTCTGCTCAAAAAAATCCGAACAACTCACTTGCTTGACTTGACAGCTTTTGCCTTCTCCACAGCAGAGGTCAGGACGATCATGGGCTTTGCGGGATACGACTCAAAACAACGACTCGAAACGTGGGCCCATGATAAATGTTCCCTGTTTCCAGGTGTTTTGTTCACGTCTTGGCCCACGTACAGCTGGCTACCGTGATCGACCCATCCTTGAAACATCTCCCTCCGTGGCGATATGTAAGGCACAACTTCTCACAGCCCCCACAAGTGCAGCACAAGCGCATATTCCAACGACGACAGATGGCCACACTGACTAAGGCACAGGCGGCCCCGCGGACAGAGCTAACAATCCGCTGGATGCCATTCAATTCTTTGATCCCATATATCCTGGTCTTGAGGCTGCACGGAAGCCTAATTGGGCATATTCTGTTCCCTCACCGCACCCAGCGACGCTCCGAGAATGTGGCTGATATGCGTGACTAGCAAGAGTATGCTTGTGATCCAAGCATTGTAATAGAGCACACACTAGACTAACTGGTGACGAGTGTACTGGCCGGCCATGTGACCCGGACTAACCAGCCGTGCACGTGTGGTCCGTATTGCTGCGGCGAAGTGCTCGCTTATGGCGGCACTTTCATCTCATCTTTCCTGACTATTGTCACCAACCACTGGCGACACAACGTATGTCTACTGCTTACTCGCCAAGATGGGACAGAAGGGGGAACACCAACAATCTCACGTAATTGCTCGCTACCGTCGGATACTCGCGGTACACCCAGGTTTCCTCTGCGATATTGGTTGGAACCGTCACACAGTGTCCTACTCGCTCTGGCTGAAACACACAGCCACGAACAAGTCGTCACGACGTGCTAGTTTCGCTGACGACAAGGCATCTTTCCGAGCTTGCCCCAGTCATCGCCAAAATCATCAAGGCAATTTTGCCGTCGGCGGACCTCCTCATGCCCACCATTTCCCAGTCTTGATGCCTCCGGCAGGGGTCGCCCGTAGATGCCATGCTGAGCCCTTGATCATGATCAACAACAACAATACCATCAAGTGCCGCGCTTCCAGGCTTTCGAGGTGTTGGTAGGCAACATCACCTCACGCCTGGCCAGTGCTCCAGCTCGGATGGGAGCCGGCCGCATGGGCATCCCACTCCGTGCAACCCGAAGATGCTCAGCCTCATTGCAATGATCGTGGCCCCATTGTAGCATCACACCACCAAATCACCTCCTCCCCAGGTCAACATCCCTTACCAGCACCATCCCATCCTCCTTCCCACTACCATTACTACCACTGCCCACTCCTACAAACGGGCCGACGCCCTTACTCACCGCCCCCTCCCAGAACTCAGCCACCACGTCCCGCAGCTCATCTCCAGTCTGCTTGAAGTCCGGGAACGCGTTGACCTCGAGCAGCCAGGCGCGCCCGCCGGCGTCCACAAGGAAGTCGAGGCCAAACACCTCAAACGCGAACGGCAGCGGCTGAAAGTGCACCATCATGGCCTTGGCCGCCGCCTCGAACACCTCGCCCGTGACGGCGCACACCTGCGTGAAGATGTCGTCCTTGGCCGTACCCGGGAGCCCCGGCACGTCCCAGAAGCGCCGCACCGAGCCTGCGTCCGCCTTGGGGCCCTGGATGCACGTGTTGGTGAGGTGCGCGTCGAGGTAGCCCTCCTCCTCGTTGCCGTCACTGCTGCTCTTTTCCCAGGGCGCCGAGTAGGCCCGCCCCGCGAACAGCGCCAGCATCGAGCGGCCCACGTAGACCTTGAGCGCGCCCACGCACAGCACGTACGCGCGGATGTGGAACTTGCGGTTGCCGCACTCGGGGATCAGCAGCGGCGGGTGGATGTACGGCTGCGCGACGAAGTGGCGGAGGTGTGACGTCGTGATGCCGTCCCCGTCGTCGTGGCTGTCAGCACCAGCCCCGTCGCCTTCGTCCTCATCATCCGAATCAGGTGCGTCGGCCTCCCACCCATCAAAAATCGCCTGGAGCTCCTCCATGGTCGAGAATAGTCGGATGCCCTGCCCGCGGTCGCTCATGCTCGGCTTGAGGATCCACCACTCCCTGTCCTTCGCCTCCACGACGGCCCCGTCTTCTGCTTCTTCACCACCAGCACCGCCGCCCCCGCCATTGCGCTCCAGGCTGGCCCGCAGGTCGAATGTCTCGTCCAGCGCGTCGTCCAGGAACTCGGCGTAGTCGACCTCGAACGGCTCGCTGGCTTTGACGTGGTCCCGCAGTGGTGACGTCGGGTTCTTGGCGACCCAGTGGTCGACCGTCGTCGACAGGAAGTGCTTCCTGATGAGGGCCTTGCGGATGACGTAGCTGTTGATGAGTGACGTCGCCGGGTTCGAGGATGCGTGGTCGAAGTCGATCGCTTCGTAGGCTCTTATTTGGAGCACCTTGGCGCCTTTGGTGACCTGCTCCTCCAGGTTGTGGGACGGATCCGGGGACAGGAGGCGTAGCCGGCTGGGTGGGATGAGGGTTTGTAGGGCCGAGAGGATGATCGGCTGGACGTAGGCATCCTCGTAGTCGACGATTGCGAGTATTTGCTCTCCAGAGCTAGCGGCGACCTGGGTCTCCTCTGCCTTGGCTGCTGTGTTGGGGCCAAAGGTCCCGGCCGTCCTCAAGGGGAGTGCGCTGGTGGCCTCATGCTCATCCCTGAAGTCGAAGCAAGAAAAAAAGTGTGAGAATCCGGTCTTGGGTGGAAAGTGGATGGACTGACGGGTCGAGAGCACATCGCTGTCTATTTCTAGCATGCTTCTATGACTCTATGTCCAAGCCCTTGCCCGGGGGGGATCTGTAGACTGCCCCAAGTCTCGCTCGATATATGCATTTGTGTATATGCGGTCCAAAAGACGCCTGGCTCATTTCGTGCTCGCACTCCGGAAACAGGTCACTCACAACTTCAGCTCCTGCCCCTGCAGACTCTCCGCGGCGTGCCAGAAGTTGGCCTTCAATGCTGTCACACTGTGAATGGTCCATGTTAGCAAGATTTCATAGACTCGGCTCACTGTTCACTCACCTCGTATGGCCGTCTCTGATGACCCGCCCATCACAGTCGGCAGGCGCACTGTCGACAGCCTTCATGACGTCTGCCAGTTTGGGAGCCCACTTGAAATGTCTGTGGTCGTGGCCCTTCTTCCCACCCGCATCGTGGCTCCCCGCATCAACCCGTGGTTTCGTGGCCTCGCCATTGGCGCCCTCCCGGATCTTCTCCTCCTCCTCGTCCTCGCCGTCGACGTCAATGGCGTCCACAGCCTCGAAGGCGCTGTTGCCCTTGACCCAGTAGTTCTGCAGCATGCCGGCCCAGACCGTCTTGCGCTGCTCGACGCCCTCGACGAGGGGCACGTTGACGCTGTAGACGTCGGCGCTCCCGTCGGCGGGCCACTGCCTGGCCAGGGCCTCGACGACGCGGACGGCGTGGCGGCTGGCGGCGCCGACGATCTCCGGGTCGTGGTTGCGCGTGAAGAAGGCGTACGACAGCGCGACGGCCCTGTAGCCGCAGGCGGCGGCCTCGAGCGCGCCGCCCAGGGTGCCGCTGCTCAGCGCGAAGACGGCCGTCGTGTTGCGGCCGTAGTTGGGCCCGGACACGACCAGGTCGACGGCGCCCCGGCCCTGGAAGAAGTGGTGCAGCCCGATCTGCGCGCAGCTCGCCGGCGTGCCGTCCACCAGGACCCACTCCTCCACGTCGTCCGCCTTGGACGGCTTGCTGTGCGTCGTGCCGATGTCGTCTTCGGGGCCCAGGCCCGCGGGCGGCGAGGACGCCGGCGGGGGCCGGTAGTACGTGGGCTTCAGCGTCTGGCCGATCATGTGTGCCTTGCCGATCCAGGAGCGCTGCGTGTGGGGGAGGCACACGGACACGGTGTGCCCTGCGGCTTGGAGCTCGCGGACGAGGGAGTGGACGTAGGGCGACGAGTGCGTTGACGGGGGGCCGTCGTCGTTGATCACGAGGATATGCATCTTGGCTGCGGTGCCGGAGCGTGGGTTGGAGGCACCGATGGGGTCTGGATGGGTCTGGTGGGAAGGGAGAGGAGATTTAAACAGTCTACCTGCGAGAGAAGCTATTGAAGCATAAGTGAACGTAAGGGGGAACACGGAAATTATATCTATTTCTTGATTCTTGACGAGGGGAGAAAAGAAACTGCTGGCAATGCAGATTGAGGATTGCGGGGGTGGGGCAGCTCTACCAAGCTGCTGGCCACCGATTCATGGCCGCAGACCGGCCGAGTTTCCACCATGACATACGAACCCAACGCCAACTCACATCATACGAGTCCGTTCGGCATTATCAGATCCAATGACGTGCTCCCAGCCTCGAGTTCAGGCCCAAAACGGGTCTGGCCTTTGGCTACATTTGCTGTGTGGACGATAGGCCAATCTCATAACAACTCTTCCTGGTTTACGAGGCACCAAGGCCATATTACAGTAGGAAGATGAGTACTGCGGAGAGGCACGAACAGCGTTGGCAATGCCGTAAATCTGCTCGAGTCCTCATGATTCCTCTCATACACGTCACGACACATTCATCATTCACTAGGGACTCCAAGAACAGACTTGACTCGACTTCAGCAAGTGAAATTATCTATCTGTTCCGTCCTAATCCTGACATGCCTGCGGAAATCATTCCAAGACTCCTCGCCCGTTCTCCCTTGTCAATGTCGTAAAGAAAAACCCCTATTTGGCAGACCGAAAAACCTATCTGCAAATACTTCTGCTCGCAATGCATTTTATGAAGGCTGCAATGGCAAATGGCCGACAGTCGAGTGGTGATAAGAGAAGCTCTTCAGAGCCTCACAGAAAAGCACACCATGTACTTCCCATACCATTCTGCGCAACATCCTGACGAGTATCAAAGAGCTTCCACAAGCTCGGCAACAGCCCCCAGTTCATGCCTTACGCCGTTCTTTCGTCGGTGAAAAAAATTGATCTCCCTTATGAACCAGATTTTGTGAAGTAATAAAACATGTAGACAGAACGACTCGACTCGCCCCCCGAGCCTCGAATGCATTAGCCCACACTTCAAGCTCTGGGTCGCTTGGGCGCGGATGCACCGCTGAGCGGCTCACCAGGCCGCTTGTGGCCATTCGCAGACCCCTCGGAGGCAGTCTTGGTACGACGCCATCCATCAAAGGGACTCCGATTGCCAGGGCGCTTAGTCTTGACTGGAGTCGGCTCGTTGGTGATCTTCTTGGATCGGGTAGCCCGGCTGGTGTCCGGAGGCGAGGCGGGAGCGAACTTGGGCGCCTTAGGAGTGTCGACCTTCTCCTCCTTGGCCTCGACAGGCGTCTCGGCTCTGGCCTTGACATCATCAAGCTCGTCAGCTACGGGCTGCTCGATGTCGGTCTCCGCCTCCTCATCGGGGTGGACGAGCTCGTTCTCGTTGTGGCTCTTGGCAGATGGGAAGAGAAGGCGGGGCTTGACGTCGAGTCGAGAGCTTGACTCGTCACCATCTGAGAACTTCCTGAAGATCTTCTTGCCGCGGCTACAATTTTAGTTAGCACCGAATGGACCATGAAGAATTGGTGATATGGGTTAGGTGGTTGGACTTACAAGACGTAGAGCAAGCCGTCCTCGCGCTTGACAACCTCGTCAACCTGCTCAGAGACGCTGGCGCCGACCGTGTTCTTCCTGTTGCGCGAGCTGCGGCGCACAGGCTTCGCTGATGCCGCGATACCCGCCTCACCATAGAAGGGGTTTTCCTCGGTAGTGTCGGCAGCAGGGAGGCGGTCTTGGGAGTCAGTGTAGATCTGGAAGGTGTCGTCCTCAGCGTCGAAGCTGTCGAGCTTGTACTGCTTAGTGCGCGTCTTCTTGGGGCTTTGCGGCTTGCTGAAGAGGTTGCGCGCGATGGCGTTGACGCTCTTCTCGTTCTGCTCGGCGTGCTTGCGCGAGGGCGTCTTGGCGGGGGTTGGCAGGACGTGGGCCGATTGACTTGGTGCGCTGGTGAGGGAGTGGGGATTCATCCTCTGCGACTGGCCGAGGGCGGCTGCGGCGTGGCGGATGCTCTCTGCGGTCAATGAGCCCGACGAGACACGCGACACGGCAGGAAGCCGCTTCTTCTGAGGCGACGCGGTGGCCGGGGGTGAGGTCATCCTGGATGAGGTAGCGTGGGTGGGTTGGTGTTTCTTGTCAGAGGTCGACTTAGGTGAAGCGCGGACGTGACGAGATGTGGAGGTGCGACCGGACTGGTGAGGGGATGGGGTTCGGTTTGCCGATGTGCGCTGCGACGAGAGTCGCTCAGACTTGCGAACCGGCGTGTAGTTGTCGTAAAAGGTGCCGTGTCGCGGTGTTGAGGGGGTGTTGACACTGACAGGCGAGCCTGGGGAGGGCGTGGAGGCCACAAAGGCGGTTGCGGTCGCCATTTTTGCGCAAAAGACCAGACTTTCCGTCCCAGCTTTGGCCTGAAAAGTCAAACAAGAACAGGTGCAGGCTGCTGTCAGGCAGCAGTAGCAGTGAATTGGGGATTCACCGGAGCTTCCAATATCTCAATGCTCGGGATGAGTATCGCAGCCGGATGAGGCGAAAGGCAAAGTAGAGGAGGTGACAGAGGGTTAGGACTGGATCGAATGGAACTGAGAAGTGAGAAGGGGGAGGGTGAGGGTGATGGAGGTATAATGCAATTTAGCGGTCAGGGCTTGAGTTCCAAGGGAGAGAGCCGGGGGGCTAGAGGGAGAGACAGATGCTCTGATGACTTGAGTGGATCCCTTTTTATGGAGAACCGTCTTCCTTTGCCTTGCACGTAGTATTCCAGTGAGGGCGAGCCCAACCAAAATAGAAAAGCTATGTGGAGGATGATTCAAATAATAATGTTCACGATTTATTCAGGGAGGTATTGTGGTAACAATATCAGCTATGTGTCCTGGAAAAAGCCACTCTAGACAATGGGTAGGCAGAATGGGGATGATTGACGATGGGATGGATGATGGTGGTAATGTTAAAAGAACAGGCTGGGGGAATGGGGTGAATGGAGGCGGCTGGTGCATTGAGCAGCAGCAGCAGCAGCAGCAGGGAGACAAATCGGTGGTGGGTGGTGTGGTCTGGGGCGTTGCACGACGACCTCACTGGACCTGGGCAGGGCAAACTGGAGAAGCCCAGCCCACTTGAGTGACTCGAGGGCCAATCATTCTTGTTGATCGCCCCAACCGCGTCGAAGTCGTGACACGACTTAAGTCTGACAGGGATGAACGCGTCGAGACTTGACCCCACTTTTGTCAAAGTCAACAGACAGGGCCAGCAACCAAGTCCAACTCAAAGCATTGACTGCACTGTCTGCATTGCGACGTCATCAGCCAGACGGAGTCAATTACATCCAGCCAGCCAGCCAGTGAGGAATACGACGGTAAACAGTTCAGACAAACACCATGGCTGCTGAAGACGAATTCGACCCTTCGGAGGTCTTCTCATCCCCCATCAAACCCTCAGATCTTGGCAGACCAAAAACGCCCAAAACACCAAAGACCCCCAAGACCCCCACACCTAGCAGCCATCAAGAAAAGGAGCCCTTCGATGCCGACGAGCTCCGGGAGACCCAGCTCCGGCGGGAGCTCGAGGGCGTCCGCAACATCAACGAGGTGATCGAGGGTGTCATAGGGACACTCGAACGGGCCAAGGGAAACATGGGAGTAAGTTGATATGCCCACACTATCAGTCCTCCGGCCTATATATCATCACATGGGACCATAGCTGACACAGACCACCCAGAACGTCTCCCAGACCGTCAACAACGCCTCCACCCTCCTCAACACCTGGACCCGCATGCTCTCGCAGACAGAGCACAACCAGCGGCTCATCCTCAACCCCGACTGGAAGGGCTCGACCCAGGACATGCAGGACATCGAGGCTGAGGCAATTGCGCGCCAGCAGGCCGCCGAGCGCAGGGCCGCCGAAGAGGAGCGCCGACGTGAGGAGATCCGGCGCAAGGCCGAGGAGCAGGACAGGGCCCGTATGGCCGGCACAGGCTCTGCTGCTGGCCGGGGCTCCGGCACCAGGGGCGTGAGGGGCAGCACGCGGGGACGAGGCATCCTGAGAGGCGGCACGGGTGCGGGATCCAGCACAGGTGGATATGGCGGCACCAGTTCACGGGCCGGGTCGCAAATAGGGAGGGGCTTTGGGGCATCACGGACGACACGAGGGACGAGGGGTACAGGCACAGGCACAGGTAGCAGCAGAGGCGTGCGATGAGGGCGAGGGAGCCGCTCTGTTGTCGTCTTCGTATTATGCTGTCCATGATGTGCATTAATGATACCCCTTTTTTGGTGCTGACGCCCAACATATGCTCATCCAAACAAATATCCTACAAATGTGATACCCAGCACGCTGTCTAATCCCTACAAGCAGTCCTCATGATTTTGGCTTCTTGGTGAAGAAGTCACTCATCTTCTTCATCCCCGAGGTGTTCACCTTCTTCAGGTCTCTCACGCCCCTGCTCTCCCCAGCCTTCTTCCTCTTCTCCTCCTCCTCCTTCTTGCGCCTCTTCTCCCTGCGGTCCTCGTCCTCCTCGTCCAGCGTCCTCTTCCGGCTGTAGTCTGACGCCGACCGCGCCGTCATAGCCTCCTGCCGCAATTTCGTGAGTTGCCCTACGTACTCGTCCAGGGTTTTGAAGTCCACGCTCGGGCTCTTGCCCTCAGCCAGCATCTTCTTGAGCACGGCTGACAATGCCGGCGGCACGTAGCAGGAGCAGATGAAGTTGAAGGCTATCCGGAGGCGCTGGAGCCTGACCACCTCCGGTGAGGCCTGGATTGCTGAGGCCACGTCCTTGCTGGCCGTCGCTTCACTGTCGTCTGCTACAGACGTCGCGGCTGTTGAAGCCTCGGACGCGGACGTCGCAGATGTCACAATGGACGACTGAGACTCCACCTGCGTTTCTGCGCCTGAATCCGCGCCAATCGCCTCAGACGCCTGTGATTGCGATTGCGATTGTGAGACCGCTGCATTATCCGCCCTGCGCCCCAGCACTGGAGCCTCGAGCGCCTTCGTGACAAACTTCTCCTCCATGCTCTTCGGCAGCCCGTTCTCGCTCATCCGGCCCGCCTTGGCCAGCACCTGGCCAAGCAGCTTCTCCTCGCTCAGCCGGAACATGACCTCGTCCCCGGCCTCCACCGTGTCGCAGCCCGAGGCCATGCGGGACTCGAGCAGCTCGCGCCATCGCGGCCATCTCAGCGTCTCTCGCAGGTGCGCCGTGTCCTCTGCTATGCTGTCGAAGTGATCGTCGCTGGACAGGAACATGCGCTTGGGTGATGACAGCTGTTTTACCAAGGCTGGGAGGGCGAGGAATAATGGGTCGATAGGTGTGGCTATGTAGAGATCTGCACCTTTGGCGACCTGGGTTTGGAACGCTTGCTCATCCTTCTCATCGTCTCCTGATCCTGGGGCTGGGTCCTTGGTTCCGGACTCAATAAGCCAACTCCTCGGCGTCGTCTTGGGTTCAGAGATCCTGGTGAACTCATATGCGCCAGTCTGTGGACACACGAGGTATCGTGTGGGTTTTGAGTATCGAGGGTTCTGGAGTGACACAACTCTTGCCTCAGATGTTGCCTTCTCTGGCAGGATGAGGACCATGCATGGAGATTCGGACTCGGCTGGTAGTGAGTATTTTGATGATGCTGACGCTGTGGTATCTTTGCTTGAGCTGTTCGCACCCTTGTCGGCGCCTTTTGACCGTGTCGTCCTCGCCATGTCTTGCTAATTGATACGGCAGATATCCAAAGAAAACAATCCAATTCAGGGTGAGTAGAAATGAGGATGCTATCCCCGGAATTGGAAATATCTTATCAAGCTGATACGAGATGCAGACGGAGTGGGATGCAGCGCCAAAGTAAATAATCCAGGGTCCTTAACAGCGCGCTTATTACAGTGTGGAGACGCGTGCAATTCGTGTAGGCGCGTATCCCAGCCAACTCAGCCCGCCCCCTCCCATTTCCCCGTACCCGTAATCTGTGTTACGCCCTCAGGCCCTGTGCCCACTCCTGTAGGATCCGGTTTCGAAGGTCTAGTCTTTTGTGTAGTTGCATGCGGGAAACAGGCACGCGGAGGACAGCCACACTGGACTAATTAAGAGACTCAGTCGATCATCCGTTTAATCCTGGGCAGCCTCACCCGCCTTCGGAGCCGTTTGTTGATTCCAGCGACCATCCCACCCACACTACCTGCAATACATACACACCACATACCGAGTACCAAGTACCCAAGTACCACACATCCAACGACATTCCATAAGCCGGACGCTTTCGCTGCACCTGATTGCAGCGACCACCACAGCCACAAAAAGAACAGCTGTCTTGCCCATTGGCTCTCATGTGCCTGTTCTCGGGCGCCTACGCAGTCCTGGACCGTGGCGTTGTTCGGTGTGGGCGATAACGTTTGGCTGATATAACTAGGGTGTGTTGCTACTACTTGCTTCTCCTTGGGCCAATATTTTGGCCTGGACAAACAACAGTCTGGGGCAGGTCGGGGCTTTTCCGAGCATCGAAAACTCTTCATGACATAGCAAGGCGTTAGGAATGTCGTCGAGTAGGTTCTTTTCAATTAGAAGGGGGGAAAAAGCCCCATGGCCGCCTTTCAACTGACTCATGGGACAGACGCTGCAGGCTTGGAGGCTCACTGGCCTCCACGATCCCCTCGCGAGGCCCTATTAAGTACACCAGGCGGTCGCGAACGATATAGACAGATACTTGCGCAGCGTTCATCATCACCGTCGCCCACGAGAACACGATCCACCCGACCAGCAACACACGGTGCGCCACAGCCGATGATCATGGACGCGAGCGATCCTATGGACATGGGAGACCCCATGGACCTGGACGAGGAGGATGACGAGGAGACGCTGCAGCTAAAACTCCAGCAAATACAGGCACAGCTCAGGCTGAAGAAGTTGCGAAAGGACAAGGCTAGGTCCCAAAACGATCCACATTCGTCCTTCAGCCAACACTCGGATCAGGACAATACCAAGGCGTCAAGACCAGGCTCGGCTTCTACAGCGCGGCCGGGCTTAAGGATAAAAGAGATCAGAAGGACAGATGTAGGAGCGCGGCCGTCTTCACAAAGCTCTGCTGTTGAAGTACCAGCTTCGCCCGTGAGGAAGGCTCAACCACAGCCCGAGCAAACTTCTCCAAGCCGAATATTGCTCGGCATAGACAAAGGGCTGAAAGGGAAGGATATATCACTGAAAAGGGCACCGAGTCTACGAAAGTCTCAGGACGACCCAGGAGGGTCGCAAAGCGGAGCAGGATATCTGCACAGGTCCAGGACTCCAGGTGTGGCGGATGACAAACCGCGGCCATTGAGCTTCAGTGAGAGACTGGCTGCTGCTCGGACGGAGGAGAAGACGCGTGAAGAAACGAGGTCAAAGGCATCTAGGTCGCGAAGCTCAGCCTTCAACGTGACCATGCAGGAGATGGAGGATTACAAAAGTGCTGCCGTGGATCTGCCAAACGAGCCGTCACCGCGTGATCGAGGATCTGCCCGAGAGGAAACCACAGGAACTACGCCATCCGAAAGACCGAGGCCTGGCCATCTACACCGCAGCAACACCGCCCCTAGCATACGGTCAGCGTCGCGTGTAGGACATGGCAACACGGACTCTGGCTCGTTCACAACGCAAGTCGCAAGCTCATTCTCCTCAATAACATCCGAGACCCCGAAATCACCCTCGGTCTCTTTCGACGTCTATTCTGGTTTCCATCTGACCAAGCGCATCCTCCCACATCAAGTCGTGGCGCGTGCAGTCTCAGGTAAAACGACATACTCCATCAAGGACCTGCTCAGGCAGGTCAAAGCCCCGGACTTTTCCCTCCCCGACGACGTGGTCGACAGCGTCATGTTCGGCATTGTGGCATCCAAGTCAGATCCTCGTCATCACAAACCTCAATACGACGCCGAGACAGGGAAGATGAAGCAGTCAGAAAGAGGGAAGTACATGGTCATCACCCTCGTCGACCTACAGTACGAGATCGAGCTCTTCCTCTTCAACACCGGCTTCGAGCGCTTCTGGAAGTTGTCCACGGGGACTGTCGTCGCCATTCTCAACCCAGACATCATGCCACCGCCACCAGGGCGTACGGACACTGGTCGTTTTAGTCTGGCGATAAACTCGGACGCCGACACGATCCTCGAGATCGGCGCGGCGCGGGACCTGGGCTACTGCAAATCCGTCAAGGCCGATGGAAAGCTCTGCAACAGCTGGGTGAATGCCCGGCGCACCGAGCACTGCGATTACCACACCAACACGGCCCTGTCGCGGACCCGTTCAGGCCGGCAGGAAGTCAACGGCAGCGCGGGTCTCGGCAACGGCTACGTAAAACCCAACCACCGCCACTGGAAGGACAGCGCCGAGGCCAAGAGGCGGTCAAAGGTCGAAGAGGAGCATGGCAAGTTCGATTGGGAGACACGGAGCCGTTATTTCATGAACGGAGGCAGCCGCGGCCAGAGCGCGTCGTCGTTGATTGACCAAGAAGGGCGTGTCTCCGACACTCGGGAAAGGGCAGAGGGGCTGAAGAGGAAACTAGCCGCACTGGAGAAGGAGAGGGATATCGCCAAGAAGCTGGGCGAGATGGGCAGCGGCAGCATGGGCGGGGAATACATGCGAATCTCGGGTGCGCAACCAGCCCCAGAGACCTCAAGAGCGGGCTCCCGCGCTACCTCGAGGCTCAATGGGACAAGAGGCCCGCGCACAGTGCCATCCTCATCAACGTTCAAGCCCGAGGTCAGGCTCCCGGGCATCTCCCTCCACACAGACGACCCACCGCCCAAGACCGACGCCCGCTTCCTAGGCCTGCTCGCCCCAAGAGGAACGGGTTCTAAGATCTCCCTCAGCCCCATCAAGCGCAAGCGCCAGGACAGCACGCTGTCATCCAACAGCTCCTCATTCGACTCCAAGCCGCCAGGCGCCTCGTCCTTCACGACCAACGCCACCAGCCGGCTGTCAGCCGCCACGGGAGGCCGTCCTCCAGGCGGGTTCGGCTGGGGCACGACACTGCGGGACAAGCTGTCGCGCATGAAGACGGGCGAGAGGCTGTCCCTGCACACAAGCCACAACAGCATCAGCACGACGGCCAGCAGCAGCAGCAGCGGCGCCGGCGCGACAGGCGGCAGCGCGTTCCGCGACAAGGACAGGTCGCCCGTGCGCAAGAAGACGCGCTTCGTCACGGAGAAGGGCATCCGCGAGGCCGGGCGGGAGAGCCTCCCCGGCTCGGTCGTCGCCGACAAGGGCGGCGTGGGGGCGGGCACCGCCGGGGCCAGGGGCTGGGGCGGGCAGCTGGCCTCGAGGCAGCGGCGGCAGCAGCAGGAGGTTGTGCTCGAGGGTGACAATGATGATGATGACGACGAGCTTGTTGTTGTACGATAGTTTTGTGGTGAAGACCCACGGGGGCTGGGGAAACGGTACAGGGCGTCAGGATTTGAGTCTTCAAAGACCCATGGGTATGCGATTTATCAGGTTGGACACAGCATTCAAAGGGGTGTTAATTTGGCACATACAAAGCATTGTAACTGTACGGGGTTAAACCACTGGAACGGAACGGAACGGACTAAACAGTTAGGCTACGAAGTTACGGACACGGCACGCATACCTGATTCAGAAAAGGTGTGAAAAGGCTCCTTGAATACACTGATATTTGTCAAGGCTCTCAGCCATCTTATTACTACTCATACAAAGCTTCCTTCATTAGTGTCTGTTCAAGGAGGTGCCAACGATCTACTTGCGGTAGGAATATGCCATTCTGCGACTCTGCCCAAGTGCCGTCTCGTGCCCAGCTACGAATTACCGATGGTTTACTGTCAGGCATGCAAAGTAGCCACACTACGAAATCCGGGGAGAAGTCACTCTCTTGCGCTCTCAGCTGAGATGATGATACGCTTTTTGGGCACTCCGATGTGTCGCGGTTGCCCAGTATACGCCACGATCGGTAGATACCAGCTCAGGTGGTAGATGAAGTTATCAGTGCGTCCTCCCCGACTGTGTGCGTGTGGCGATTAACTTCCCGTATCTAAGGTCAGGGCACATGTGAGCACAGCAATCAGTTTCCATCCTTTGCCAGTGAGTCGAACCGGGTGTGTGTAGCAACATGTCATCTCTCAACCGAATGTGACAAGACCAGCAGCAATGGCGGGGCCGTGTGGCCATGCTGGAGAGGGTCTGGTTGGCATACTGTAAAAGGAATGACAGTAAGTCGGCATCAAGAATCCAAAATGCTAGCTAACGTATTCTGTTGCGGAAAATCCAACCTCTCGCGTGCGCTCCCTCCTCGTCCCCTGCCGCGCTGGTAACGTATTCATATAAAGAACGACAATACTAGAAGTAACGCTTTGAGAATCGGATGAATGAAGTCTCGAGTTAGTCCTCAACAGGGTTCACATCAGCGTGTTTCGCCTCGATCTTGCCGGCCTTGTCTTCTTCAATGGTAGCCTCCTCAACACTTTCTCCGGCCATGTCTGTAACACCGTTGTTAGTAAACCATCATGGATGGGACACCATGCAGTGAGTACTCACTCGTTGCCAGTGTTTCCTGCTTTATGGTTTTCGGTTCTTCCTCTTCCTTCTCTTCGACAACCGCATCGGCGTCTTCTTCCAGCTTGGATTCACTTTCTGAACTTGACGGAGCCTTGGCCTCCTCGAGCTCCGGTTTGTCTTCCGTCGAAGCTTCAATCGCAGGAGCAGATTTCTCCGTGGAAGCTTCAACAGCAGGCACGCTAGGCTGTTGCTTTTCCTCTACCGGGCTCAAACCTCCAACCTGGATGGTACCCTCCGAATCTGGGTCCAAAGACCAGACAGTGACGGTAGTCGAGAAGCTCAGCTTTGGCTTCTTCACTGCAGAGTCCGAGGGCGCCGTCGCGGCAGCCGTCGCTGCAGCGGGAGCTCTCCTCTGAGGGCCGCGAGCTCTACCCTTGCGGGCATCAGATAGTGGTGCCTTCTCCTTTGGCTCCTCGGGGACTTCATCCTTGGCCTCCTCCTTAGGTTGCGACGGCCGCGGACCCAGTCCGAGCTTCTTGTTCAGGTCAGACATAAATCCGGCCTGGAGAGCAGCAATCTTATTGCCCGCCGGCCTAGCAGGCACTGCGGGCTTTGCCTTGGGCGCCGGCGCGTCAGTCGAGGCAGCGGTGGGAGCAGAAGCCTTCGTAGGTCGAGCGGGGATCTGAGGCTTGGGGCGGTCGGGAATTTGGGGCTTGGACGTCTCCTCTGGTGACTTGTTCTTGGGTCGTTCAGGGATCGAAGGCTTCTCCTTAGAATCGCTGGACTTGCGCAGGGGTCGCTCCGGAATATGAGGCTTATTATCTGCCGGCGACGCAGGCTCCTGTTGAGGGCCGGACACAGTTGTCTCAAGCTTCAAGCTGTCTGGGGTGTCTTCCCAGATATCACGGCTCGGGAATTTCTGCGCCATTTTGGGCCGGGGACCAGCCTGAGCAGCCTCCTGAGCAAGATGGGGTTGATGACCGACCCAAGTAGGCTTTTGGTTGCGCCAGAGGAAGGCGTCAGGGTGTGTCAATTCCTTCTCAGCCAGCTCCTCCTGCTTACGTGCCCATTCCTGGGCTGGTGTTTCTGTTTGGTCACGAGGCGGAATGCTCCTCTGGATCTGTTCCGTCAGGTCGGGCGTGGAGACAGTGGCCGTGTGATGCACGCTGCTAGGTGCGTCTTCCCAAATATCCTTGCTGGGGAATCGCTGCTTGATCTTCTCAATCTGAGCAGCGGTGAGATGCTTGTTGGGGGCGCCGTCGTCATCCTCAGGGAAAAGCGGCTCGTACTCTTCCACGTCCTCGAGGGGCGTGGACTTCAGGTCGGAAGAATCCACCTTGTACAAGCTGGCCGGACGGCTAGTGGGGCGACTGCGTGGTGGGTCTGCCTCATAATCGCTTCCTCGGCGCTCCCTTGAAGGCTCGATACATGCTACCTGGTCCCGCTGCGGGGTGTTCTTCCTCACCTCGTCTTCGGCCAGGATGGGCGCCGTGTATTCAGTACCCTCCTCGGGCAATGGCGCAGGAACAGGGTCACCACTGAGCAGGATGCTCCTCCTGCGGTTGGGCTCTTCGATATGAACCTCTTTCTCTCCGGGTTTTGCTGATTGAGGCCGCGAGGAAGCGTCAAGTGCGGCCCAGCCAGCTTGTTCACTGGGTCCACCCATATGCTCATCTGTGCCTGATTATGCATTAGCATCTCGCCGCGGAAGAATAGGGACTTTCTCGTCCACTTACCGACACCATGACCCGTGCTTTCGGTTTCTCTCACCAGCTTGTTGAGCTGCTCACTGCTCAGGGCGAAATCCGTGGGGCGGTCGGCTTGGTACGGGTGGTGTTCCCGCCTTAGAAGCTCAGGGTGCTTTTGGTAGTACTCCTTGTCGAGCTTGTCCTGAGGAGCGACATTGTGGCCGTGCAGGCCATAGCTTCCAGGGGGGAGTCCTCGAGAGCTTCCCTTCCGCTTGTGGGCCTTGGCCGCGTCAGACCCGGGAGCAGGTGACGGAGCTTGCACATCGCCAGCATGCTTCAACAACGGGATCTGCTGTCCGATTTCCGGGATGCCGTGCTCCTCGTCCTCGATCTCGCTGTGACCCTCACCACTAGCCGTGCTAGCCTTCTTCTTCAGGCTGCGATTAGAGGGCGTGGCACCATCCTGGCTTGGCTTGCCGATACCAAAAGCTGCTGCGTTGTCCGAGTCTGTCCTGGTGACCTGCATGATGCGTTGCTTGGCTCTCGAAGCAGGCATGGTCGCCGTGGGGGCATAGATCTTCATGTTCTCGTCCACCGCACGGGTCTGTGTGGGAGAAGTGCTTGGCTCGCGAGACGATGCCAGCTCTTCAGCCAGAGCTGCGTATTCCATGCCCTCCTCGCCAACAACGGCCGGCAGGTCGACGCTTCTGGATCGGTCGATTGGGTCGCCATTTGAATTGGAACGCTGGTCCTTCTTTGTTGGGCTGAGGAGACCGCCATTCAGAGGAGACGGTGCATATCGGTCTGGGTTGGGCGAGGGACCACGCTTGATAGGACGTGGTGGGATTTTGGGGAGTTCTGAACGTTCCCGGTCCTGAGATCCCCTGGATGGGCGGGGAGGTATAGCCGGAGGCTGCTGCTGGGTTGCTGCGGTGGACATTTTGATTTGTTTGAGGCTGACTCGAAAATGCAAGAAATGTTCAATATTTGTTTTGGTCGAGTTGGGAGAGGATTCGAGTCGAAGTCGAATCTCTGTTGTAATGTGCAGATGCGAATAGCTACACTGTGGTCAAGATCTCGGGAAGGTTTCGCTGGAGATCTGGAGGATAATAACAGTTTATCTGCTCCTATGTAATGCAGTTGTTAGCCCGGCCGGAAGCAAAGATACGGTGAGCCATTTGTTGTGAACACAATGCAAAAAAGCGCGCGAGGTAGGGTATAAGTACTGGACATGCGAGAAGAAGCTGTGTTGTGACAAGATGACAAGACAGGGGGCTGAGCTGGCCAAGAATGACTGGATTGGGGCGTGCCGCTGCGTCAACGTTCTGGAAGCTTGCAGATGGTGAGGGTCTGCCCCGCCAATTGATGGTTCCCGGGCTCTAAGTGACTAGAGGCAACCAAATCAGAGCGTCGTGATATGGGCTGATGGACAAAGAACCACAATTTGAGTTTTCCCCGAGCGGGCTAAAGCCACGGAGGTGCCGTCGACGAAGCCCAAGCTGGAACCGTGAGCTGGCGCGTTCCCACTGCGGTCACGATGCAGTTCACAAGGAGCCTGGCCCAAGTCCTGATAAGGGGAGCTTTGGACGGCGACAGTCAACCTGGATGACTCGCCAGATCAAGGGAGCAAGTTAAGCTCGAGACCTGGAACCTGGGGCCTGGGACCTGGGGGGAGATCGCAAACACCAGCTCTCGTTTGTTGGGTCCCAGAAGGGATTATTCGCCTTGTTCAGATTCAGGCACGGAGAGGGAAGCACAGCAACTAAACTGCATGCATGCGGAAGGTGCAAATCGTAAAAGAGGGAAGCTAAAAACATATTGTGTCATTGGAAGGGGGCGGCTGCCGTCGGCACTTACCTGGAGGGCCCAATGGTTGGGAGAGCAGAGGAATGCAGGGGCGCAAGACACACACAGATAAGGGGACTGGTTTCCCTTTTTGAAGAGGAGGAGGAGCAGGAAGAGATAGATTTGTTTGTTTATACAGGCAGGCAGTCAGTCCGTCGAGTAGACAGTCTGATAATAATAGAGACAAGAGACAAGAGATAGAGAGATAGATGGATGTAGCGAAACAACAAGTGCTCGAGAATAGCAACGGGCCCTTCCAACGCAGCAACGACCGAACATCAGGAACCGGACATGGGCCACTTATAAGAAACCTACGGGTACGAAATGGCCTGCTCGTCATTGGGCGCTCACAGCTTGGATCCTGGGACGACTGGGACGACTGGGCGGGCGCCCTGGCCTGCCGACTGGGAATCCCCACCACCAGACAAGGATCGCCTCTGCAGCAAGATCTGGGCTCTGGCCTACCGGCTCCCATGCTCCCCCCAGCTCCCTCTGCCATTCCCTTTCCGGGCCCTGGGAACAGGTCGAGTGACCTCCGCCGTGGCGGCCACTGTCGCCGTCGACAGTGTATCCTATACTGACCCTGCCCTGAATCACGATCCCCGAATCGTCGCTAGTACGGGAGTAGCAGGTCTAACCCACCATCCTGTCTGGGAATCTAGAAAGCTCTGTTATCCTGCATGCCCGTCCGCCCCTCTGTCCTGTCCTGTCCTGTCCTGTCCGGCCTCCAAGCCGTTGTCCCTTTAATAGACTAGACGTCAGCGTAGACTACTGTGCACAGATTAAATCCCCCCTGTGCTAGTTCTGCTCAACGAGCCGAACAAGCGGGCAGCTGAAAAGGTGAGCGAGCACCTTTATGGGTCCCAGCTCCAACAGTGGCGATATAGCAGCTCGCCCAGCTACTGCGCAAGCATCATTTGACTTCTCCAGCCCGTTGCAATTCGCCAATCCGCCCACTCGAGAAAGAAAAACCACAAAGTCTGCTGCATCGTGCCGAAAGACGGTGAAGAAGTGGACTAAAACGTGCGCCTACCGTGCAGTACCGAGCAGCAACGCAGCTAGCTCTTTTTCACGTCCCGTCGTCGACGATGGCGTCAAGACACCTGCATGGTGTACCCCACCACCCCGCCATCATATGCTCTCATAGCTTGACTAACAGCGGAGGCTGCCAAAACGTCAGAAGACTACCTGCTGTCCCGAAACAGCTTGGCGGGATGGTTTCAACGAGCAGGTTCTCGATGGTCGTACGCAATTTTCCCGTATCACATTGTGACCGTCAATAGACCAAGGAAATATCCAGTAATTTTCACTCTGTCAGTATTGCCAAATATCTGTCATTGAAGCCACATACCCAGGTCATCATCATCTAGTCAGTCAGTTACCAGGTCAAGCCAGCCCCCCACAAATCAGACTCCAAGGACGACAAGACAGTACGTTTATTGCATACAGCCCACACCAAACACCCGCGTCTTCCCTGGCATCAGACACACCTGCAACCTCGACGGTTCCGTCAGTGTGCATGCGTCCCAAGTTGTCCACCCCCGGCTATTCCTCATGCAGCCCCCTATGCAGGCGTAGTAACACCCTGCCCACGCCCATCGTACCAATAAGGGCCAACATGCCTCCCCGTCTGAACTCTTGGGTCCTGCGTCCCGCTTACTCGTGGGTAGCCAGCCGTCCATGTCGTCGTTAGGAATCCCGCATATCACGATCCTAGATCAACCATGTGTGGGACGTGTCTGGCCCGGCTCTTTTGCTCCTTGGACCACATTGGGGGGGAACAGACTGTCTGGATTGTTACTAGCAGAGCCTAATTAGTACAGTAGGCATTCTAGATCTGCACTTGGAACGTCCTCACGCCACCGCGCCCGCTGCCCTCTGTCCCGTTTGCTCTTTTACGTAACCCTCTCCTCCCCTCTCACAGTCTAACAACATTGCAACAAGCTTGCAGCAGGATGGCGTCATGCTCGACAATACATTTTTGCTACCCAATGTATTCAACCCGGGATGCTGGCTCTTCAGGGGAGAGAGACTTACATATACTTACACACGCGCCTCTTCTCCGGACCAAAAGATCCATGGCTTGTTACCCCCCGCGTAAAGTTCATTGCGTCCTACCCGGGCAACGGAGGTCGCATGAATAGTACAAGTCATAACCGGCCTTGCCAAGGGCCCGGACCGTCTCGAACCTCCGTACAGCCTCGCCGTCCCAGGCACCTATCTGGTCAGCCTGCCCGCGATCGTGATGGACGGCAGCTCAGGTAGAGTGCAAGAGTGAAATGCTACTACTAAGTCGCTACACCACAAGCCGGAGATATTTTCAAGGGGGGCCTCGAGCATAATTGATGCATCTATCAGTCGAATCACTTTTTATAAACTGTGGATGGCCAATCACCAAGCATAGTTCTGCGAATGGCTGTCACTGAGCAAGCACAAGGTTGGTTAACAGAGTCACACCCGAAAGTGACTCCCATATATCGCAATGGCTCGCCGTACAAGACATGCATTGGCTTGACTACCGACAAATGTAACTAAGAAGGCACAGAGACGCCTGATGACAAGAACAGCAGCTCTCCAAACAACCAAGACATGGCCTTCCAAGGCCAGGGTGCAATGCAAAAGCCACGAGACCCTTCTCAAGGGCAGACAGAATGATAGCGTCAAATTCCGGCCTGCAACAGGGATGAATAAACAAGAAACAAGAGCCCTCTAGACGCCATACTCCGAACTGGAGCGGAGCTGGTTGACCAGTTTGCTCGCCAACGTTGGGGCGCCGTCCAGAACAAGCCCAGCTCATTTGTCTCTCCTCTCCAATCGCGTGACAAATTTTCCCTTCCAACCCCCAACATGCCCAATCTAGCTGCCAGGAAAACTGATATAAACCAACTTTCCACCGCCCTCCGTCCGGCCAGCACATCCCCCGGCCGTATTCCAAAACAGCGAGGCGCTCACTGCCAAGCGGCCGATCATACGATCATCTGCGCAACGCCCGCGCCGCCCAGCGTCTTGGACCCGACAAAGGCCTGGCCCTTGATGCCGGCGAAGAGGTAGCAGAGGGCGGTGGCGGACAGGACGATGGCCTCGGCGATGAGGGAGGTGGCCTTCGGGATGATGCTGAGCCACTGGACAAGGGCCATGATTCCGTAGGCGCCCGCGCGCGTGTAGTTGGTCGAGATCATGCGGACGTAGCCGTCAAATGTGCTCGACGTTGGGCAGATGCGCAGTAGCAGTGGGATCTCGATGAAGATGATGACGAGCACGGAAAAGCTGCGCAAAGTCGTCCGATGTCAGCTTGGTTCCTTTTTCTCTTGAACGTGGAGTTCGGGACATCGTGGTCGGGCGATCGGGAGTGCTCGCATGCTCGCGACGTCCGCTTGTCCGGGTACACCATTGGAGGAAAGTGAGAGCCAGGGGAAGGGGGAGGGGGCAAGGGAAAAGGTAGGTTCGGAGCTTACAGTAGCAGGGCGCAGAAGATGATGATGAAGACGTTAAAGGTGAAGATGTTGGCTATTCCGAGCGCAAAGCCGAGAAGTATCGACAGCACACCGAGCCTGTAGTCACCTCTCGTGTTAGCATCGGGGTCTCCCTCGAAAAGTCCATCCCTAGCTTCCCATGCGCCAGCAACGTTCGCGACATTTATGCGTCGTTGACTGCTTCATTTATCCTCTCGCGCATGGAATCCCATCCGTTTCGGAGCATTGGCTGTGCTGGGAAGGGTAGAGGGTCCTCACCATTGCCCGTAAATGCCTATGAGGTTCAGCAGTTAGTACTCCATTCATAGCTGCCGATCACCGCGGTGGGGGACCCCATAAGGGTGGGCTGGGGCATACTGAAGTTCCTCGTTGCGAATTCCTCTTTCAACGTCATCTTGTTCTCCTTAAGCACAGGAACCTAGCCTGCTCGACGATATTCGCAGTCGCGTGGTCTGATCTAAATCTGGCTGGCGGGCTGGCAGCAGGGGCCGAAAGCTGGTGCGTTGCGGAGCTGATGGGCGGAGAGAGAGGGAGGGAGCTGGAAGCTGAATCGCGCCCGAAGAAGTCCGTCTAACTCTGCGAGGGTATCTCAATCGGTAGCTGCTCGCCTGGTCGTCGTTTGTGTGATGGTGAGTAGCTGCTCGACTCTGTCGTAAAAGGGACCCGTAGCGAGATGCAGGTAATTCGTGTTGTCGGATGTGTTGTTGGCAAAAAGTTCGAAACCTTGACGGTCTGTCATCGGTAGGTAATGTACAGGTCGCCCAATCGTTCTAAGCCTCCCTCAGCTTGCGCAGCTTGGTTTGTGTACATGCACGCCCGGCGTGGAAGGGGCTGGGGCGGTTGCTCGGGTGAGGCTGCTGCTGGGACGGTGGGGAAGCTCTGACAGGCAAGGGGCCAGTGGCGTGAGGCTAGTGACTGGTCCGTCCTGGTTTGTGCCAGGGTCTAAGATGGTCAGGGCCGTTTCAACTCAATCTGCGGCTCCAGAGGTCAGGTCTCCTGTCCACTCTAGAAACAAATGTAAAACGTGTCGGTTAATGAGTTCCGATCTGACTTGCCCACCTTATAAACATGCCTGCTCCCCAGGCAGATGCATTTCTAGAAGGCTTCCACCTTGCTGGACATGATCGTTTACGAGGAGCACTTACGTGGCCATCACCACCCATGGATACCAAGACTTTGCTGCGCCATCGTACCATCAGGCAAGCCGGCAAGGGTGGGTGTCTAGCAACGGCTTGCCGTATTGCAGCTTTTGTCCATCCGAACTTCCGGCTTAGCGACAGCTTTTTCTGCGCCGTTGTAGAGATCATTGGCAAAGACGGATCGACCCCTGAGGCTCTGTAATTACGGCAGCACAACCGACCTCGCAAAACGCTGGGCGGCAGTTGAAGCGTCTTGTCGGACAGGGGCCCGTCCCATACAATGCACATCATTTCTTTGTTCCAGCTCGGTTGAGCAGCAAACCTTCCTCATTCGTCCCAACATTTATGTCAAGAGCAGTTCCGTTCATAGAATGAGAGGTCGCCCTGGACCCTTGCAGTTGTCCTCACACGCTCTGATCAGATGGCACGAGAAAGTCAGTTGTCTTATGTCCAATGGCCTCTGTGTTGCGGCCATGCCTCCCAGCCCTCTAGAGTGCAAACGAAGATCTCTCTCCCAGGCCGCAGGGGCAGAGGTCCGTCTTCCTCCTCCCTCTGCATGCGCGCCCCGTCAAACTCGCAGCAAATGTCCTCAGTACATGTTTTCCCCGGTTTTCATAGCTCAGCCCCTCGCCCAGACCCTTCTCCAAGAACGAACCGGGTATCTAGTAGACCAGCTTGAAAATGTCGTGCGAAACGAAGAAGCTGCCGGCAGGGTCCTTCATCAGGTGGAAGGTCTGCGCGAAGTTCATGGGGTGCTCTCCGTCGTCGACCTATACGGTGGAAGTGCAAAATGTCAGCCATTGTTCTATTATGAGATTCGATTTGGTTTTCCGGGTGGTCAAAGGTAAACAGCAGCAGCTGGACGCGTAAGGCCCCGCCGCAGGAGTGGCTGCCTGGACCATCGTAGACGTACAAGAAGCTGTCCGGTGACCAGGACAAGGACGCCGCCGTCCGCTATGCCGGGCATTGGGTCCTGGGTGGTGATCTTGTGCTGCACTTTCTGGAAGGGAAGGCCCTGGAAAGGAACAACGCGTTGCACAAAGTTAGCCACCGATCATCGGAAGAGGGCCGCAAGGCTGACACTGCGCGATTGTGTTTGCGAGACTGAGCTCTCCAGTCGGTAAGACCTTGGAGTGCACACGCGCTGGGGCTTCACCTACAGCGAGCTTCTCAACGATCGCGGCGACGCCCTGGACGGAGCTTGACTCATAGGTGAGCATGCTCTGGTCACGGTACAGTGGGCCGAGCTGGTTGCGGTCGGCGTCGAAGGTCTGGTAGTAGAAGTCGCAAAACTGCTTTGCGATGTCGACGAAGTTGTCTGCCATCTTGCTGGTTGATTTGGTTGTTCGAGGACGGGTGGGCGAAGAAACAAAAGGGTAGGTTGGCGTGGCTGAAGCTGTTGACGTTGTTGATGTTGGTTGTTTGGGCCCAGCAGGAGGAGGGGGGAAGTATTGCAGGCCTGGTGGGGTAGCTTGCTTGGGCACCCAGGAGACCGGGTGGTGGCGCTGTTGTTTTTGACCCCACACACTCACTATGTGCTTATATAATATAATATCTGGATGGGCCAAGGGTATATCTCCTTGGGCTGGAATGACAAGTCCAACGGTCGTCCAACGGTCATCCGGTACATAATACTCTTTCTAGTGAGATAACCACTGATGGGACAAACTGTTGTAGGACAACTTGTTACCTAGGTATATGATAAACAATTGATGATAACCATTCATTGAATGACCTTCTTCAGGTCATGAGATGACCTCCTGAAAAGAAATTCTTGCGGGACAACCTCTAATGGGACAACATCTCATGGGATAATCTCTTGTAGTTAGTATAACCTTCATTAGATTATAAGATACTCTCATGTGAGAAGCCCTTATGCAGAATAAGCTCTGAATGGCTTCGGTCTTGTAGGAACACCCCTTTCTGCGTATTTTGACGTGCCTGGCCAGTCTTTGCGATCCCTGCGAGCAGTGCATACGCACGCTCATGCATGTCTCGGTAGCCATCGAGATGTGTGTCCGAGCTAGCCACCAAGATCGCCTACAACCTGCCGTCCTCCACGCAAGCCCACGTATACGGACAGGCTCCACCCATTCGTACGAGATTCCGGGCGTCTTCAAAAATTACCAACATGGTCACATAACATCACAGATTCGCGGGGTCCGTGATGTTGCATATTGTTTTCCATTTACCACTCTATATACACCCAAGACCCGTAAAAGTATCGTTAGAAGTTGATGAGTTTTCACCTTAATACACCTCGAGCACGTATCGTCCCTCATCCTTGAGCTTCTCAATCTCCTTCCTGGGGTCAACCTTACGTCCGCTGTTCTTCGCCTCCTTGGCGATGGCCTCCTCCAAAACCTCGGTGACATCAGGCACAGGCCAGGTCGGGCCGCAGAGGTAGAAGGAGCCCTCCTCCTGGATGTAGGCCTTGACGATCTGGTCAATGGTCTGCCTCATGCGATCCTGGATGTAGATCTTCTGGGGCTGGTCACGACTGAAGGCGGCGCCCAGCAGCGTGATGACGCCCGCGTCGAGGTACGCCTCCCACTCCTCACCGTACAGGTATTCCTCGCGCTGGTGGCGCGAGCCGAGGTAGAGCAGGATGGCGCCGATCTCCTTGCCCTGTGCCTTTTGCATGGCGCGGTACTGGACGAAGGCGCGGAACGGCGCCAGGCCCGTGCCCAGGCCGGCCATGATCAGCGGCGCCGTGTCCTTGGTGGGGAGCTTCATGACGGACGGCTTGACGCTGACCGTGATGGGCGTGCCGACCGCCAGCCCGGACAGGTAGCGCGTCGCCTGGCCGTAGCGCGTGCGGCCCCTGCTGTCGACCCAGTCGACCACGACGATCATGAGCGAGACCGACGTCGGTGTGACGGCCTGAGCAGACGCGATCGAGTACTCACGGCGCTTGAGCGGCGCCACGATCTTCGTGAGGTCGTGGAATGACGGACGCGCCGACTTGAACTCCTCGAGGACGTCCACGTACGTCAGCATGTCGATCTCGGAGCGCTTCTTGAAGTCCTCCGCGCCGTCCTTGCTACCCAGGGCGGCCAGCTTCTTCTGCTCGACCTCGTCGGTGGCGAACTCGGCGAACTGCTCGAAGGCCCGCTTCGGCACCTTGCCCAGGATGTCGAAGTTCTGCACCAGGGATTGGTACACGGTGCGGGTCTCGAGGACGTTGGGGTCCTCGCGCGAGGGCACCTGGACCAATTCATCCGCGTTGAGGCCGTACGACTTGATGAAGTCCAGGACCTGCTCGGGATCGTTGTCGGCGTGGATGCCAAGGGCCTCACCAATATTGTAGGTAACACCCGAGTCGCCCAGGTCGAATTCGATGTGGAAGATGTTGCGGTCGTAGTTGCCAGGAGTGAGCCTGCGGTTCTCCTTGACGTGAACAGTGTATGTCTTCACCGTCAAGTCAGGTCGGAGGCTGGCCTGTGTGCCGTAAGCCTCCTGGAAGGCAAGACCCTTGGCAGCAGACTCCCAGCTGCTAAGCTGCAAGTCTTGTTCGGGTTCCTCCTTGTTGAATCCGGTGAAGCCAGTGGTCTTCAGCCCGGCGGAGAGCTCAGGGGAGGTGTAGTCGGCCGGGAGCTCAGCCCACGAAGCTGGGACCTCGACCTGGCGCAGGCACTGGTTCAGTGCGTCCTTGCACTCCTGAATCGTGCCTTCACGAGGAGCAGAAAGGTTCTTGGCGGCGTCGGTGACTCCATCGGGCCGGGCAACTCGCAAGAATGCCAGCTCGACCAGAAGCTCCAGATCGTTTTCCAGAGCTGGAGAGAACGATGAGTCAAGGACAAAGAGCTTCAAAGACTTCTCTAGGATGCTCTTCCTGACCGCAGGAGAAACCCTCTTCTCAAGCTCCTCGTCCTTCAGAGCCGGGAGCCTCAGAAGCAGGCTGCCGCCAGACTTGATGCTTCCGACGACGTTGACGTTCTCAAGCACCTTCTCTTCGCCAACATACGCAACATCAGCCTCGTCGACTGCGTACGGGGCCTCGACCGTCTTCTTTGAGCTGCGGATGTCGGTGCGAATGACGCCACCGCGGACTAGGTTGTCATGAGTCTCGTGGACATAGATGTTGTCAGAAGACTCGCGAGTGAAAGACTTTCCAACGACTGCAGGTGCGTGCAGAGCAGCCGAGTTGTCCAGATCCCAGAAGGTGTACTGCTCAACCTGGCTGTTCAGGGTGGAGGTCTTTGCCTGGAAGTCGTCCTCCTTGCCGACAAGCTTCTGAACGATGGAGCGGAAGCTGGTCGGCGTCAAAGCCTCAGACGCAGCGTACTTGACGTCGGTAACAACGGGCGCTTGGGCCCACTTGCTGGAGAAGGACACAGCCGTGAGCACATCCGAGTACAGGATCGACTGGATGGCCGCATCATCGACCTCGGTGTTATTTCGGACTTGGCCCAGCACAGCAACTTGCTTGACGGACGCTGGCAGGGTGTTCAAGAACGCATCCTCCACAAAGGGGCGGTACAGGCGAACGCTGATGGCGCCCACCTTCTTGCCCTCAGCAGACAGCTGTGAGACAGCGTGGTTCGCGATCTGAGACTCCACGCTGCCGAAGACCACAATGACGGTGTCGGCGTCCTCGTCACCAAAGTACTCGAAAGGCTTGTAGTCGGTGCCGAGCTCGCTGTTGAAGGCGTTGAGCAGGTCCAGAACCTTTCCAGCGTTGTCGAGGTGGATGTTCAGGCCCTGCACGTGCTTGGACAAGCTGGTGTAGAGCTCACGGATGCCAACCTCGCTGAGGGCATCAATGACCCTCAATGTCTCTCGAGAAGTCCGAACACCATCGTAGACGTGCAGAGTCGGCAAGATAGAAGCCAGCAAGGTGGACAGAAGAGACATGTGCTGGATCTCATAGGCAGAAGAGCTGCTCACGAGACCAAGACCGAGATCCTCTGCAATTTGAAGAGCACGGCCATACTCCGAGACCAGACCATCCTCGGCGGAGTAGTCGACAGCCGCAATGTGTGCGACAAAGGGGCTGGCGACGCTGTACAGCAGAGACAGTTGATCGAGTGAGGACCGCAGGCTGCTCAGGCTCAGAGATGGCGCCAGCAGCGTCTGAGGGATGTGCCTCTTGCTCAGATCGAAGTCCTCGGAGAACATGTAGCCGAGGGCAAAGGCACCAGCACCAGTCCGGGTCTGAAGCGGCAGGACCGAGGTAGGGTAGCCGTGGATGTTGACATCCTTGCTTCGGGACCACTCGCTGACGGCGAAGTCCAGGTCGAACGTCTCGGGGGAGTAGGAGAAGATCTTGTCCGACAGCTTGTACGCGACCTGCTGGACCAGGAGCTGTGCGGTGACATAGGTGGGTCCGGATATCTGGGACAGCGGCACCAGCTGGCCGAGGGGCAGGCTGGAGGAGAGCTTCTTGAACTCCTCGCCAGAATGCGTCTCGGCCGGTGTGCCGGAGCCTTCTTGCTGCTTCAGTTGCATGGTGGCGGCGGAGAAGGATGAGACTGGTCTGAGTGACTTGAATTGGCGCCTTCCAGCTATTTCAAGGGTCCCGTAGGAGATAAATGTCTGACAAGTTGCAGACTCGGAAAACCCTTGATGGAGGTATGTTTCTGAGGCGGGCGTGTCTCGCAGTCTCCCTCAGTGACGCAAAAGAGGAAACGAGGGCCGTGAGAATGGACGATGGGATGAGGCTCTCTGTTGTCCACACCTCCAAGTCAACTACAATCAGCACAGCAGAAGACCTTGTCGTCGGATGTGGATGACAGGCTGGAGAATGGAAAAAGGCGTGGAATATTTTTGGACAACGGGATTATTTCTAGGCTCGACTATTTGGCCCTAGGCTGGGGGGGCGCGACCGGAGATACGTTCCCATCATTGCCAGGCCCAGGTCGCGCCATCCGCTACAGATGGGCCATGGCAAATTTTCGCATTGCCTTGAAGCGTCTGTCAAAGGGCCATTTCTGGTATGATGCGAGCACCTCAGGAATTGCGCCATCACCAGCCAATCACATAACACCAAAAAGACCAGCGCGGGAAGACTTCGCCCGCCTTGCGGCCAGGGAGCCGGCCTCGAGCCTTCGGGACCGGCAGTCGGTCAGCGGAAGGATCGGCAGGGTGGAGCCACCGAGCCGGAGGCGATTTCTCAGCATCATCACTTTCAACTGTACAACAACCTCCCATCAGCGTCGCCATAAGAGCCCACGATGTGTTGATGCAGTGGTGTGGAATCTGGTCCACAGTCAGCGACGCACGTCCTCGTGGAGCACAAGGATAGGACAAGGCTGTGGGCAATCCCAAGACTGCCGCCTCAGACTCTCCCTGGCTTGTCCGCTTCTCATGGACAGACGGTACCAGCCCTTGTCCACCTATGCAAGACATCGTCCTCGTGCTATCAGGCCTCGACGAGTCGCACAACTTTGTACGTCCAATGCATCAAATGAAGACCGACATAGCAAGTTTCGTGAGAAGGTCTTCTGCGTCCGGACCTCCGTGTGATCAGCCCTGGTCGACTGAGCTTTTCGTGGGCAATGGCATTGAACGCACAGCAAGTCTACATTGCATGCATTGCAAAAGCTGAAAGTTACGAGGGAGGTGCTTATGAGAGAGCACGACCAGCGTGACAGCCATGGCGTTGTGTTTGCCTTTTCAAGCTCTTGGTGATTTGAACGCGTGGCGGCAGATTGCCATTCAACAAACTTTATCCACACCGTACGGCGGACCGGCTACTCCCGCCCAGTCAGTATATAGCTGGATTGGCATCACGACCTACAGTTTGTCGTCGCACAGTTCGGCTACCTTCCCCAGCGTCAGCGACAAGTGCGACCAGATCTTGCCCGAGACTGTTCGGATTTGTCGGGACAGTGGCCCTGTCTAGCAGGTTGGCAGGTTGGCAGGCTGGTATACTGACAGGCTGGCAGATGTGGGGTATCAGGGACGTGGCTTGACTGACTGAATGGATATTTAAGACAGGTGAGATGATACAGGAGAATGTATGCCAACGTGGTTGCGGCTGTGGCTTCAAGACTTCAGCAAGCCAGCCGAGCAGGTGCTAGGCTGCAGGCGGCAAGGCGTGTGCCACTCATCCAACCTCAGGCGAGACGGCATTCCCCTTTTTGTCGACTGCCAAAAAAGAATTGATGAGCTCACCTCACCAAGACATTTTCATCTCTGCTGACACTCATCGATCACTAATTCGAAGTGAGGGAGGCTCTTCTCTGGTTCAATTTGTCATATATCTAATCTGATTCATGCCCGGAAGATGCCATTTATTGATGGCAGCGAAGAGACCAGTCGTTCTGCACAGACTCTGCCCATTGTTGCCAGTCTGTCAGTCAGCCATGATGATGACGGGCAGACGAACCCAAACTTGTGATTTCCTTCGCAGCCAGCCCGGCGTCTGACTAAACGTACGTACCTCCCTAGCACTCCGGCTTCCCCAAACCCCTTGGAACTCAAAACCAAGTTGGATCGCCAGTGGTTGGAATTGCCCTTGGGCCAGGGTTGGCCCCCAGCCAGACCAGCCTGTGCCTGCGCTAGGAGGCTACATGCCTGTCAGATGTCAAGCGTCGCATCGCCGCCGCGAAAACCACGCTTGTCGCAGAGTCATGATGTGCCAGTGTGCCTGCTTTGCGCCTTTTGTGCGTGGAACGCTCCCCAGCACGCGTCTCCCATAAATTTCAAATCCAAAAGGCCTGGTAAAGATACACTTTTCTCCTTCAGCCCAGTTTCACTAAACTTAATCTTCACTTTCCTCTGAATTTCAAACCAGAAGGAAGCAGCTGGAACAGTCTGGTTCCCTCCTGCCATTGTCAGTCAAAAACACCACAAGTCGTGGCCTCCCTAAGTACCTAGGTACCTTTGCAAATCCCACCATCAAGGCACCTCAGGGACAGACCTTCATACACACATACATACCTTCCTATCTGTCTACAACGAGCTGCACGCATCGCACTCTCTTTCTCAGATCCGCGTCAACGCCATTTTTTTACGATCTTCTTTTGGCGCGGACTCATCAGCTCCACGGAGACACGCCGACATCAGGCTAATCGCAGATTATTACTTCCCTCCATTATCCCCACCCACAGACAAACACCTGCTGTGTTTATACGCTTCCCGATCGGGCGAGATCCATCTTGTCCTCCACAGCTGTCAAACCAGGACCCAAGCCGCCGCGCCGTCTTATCCGGCGTCTTGGAACGCACGTTCCTGTCACCATGGCCTCATTACGCAGGGCCAATGGCTCCAATGTAGACGGAAACGGCAACGGCCGTGCCCAGGCCGACAGCGTGTGCACGAGTTCATTTATCGTGTCTAATATGCACTGTCCAACCTGTGTCTCAGCCATCAAGCACGACATAAACGAGAACTTTCCCGGCAGCATCCGATGGGTTTCACCAAACATTGTGACCTCGGTCGTCACCGTGGAACACGACCCAGCCGTCACCCCCAAGAGCATGGCTGACGTTCTGGAGGAGGCCGGCTATGAGGTGTCTGGTATCAGCTCAACAGCTACCGGTTCCGAGGGTTCTGCATCGCAGGTCGACGCCACTGTCCAGTGTTGCGACGAGGACAGCACAGGTAAGGCCCGTCCAAACCCTTCTTCAGCACTCTCGAACTGGCTTTCTGGAGACCGGTCGCGGTCAGAAGCCGCCAGGGTTCATCTGTTAAACTGCGAGCAATGCCGTAACTCTCAGGCGGCATCGCCCACCAGAGAGGTCACCCATGATCAACCTAACGGCACACTTTCGCAGTCAGCATCTTCTGCAGGCAGCCGACGTCCTTCATCGGCCCAGCCGTCAGCTCCGCCAAAAAAGTCAACCACCATGTCGTTCGTCACGGTCGACTCGGATGAGAGCAGCTCTCCGGAGTCTTGGCGGGCGACGCTTGCCGTGGGCGGCATGACATGCGCCTCCTGTGTCAACACCATCAAGGACGCCTTGGAGAAGAAGGACTGGACCACCGCAGTTGCCGTCAATCTCGTGACCAACAGTGCGGCTGTCGACTTCGTTGGAAAGGAGCACGCTAACGACATAGTCGAGTCCATCGAGGACATGGGCTATGAGGCAGCTTTGGACAAGGTCGAGCCCATCCAGGAGGAGAAGACCGAGAGCCGCGAGAGGACGGTGGAGCTCGCTCTTCAGGGCGTGTACTGCAAACACTGTCCTGCCCGTGTCGTTAACAGCTTGGCGGGTTTCCGCCGGCATCTATGGATCATCACGGAGCCAACTCAGGCCCGGCCCATCATGAAGATCTCTTACGTGCCCGATGCTCCCAGCTTCACCATACGCCAGATTCTAGCAGCTGTGGAAGCCAGCGACCCGGCCCTGAGAGCTTCTATTCATCACCCACCGAGTTTGGAGGAGCGATCCAAGGCGGCTCAGCGAAAACACCAATGGCAATTGCTATATCGGGCCCTGGGCACCTTGATTGTCGCCATCCCAACATTCATCATTGGCATCGTGTACATGTCTCTAATATCGGAGGGCAATCCTAGCAAGGACTACCTCATGATGCCGTGGACTTCAGGTATCAGCCGCGCCCAGATCGCCCTGTTTGTCCTATCCACGCCTGTTTATTTCTTCGCTGCCGACGTCTTCCACAGGCGCGCTATCAAGGAGATCAAGACCCTGTGGCGGAGGGGAAGTAAGGTTCCCATCCTGCGCAGGTTCTATCGCTTTGGCAGTATGAACACTCTTATGTCTCTCGGCACCACGATTGCCTACATCTCTTCAGTAGCACAACTGATCGCTGCTGGGATTCACAAGCCTGAGCGCGTCAACGACACAGACTTTTACTTTGACTCAGTCGTCTTCCTGACTCTTTTTCTACTCTTCGGAAGATGGATTGAGGCGTACAGCAAGTCTAAGACTGGAGATGCGGTGTCAGCCCTTGGCAAGCTTCGTCCCACAGAGGCCGTTCTTGTCGAGCGCGATGCCGCTGGCAAGGAAACAGACAGCGTTGTCAAGGCCGATCTGTTGGATTTCGGAGACACAGTACGCATTAGACATGGGTCGTCTCCACCAGCAGATGGTGTCATTGTCCAGGGAGAGAGCAACTTCGATGAGTCCAGTCTCACTGGAGAGGCCCGTCTCATCAAGAAGGTCGTCGGTGATGCCGTTTACGCCGGTACAGTTAACAAGGGGCAGCCCATTGTGCTCCAGATCACCGGAGCCGCGGGCACCTCGATGCTGGACCAGATTGTCAACGTCGTGCGCGAAGGACAAACGAAGCGAGCACCCATGGAGCAGGTTGCCGATGTTCTCACCACCTACTTCGTGCCTGTGGTCACTCTGATCGCCATCCTCACTTGGATCATATGGATGGTCCTGGGCCTCAGTGGAGCCCTCCCAGAAGATTATCTTGATGTCACGTCCGGTGGCTGGGTTGCCTTCGCCCTGCAATTTGCCATTTCTGTCTTCGTCGTCGCTTGCCCCTGTGGTCTCGGCTTGGCCGCCCCCACGGCCATCTTCGTTGGAGGCGGACTCGCTGCAAAATACGGTATTCTGGCAAAGGGAGGCGGTGAGGCCTTTGAGAAGGCCAGCCGGATCGACTGTGTTGTTTTCGACAAGACAGGTACGCTGACCGAAGGTGGCCAGCCTAGCATCACAGACTTCAGCTACTATCCCGACAACGTCAGTGAATGTGAGGGAAAGGAGGCCATGCTTGCCGCCGTCAAGGCTGTCGAAGAAAGCAGCAGCCATCCAGTCGCAAAAGCCATCGCTTCGTTCTGCTCGAACCAGGAGATCGACCAAGACGTCAGGGTTGATGACTTGCATGAGATTCCCGGCAAGGGCATGAAGGCCAAGTACCACAGCGGAAATAAGGACTTCGAAATTCTCGTGGGCAACGAGGCCCTCATGTTGGAAAACCGCGTACAGATTTCGAATAGAGTCATCGAACTACTACACAAGTGGAAAGGCGAGGCGAAATCCATCGCCCTTGTTGCGACCCTGCAGACAACATCACAACCGGCAAGCGAGACGGCTGTGGACGGTGGATCACCCAGCGGAGAAGCATCCACGAGTTGGTGGGTTATTGCCGCCGTACTCTCGATAGCAGACCCCATCCGCCCCGAGGCTCCTACCATCGTGCGCGCCCTTCAGTCCCGTGGAACCCGCGTCTGGATGCTCTCGGGAGACAACGAGATCACGGCCCGAGCAGTAGCACAACGCATCGGCATCCCTCCCGACCAGGTCATTTCTGGCGTCCTGCCGACACAGAAGGCAGATAAGATCACCTATCTGCAGTCGACGCTCAAGGCCGACAATGAGAAGTCGGAGAAGCGCGCCACGGTCGCCATGGTGGGTGACGGGATCAACGACTCGCCTGCGCTGACCAAGGCGGACGTCGGGATCGCGATCGGGTCCGGGTCGGACGTGGCCATCAGCTCGGCCGAGTTCGTGCTGGTCAAGTCGGACCTGTGGAGCGTGGTGACTCTCCTGGAGCTGTCGCAGGCCGTCTTCCACCGCGTCAAGGTCAATTTCGCCTGGGCGCTCGTCTACAATCTGGTCGCCGTGCCCGTCGCCGCGGGAGTCTTATACCCCATTGTCAGCCGCGGCAGCCACGTCAAGCTCGACCCCGTCTGGGCCAGCCTGGCCATGGCGCTGTCGAGCATCTCCGTCGTCCTCAGCAGCCTCGCGCTCAGGAGTGGCATCCCTGGCATCGGGTTCAGGGAGAGGACGCGACAGACCACGCTTTAGGGCAGCCGTGGTCGAGATCACACTTTATCTCGTGAGCGGCGAAGGAAGAGGAGGAGGAGGATAAAGAGTGCGGTAAGCACGCGGCGTGAAGAGAGGACGATTTGGGATGGATAAAAAGGTGGCGGACACATGGCAGGAGCATGTTGTGTGCCTTTCGGAAAGGATGTAGGATACCCATGGCGTTATGGAGGCTCTGTTGGGAGGGTCAACAGCGACTGTTTGGTTTAGTCACTTTGAGCGATATATCAATGCATTATTCTTCGCACGCTTGAACTGTCCCATTCGTGACATGTACTATCCATACGCTGCGATGTCGCTTCGATGCGAATACTTTCCCCGTCTATAATCACAGAACGATCTGGATCGAGCCCATCGTCACAGTCTACGTACCATCAACGAATGCAATGGTGCCAACATTAACTTATTAAGAGGAGCAGAGGGTGTGTCTCCTCTGATATGCGTCAAGTGCCTATACTATGCCTCCATTTCCCGCTCCCAAGTAACACCCGCGTTATGATACCTCAGACAGGAGAGAGCGGCCTGTCCGTCATCGACTTTACCTCACAAAATGTTGCATGATCCCATAGTCCACGCCAAAGCGATGCAGTGCCCACCCGTCCAATATCATATGTCTTTTGTCCATGATGCGACCACAATTTTCAAAATCTCCTTTTCACCCTACGCAGCCTCACCACTCTGGCTATCCCCACCCTGCGGCGCACCATCACCGCCCTGCGCAGTCGAGTGGCTCGTCCCAGGCCGGCTCTTTGCGGCGCTGCTCCCGGGCCTGCTGAGCGTGATGGACTTGCGCAGCTTGTTGGTGCCCTTGCTGCTGAGAAGGCTCTTTACACGGCGCAGGCGCTTCCACCGCTCCTTGTCCTTGGCATTCTGCGTCTTCTCGTCCTCCTCGTCCTCGTCCCCTTCTCCCCCGCCCTCGCCGTCCTCTCCCCCTCGGCCCTCGGCCCCGCCCGCGTCCTGCCCCGACCTGCGCGACGAAGGCGTCTGCGACGCCCTCTTGTCCCCCCTCCGACCGGACGCCGGGCTGTCCCGGCTGCGCAGGTACGCCTCGTTCTTGAGCACCTGCAGCAGGACCTCCCAGCCGGGCCGGTCCTCCTCCCCGCCGCCGTCGGCCGCGGCCGCGCGCCTCCTGTCGGACGACGACGACGACGTGATGCGCTGGGCGTCGGCGCTGTTCCAGGGGCAGAAGAAGCGGTGCTCGCGCAGCGGGTCGAGGTAGTCCATGGGCGCGGGGACCAGCACGGCCCCGGAGTCCGGGTCGACCTCCTTGCTCTTGAACATCCACAGGCCCAGGCGGCGCAGGCACGTGTGGCACGACGCCGTGTTGGGCACGGGCCCGATGCGCGCGTTCGACAGGCCCTGCCACCCCAGGATCGCCAGCGCGAGCGCCACGCGGTTGGGCGACCGCGCGGGCGGGTTGGCGGGCGGCGGCTCGGGCGCGGTGAAGAACTCGCGCGGCAGGTACCGGAGGACCGTGTCGATGTCGAGGCGCGCCGGCAGCCGCAGGTTGAACTCGTAGGGGAGGAAGTCCCTGCGCGCGCACAGCTCGTCGTAGCGCCGCCGCAGGTCCTGGATCGCGGCCTGCCGGTTCGACAGCGGCAGCCGCAGGAGGGAGTCGTCGCAGCCGCGCTTCCGCCACAGGCAGTCGTCCTGGTGCGACGTGACGATCAGCTCGACGTACTTGGCCACCAGCGCGTCCTCAATCTCCGAGGGCACGAGCACGGGGACCTCCTTGCCGTCGACCTCCTTCCTGTTCAGCTTCACCACTAGCTCCTTGTTGCACAGCGTGCACCGCACTCGCTCCTTGCCCTGGCATATCCACCCCCTCTTGGCCCATTGGACCTCGGCGACCGGGTTCGGTTTTGGTGTCCAGTCTGTCAGCTCCTGGAAGCTGGCCAGGCGCTTGAGCAGCTCCTCCCTGTCACCTGGGCAGTATTTTGGTTTGAAGATGGTTTCCTTTTCTTTGTTTCCGCCCCATTTCCTCAGTACGATGTTTGATATGGTGGTCTGGCTGCCTCCATCTGGGGCTTTTGTGTTGAGATCCTTGGACGGGGTCGAGTCAGCCAGCCCAAGTCGCCGTCGCTTTGTGAGGAGGTCGAGGTCGGTTGAGGTGGCGGATCGTGGGACGGAAGAGACTGATGTCCGCATGGCCATGGAGTCTGAGCCTGGCGTGCGGGTGTTCGAGGATGCCGAGGCAAGGGTGTTGGTCGAGGTGCGATTGGGAGGCGGCGTCTGCGGCGTGGACTCGTCCTCGGGAGCTGTGTCGGATGGTGCTGGTGGGATGGAATCTGTGGGGTACGAGGGTCGACTGCCAAGGCCATTCAGCAGGGCATTGAGTTTCCGCTTCTTTGCGAAGTCCATGTTTTGTTTGTGTAAGAGGCCGTTTCCTGGGTGGCTCGCCGTTGAAATTGATCAATGCGATGAGGTGACAAGGGAGGGTGCCCAAAGGGAGCACTGGTTGGCCGATTGATTGGAGGGTGTCACACCTGGAGGGGCGGAGCTGGCGGTTGCTACAGTAAACTATAAACCATGATCGTTTTCGAGTACAACAAAGCGCCCAGCGGTAAACAACAAGCTTTCTTCGAATTCAATTCCTTCACGTGGCACTGGGAGTCCTTGCTACCAGCAGCACAAAAACGCGGGTGGAAGAAAGAGACGTGCAACGCCATCTGAAAGCGCGAGCATTTAGATAATCGAAACAAGCTCGACCCCTGCATTTTTTGGGCCGTTGGAGGATCAACGGGGCGAGCCACCAACGTCAGAAGCAACCGTGCCTGAGACTAAGTGGACCACGAGGTAGTACTGAGCAAAGTCACTTCGAATATCTCTGTGCTCTCCAGAAATGCATTCGATCACAAGTTTGCCATGGCATAATCAAGTGGCTGATGATGATGACCCACGGGTCTTAGGTTTGTTAATTTGATTAGGTTACTGGTAGGCCACAGTCTGCCGATGTGCTCAGGTAGGTTCATTCATTTCCATTTCCCACCGTCTCCTGCCTTCTGCCTTCAAGCACCAATCTCACCCACTTTGGACATATCTCTGCTCATTTACTCCATTCCAACGTTTCGAGTCCTCATTGTGTAACAGTTAAGGTGATGTCGCTGGGAGGTGGCGTGTAATCATCGTACCAGCCCAGCTCTGTGGCAACGGCTTTGGGGGGCATACATGCGAGGTATAGGCCCAGCTGTGCGAGGTCAGACTTGATCAGCGACTTGCACCTTGAGACTTGCGGCTCGCAGCTCTAGCTTTTTGATATTATAGGGACTTGAGGAAACAGAGCCTGGGATGACTCACGAGACCTAGGACGCAGCACCTGGCCAATTTTCCCGTGGCTTCGCATGCGGTGGCCAGCTCCTGCCCCGTCTTGGGGGATCCAGCCGCAGCGGAGCAGCCAGTGTCGATCAAGCCAAGATGAGATTGACGGCAGCAGACGGGCTTCTTCAAGATGCCGCAGGCGCCTTTTGATGCAAGGTCGGGGTCGATGGGGTTTTGGACCAGTTCATCCTTGTCATTTGGGGGAAGGGCCAGAGCAACCGCGGCCAGAGCGAGGTAGGTGGCTTTGGTGAGCTGCATTGTTATAGCAAGTGAATAGAATTGGTGCAGGATTAGATGTGCGGTGCTGTCATTGGTGTCAGCGAAAGTTGTCAAAGTCTTTGAGAAGGGCAAGATGACTTGATTACCTGTTCGAACAAGGCGGATTGCTCTCAGTTCAAACGCGATCCGTCAACGGCGAAGGTTGCACTGATCGTTCGTGTGGTAACCTCGTGTTTACTTTGTCATGTATGTGAGCAGGTCCGTACCAAATGAGCATGGGAGCAGTCTCCTACCAGTACTATGAATATTCCCGTGCGGCAGACACTTTCAAAAAGATGAATACTATCGATGGACGCTAAAGGAGTCGGGGTGCTTGACAAGTGGTGCTTGACGGATGGGTGAGGAGTTGTTCAAGAGAAGAGAAAAACAGACGATTCGCCTGCCAGTGAGCTCTGTTTTACATGCTGTTGAGCAGAACCTGCCATTGAAGGGACTACCCAGCTCTGTACTGTTCTTTGGAAAGAGCGTTTTGGGGCTGCCATTTACCCGGTTGCTCGGGAACTCCTTCTGTGACCGTCGAGACAGGTGCTGGTCGAGCATCAGTGCTATGCAAGCTCCACGGGTCATGAATGGAAGGGACGACGTCGGCTATCTGGTGCTGTGTTGACTTGGGTATGAGAGAACCAGGATCCAGTGAAGTCTCTCCATGTTGGTTCACTTAGGTGTTATGCGAGGAAGAATAAATGAAGCTGCTGCGAACAGCGACTCTTCGACACATTCCCTGCTTTAGTACCACAAAGATAGAGAGGCTTCACTGCCGAGTGTAAAATTGCCGTAAATGGGAATCGGAAAGCAATATCGTTGCTCAAGTCGTATGCAAAGCCAAAAACTTACCCAGAGGCAACGCTATAAGTCCCAAATGTTTTGGTGAAATTCAAGAGAGCTTAGTAGAAAACAAACTTTTGACATTATCTAGGTCTATAACCATTGCTGATCTTGCAATCTATTTGACTCCCAAGACCTCCTGAACAACCTTCAGGACCTGGTCATGCACAGCCGCTGGGGCTGCGACGACACCCTTATTCTCTGCCAGCGTACGTCCAATGCTGAAATCGAGCCTCCTGCCAAGAGTGTCCGTGACCTGGCCTCCCGCCTCCCTCACGATGAGATCTCCCGCGGTGTGGTCCCAGATCTTCTCCACGTACGTCTTGGACGTCGGCAGGCGCAGGTAGATGTCGCCAGCGCCACGGGCGATGGACGCGTACTTGGCCTGGGAGTCCATGCGGACACTGGGGTTGGTGATGCCGAGCTTCTTCGCGATATCGGCGGCCTCGCCTTGGGAGCTGTGGCCCGCCTCGACGCTCTCGCAGAAGGTGGCGTCGGACATCTTGTCGAGAGGCCTCATGGAGATGGCCTTGGCCTCCTTGAGGGCTCCCGTCCCGAGCGGCCTGCTGGCTGCGCCCTGGCCCTGCACGCCTGAGAAGAGGACGCCGCGGCCCTCGTCCGTGGCGTTGGAGCCGATGTCGACGGTCAGGGGGGCCGAGTCGTCAACGGGCAGGTTGGGGCAGCCCAGGACGCCGAGCTTCACGTCGCCGTCAACCATCAGGCCCAGGCACACGGCGTACTGCCCGCCGCGCAGGAAACCCTTGGTGCCGTCGATGGGGTCAATGGCCCATATCCGGCCCTTGTTGCCGCCCTTGCTGTTGCCCTTGTCGATGATCTCCAGCATGGAGTCAACGTCCTTGATCGGGCCACCGAGGGTCTCCTCGGCGGCGGCGTCGTCCAGCTTGGTGCTGCTGACCAGGTCCCAGACGATCTGCTTGAGGTTGGCGTCTGAGCGCATCATCTCGGCCTCCTCCTCGGCCACGATCTCATCCTCGGGGAAGTTGGCCTTGAGGGCGCTGATGATGAGGGCCTGAGCGCCAAAATCACCAATGGTGACAGGTGACTTGTCATCCTTTGAGACGGTGCCCTTTGCGCGCTCGTGGAAGACCCGCTTGGTCAGAATGGTGGCACGCTGGACAGCCAGCTGGGCCACCTCGAGCTCCTTGGCATATGCGGCCATCTTTTCGTGTTGTTAGAGAGGAATTTTTTAGGGTTTTGAGATGATATTTTGGTGTTGGAAGGGTGAGAAGGAGTGGCCAAAAGGGGGAAGAGGCCGACTTCCAGGAGGGAGAGTACACACCTTGTCACAGTGTGAGACGTGGGCGATATGGTCTTGGTTTACTTGGCTGACAGGAGAAGACGGGTGGAGGGGTAAAATGCCCCTCAGTGGTCCTGATATACCCACTGATGACGACGTTCGGGCCCCGAAGTGGTTGAGTAGGGCAGACAACCGTGGCGTTGCTCTCGAGAAGATGATAGCCAGGATGACGGTGAGAACGAGATAGAGCAGGAAGTTTGAGCGTCTAGGGGTCCTTCTTGGCTGCGGAGATACCATCTGCGCAGTCTAAATGACGAGAAACTGTCTGGGTGCGCTGCATTTTTAGCCCCCCATACTCTGTGTCCACGAAAAGTAAGCATCTGAGGGTGTGAATGCCAAGGCTCTTATTTTCGGGAGTCGCCCTGCACGCCCGAGCCGCAGGGTAGGTCTGGATCCACCTTGGACTGTACCATACGGTAAATGATGCTTCAGAATAATTATGAGGAAAATATGGACGCCGTTTTGATAGCAACATGCTTACGAGGAAATTGTTTATACCACATTGGTGGTAACGCATGGCGCTGAGATAAGATTTGATATACGTCAATTATACCCTCGCCATTATTGTGAGGCTGACATGCAGCCACGGAGCTTGAGGTAAATGCCCACGTACAATCTCGAACACAGTCATCGTCCTACGCCTACAGTCTACTTATTCGTGGAGGTTGACAAGATGAGCTACTGTCTTTTCAAAAGCAATCACCTTACGAAGTGTTAGTCCCAAATTTGGAGGCAATTGGATCTTCCTCCGCGCCTGTTACAGTGACCAACGTCAATGTGCGTAGACCCCATGGTCCAACCCAGCGCAGTCGGTGGGAAATAATCCATCAATGACTCGAATGAAGTTTTCAAGATTTATTGCATGATCACGGGGGTTGCTTGGGGATGTCCTGCAAGTTGTGACTCGTGGGATATCAAGGACTGCGATGAGTGGATTTGGCCGATCGTGTACCGAGCCGATTGCCACACGCCGACTTCCACACCCGACCGGGCATAATCGCACCGTCAGCGAAGGTCGGTACATCTTTGGGCGCATTGCAGTGTTTATGGGTATTTTGGTTAGCTCCTGTCACGGTTAATCTCACATGCCAAGTTCACTGTGGCCAATTGTCTTTATATCTTTCCAGAAATCGGCTGGTATTGTACATGCTACAAATGACCTGCCCATCAAAAGGACAGCCATAGTAGCAGCGTAGATAAAGGCACAAGGCCCATGCCATCGTCGCAGCATAACAGCGTCCACCAACATAAATCCTTCCACTGAGGCTGAACCCCTCCCTCACTTGATCTTCTTCTGCTTCAGCTTGATCGTCTCGTCGTTGACGAAGATTCCCTTTCCCTTGTACGGCTCAGGCACACGCCACCTGCGGATGTCCGCCGCAAACTGCATCACCTTCTCCCTGTTGATGCCCTCTAGCAGGATACGAGTCGGCTGTGGCGTCGACGCCTTGATGCCCTCGGGGACGCCCAGGTCGATCGGGTGCGAAAAGCCCAGACGCAGGCAGACAAAGTCTTGGCCGGGGTACTCCTCCAGCGCGGGCCGCTTATCGATGGCCGCCCTGTAGCCGATACCGACGAGTCGCAGGACTGCGGTGTGCCCTTCTGACACACCTATTATATATCGCTGGAGGTATGCCCATGTTGTGCCTGTAGACGCGGTTGCCTGTCAGTGAATGTAGTCTGGCGCAGGAGCGGGCTGTGTGAATGATGTGTGTATCGTACCCCACATCTCCTTCTGTTTCTTCTGCTCATTATCCTCTATGCTGAGGACCAGTCTCCTGGCCGCCAAGTCATGGTCGAGTTGTAGAAACGGTGGCACGTTGAGGTCGAGCTTTCCTGTTGAATTGCCCACCGATGTCAGCGAATGGTCCGGTGCAGGCGGAGCTGGCGCGCAGGAGAGATCCCGCGGTCGAACCACGTACCCAGAGGTCCTGTCACCGTCACTGTCCTCCTGGGAGTCTGTTTGTATGTCGTGAAGTCCTTCACTATGTACGGCTCGCCAATGGTAAGCTCGACACCGGGTGGAATCGAGATCGGGGTGCGACCCAGCTTCGAGGGCCTCGAGGTCGACGCGGAGAACTGCCGGCGCGCAGCTGGTGCAGCCGCACAGTTCTGGAAGGCTGGGACAAGGAAGGAAGGTAATGTCACTATGGACGAGGGCGCGATCGCCCTCGCTCTGGTGGGGGCGAGCATTGGGAATGTGGCGGCAGAGGGCAGCAGCTGTCAACTACATCGCGCATCAATCGCATGCACCGAGGCGAGTGGACGATGGATCTTTGGCGTAGAGCTCGAAAATTGCGGCCCTGTGTTTACATAAGCGGACAGGGGTCAGCCATCAACGCAGGGACCAATCTTGCGGTACCCATCCCGAAGCGATCAGATATGATAATCAGCTGAACCTTGTCACCTGCTCACTCATTGATGAGATGGCACAACTCTGGAGAAGTCTTCCCAGCACTTGATGCCTGTTCAAGACCCTGACGAATGTTGCTCGCCGCGTCCATAATTCTCGACCAAAGCCACCTCACCTCTTCCCCGACGAATCTCGGACCAACGGCAGCCTCCAATGGTCATGGAGCATGCATCCTGGACGTGCGAATTCATGATGCAGTGGATCAGCTCACAAGGCCAACCGTGCTCTTATTGATCATCAAGCCATCCCCACGAAGCTGAGCCTTTGGCCAGGGAAGGCTAAAGTCTGCATGGACAAGACATGGAGGGCCCAGCCACCCAGGGCGACTACGCAAAGGATTTCAAATATCCCCAGTGCTCAGTCTGGCTCAATCCAATCTAGTCACCTAACGCACAGAACCTCAGTCTTACAGACACGAGGTTGTTAGCCAGGTCCGCATGACAGGTTACCCAGGGGCATGGCGTTCTACGGCGTTCTTCGTTGCCTGTGCAATTCCGAGAATGTTGTCCAAGTGGCCGAAGCGCATAAAACACGAGAATTGGCGAGATATATGGCTGGGTCTTGCAGACTGCTTTTCCAGTGTGCTTAATAGCCGACCGACTTGGTATTGCAAGACCCGTATGTTTTTGGGTGCTATGCCGCTGCGTTACCCCTGCATACGCCGGCTCAGCTTCCGTATTCACTCAGACTCAACTCAGGCGAGGCCTGTTTGTGTTACCCATAACTCCACACCCTTTTGTTTTCCTGGTCTATACAGTAGATCTGTCGGGTAGGCACCTGGTCAGCGTGACTGGATCACGCCGAAGTGTTGTCCCGCCCTCTATTCCCATCCTCAACGTCACATCGTAAACAAAGTTCCAGTAGTCCGCAGCTAAACGCATCGGCGCGCTTCTTGGCGGCCGGATTGAGGCGTCTAGGCTTTCGGCTTGTGTATCGCCCGTGTCCCCCCCAGAGATCTACTGCAGATCGATCTTGTGTTGCCCTCTCGAGATCTGAGCAACGCATTCGAATTCTGTGCTCTCAACGGCAACCCCCGCGGCGTACGGCTTTTGGCCGCACAACACATACCACAGACAGGTACGCCTTGACTCGGGAGCGGCATGGTAGTGCCCATTGGAGGGCGGCGCGGCTTGGCAGGCGGAAAAGAGGCCTCTTTTAGGGAGGTCACTCAGGCAGGCGACCAGGCGACCGGATACGGTCATGTCCAGCTCTGTAGGTAAATCTGGTTCGTCCGGCGCGGGCGATGTAACCCGAAATGAAATCCTGTCTCAGCTCCGTCCCGGACGCAGTGACAACGCCTCAACCACGGCGCTACGGCGCTAACATTGCATGAGTTAATTGAACACCTGAGCGAGGGGGTGACTGGGCCTTGTGCGTCCACCATCTGGCACTATGACAAACCGCGGGCATATATACAGGTGCCCTCCACCGCCCGCGAGGCGGCCGGAGGACACACGGTCTGTGTTGTCCCTCGCTTGATTCAGTCCGTGCAGCCATGAGGTTCTCGAATTTCGTGTCTTCGCTCCTCCTTCCGGTGCTGGCTGCGGCCACTCCCCTGCAGGACCGCCAAACTCAGGACTATGAGTATATTGTCGTCGGCAGCGGCGCCGGTGGTGGTCCTCTTGCCTGCAGACTGGCCATAGCTGGGCACAAGACTCTCTTGATCGAGGCAGGAAACGACCAGGGCGGAAATATCAACATCTCCGTGCCAGCCTACCAGGCCGCGGTGACGCAGGACCCGAAGTTGAGCTGGGATATTTTTGTCAACCATTATCAGGACCAAGAACGGGCCAAACGGGACCCCAAGTACACATATTCGACTGGCCCATACCAATACCATGTCGGGCCTAATCCACCGTCAGGAGCGTCTCCTCTTGGCATACTGTATCCCCGAGCTGGTGAGTCCGTCCCGGTATCTCGAACAATTTTGGTGCGGAATATAGACGCTGACGCTTGTGAACAGCAACTCTTGGAGGCTGCGTAACACACAATGCCTTGATTTGGATAACGCCGCACGCGAGCGACTGGAATGGAGTCGCGGCGCTCACGGGAGATGCCTCCTGGTCCGCAGCAAATATGAACCAGTACCTCGATCGTATTTATTCCTGGCAGAATGTGCAGCCGACAGACCCGACCATCCTGCTGCAAGACCTAAAGCTTGCCCGACATCTAGCCAGCGGTGCTGCTGTCATGGGATTGGGGCCGGACCCGTTGGCTGCTGTCACTGGGCTCACGAATACTCTCTTGGTCGACCCCAACAGCCGTTCGAACCCGAAACGAGACAGCGCTCAAGGACTCTTTCAAATCCCTCTCATCATGAAGGATGGCACCCGCATTTCCATCCGTGACTACATTGCAGATACGGTCTCTAAGGGCTACCCGCTCACTGTGCGCCAAAACACTCATGTGACCAAGGTCGTCTTTAACCAGACCGGCACAACGCCTCGAGCAACTGGCGTTGAATTCTTGGACGGCCAACACCTCTACCGAGCCAGCCCACTGAGCGGTGCGTCCGGGACTCCCGGGTCTGCCACAGCGACAAAAGAGGTGATCCTCTCGGGCGGCGCATTCAACACCCCTCAGATCCTCAAGCTCAGCGGAGTCGGTCCCAGGGCTGAGCTGGAGAAATTCGGCATCCCAGTGGTCAAAGACCTGCCTGGAGTCGGAACGAACATGCAGGATCGCTACGAGATTAACCTCAACGTGAAGCACCCATCTAACTTTAAGCTCTTGGACGGCTGCACCTTCGACGGCAAGGCCCAAGACCAATGTCTGACGCGCTGGAAAAACAGCCCCTACATTCTCGGGGCTCGCGGGGCGTATGCCACCAATGGACTGGCTGCCACTATGTCGGTAAATTCCAAGGCAGCGGCCAACTCAGACATCGACCTCTACATCTTCGGAGGACCTGTCGACTTCACCGGGTACTTCCCTCGATGGGGAGACTTCGCGGTGAAGGACCACAGTTACTTTTCGTGGTACACCCTCAAGGCCCACACGCGAAACCGCGCCGGAACCGTCCAGCTTCGGTCAAAAGACCCGCTCGACACGCCCATCATCAACTTCAACTACTTCGACACGGGCACGACAGAGGGCGGCGCGGACAACCTCGACCTGGCTGCCATGGTGCAAGCGCTCAACATGTCGAGGGAGGCGCTGAGACGGTACAACTCGTATGCGATCCTTGGGGGCGACGGCTTCGTGGAGGAGAGGCCCGGACCCAACGTCGTCTCGGACGCCGACCTGGGACAGTACATCAAAGACAACGCCTGGGGACACCACGCCTCTTGTACGTGCCCGATCGGTGCTGACAGCGACCCAATGGCAGTCCTGGACAGCAAGTTCCGCGTTAGGGGTGTCCAGGGGTTGAGGGTCGTCGATGCGAGCGTGTTCCCCCGGATCCCAGGGATCTTCATCCAGGCTCCCATCTTTATGATCAGTGAGAAGGCAGCAGATGCCATTCTCAACGGTTGATATGGGCTTCATGTTATGAGACAAATACCCGGGCATTGAAGAGTGCAATTTTTAGATTAATAGATTAATCCAGGGAGAGGAGAGTCGACACTCACTCTTGATAGCTAGCGCGCCTCCTTTCCCATGTGGAAACGTTTGATGAATACCTAGACATTTTTATGACAATGCAATCTTTTGCTGTTTGACTGCAAGCGCTCAAGCTTTTTCCATTTGCTTGATACAATGGATTTTGACCTTTTCATCTGCCAGTCGTCCAATATTCTGCTCTTCGAGTGTCGTCGAGTTGGGTTTGAATAGGCTGGGAAGGAGGTACTTCAGATCTTTTGCAAGTTTCCGTTTTCTAGACGGTGGCCATACCTTCCTGCTCTTTCCCCCCTTCCTTTCCATATTCTCTGACCACATTCCAACTTCGTATTGACAAAGGTTCTTCAACCCTACCGTTCCCACCTGCCCTTCTTCTCTTCGAGACGCATCGCGACCATGGCTCAAAATAGGTTCCTGTGGTGTGGTTTCCTCTTGGCCAACGTTGCTGCCGCCTTTTGGGGAGGAAAGAAGCAGGTGGTGACGAGCCCCCGCCACGACCTCAACCTCAGCCCCTTCGAGATCCTACAGTCGGGCTCGCAGCCCTCTGAGGTCTACACCGTCGCCTTGAGCGAGCTACAGGATCTCGAGTCCGAACCACTCTGCCACCGAATCGCCGCGAGACTGCTGGTTGGCAACTGCCAGCTACTTGACGGCAAGAATGAGGCAACCGTACTGACAGACAGCGGTCGACAGATTCGAGACTTTGTCGATTCTTACGCGGCGAGCATGGCCATCTGCGACCTCGAGCGCGGCAGGTTCACCATCCCCTCTGTTTGCGAAAAGTTTCGCGAGCCCAGTCTCGGCCAGTTGTCGCTCGGTGGCCACGCACAACTACACGTTACCTCTCGCGAGATCGACCACTGCCTTTCCGGTCTGGCTGCAGAAAACTCAGCATGGTCGACCTGGGTCAGCTATCGCCACAAGGCCTTGCGTTTCTGCGAAGCTGCAAGAGCAGATCAAGAGAAGGGTGAGTCCATGGATTGATTTTCCTACGAAAATACCCTAACTAACTGGTCCGCTCCATTTGCAGCTCAAAACATCCTCCTCTACCAACGTCTTATTCAGGTCATGGCGAAATTGACACACGGCGTTGAGATCGAGATCCAAAAGCACATGGAAAACATCGAGCTCCGGGTGCAGAGGACGGGCGCCATATTAGAGAACCTCGAGCCAGAACTCGACCGTTTGAGGGAAAAGCTGGCCAAAGTAGATGACTACATTTCTCACGACTTGGAAAACACGTTGAAGAAGTCCAGCGAATCAATCAGTACCGGGTTCAACGACGCCACGAATCTACAACAAATAATTGCGGTGATGATGCAGACTGTGCTTGACAGTACATCACAAGTTGCTGCTGCACAGGAGAAGAGCATGGAGGTTTTCGGCAAGGGAAGTGATGGGCTCGACAAGTGGGCCGATGCAGTGGCCACAGCTACCGAATCCGCTCTGTCATTGAACAGCCAAATTGTAGGTGACTTTGGCTCCAAACGTTGTTTACCACCTAGCTGATGGATATTATCTACCCCAGGAGCTATCACGCCTTGGCCTACAGGAGTTATCTGCACGTCAACAAGCACTGGCTGGAGGCTTGGATCGTCTCACAACTACTGCGGAAGACCTATCTCAAAAGCACGACGACCACGCCCGCGCTCTTGGAGAAGCCCAAAATATTACGAACGACATTCTCGGTACCCTCGATGAGGTAGCCGCCTCGGCCATGATCCTAGAAGAAGCCACACTATCCCTTTTTGGAGGGTTTGGCCTCTTCAAGTGGGTTTCCTACATCGTCAGTCCAGTTGTGACATTGATGCTTGGCTCATACGGTCTTGAGCCCTCAGCCATGCGCAACTTGGGTTTGGTCGTCCTGGGCGAACTCGTCGGCTTCTTGGTTTGTCATGCCGACCGCATCTTTATGCCATGGTCTTACTTTGCTACGACCAACGCAATGGCAAATGGCACAGCCACCACCCTCTAGTGCCTTGTTTTCCGTTGCGGAGCATTTGGGGGTGTCAAGCTTTAGATTGGGGATGGAACTGGGTGCGATGTATGTTTACAGGTTTATGGGTTATGGGTGGTTATTCCATCGGTACAATTTTGCTACTTCATGATGGGATCTGGGATGAAGATTCACTCTTGGGGAGATTGATGGCATATGGGCGGTAGCGCCAGATGAGATGATTTGCTATCATCGCTACACGTGCATCACTAAACATGAATGAACCTCATTCCACACATCTCTTGCAGTATTTGCCACCGTATCTTACACTTCCCGTCTGAAAGCTTTGCACGACAAACAGGCTATGGCATTTGCCCTGGTTAGTCAATGCCGATGGGGCCTACCTTGATAAACACTGGATGGGGCTACCTACGATAGTCATAGATGCTTGGTGAGCGTGTGCCTAGTGCACAACTCCTGGGTCATCCAGGTGTCACAGCCTTTTGACCACCAATTTTGAGGGCCGACACGAGATCTACATGTTAGATGGTAGGTTTCTCTGACCACTGAGGCTGTTAGTGGATTTTCTGAGTCCAAGAAAAATGGTGTAAAGGTTACTGGTCTGTTTTCATCGGGCATTCCAACAAACTAGGCACATATTGGTAATACTGGCAATACTGGCAAAGCCTAGTACTTGCACGTGAGATGAAGAACAGGAAAGAATTGAAAATTCTCCGGCACCTGTATGGGCATTTTGCACTGTAACTTACTCATCACGTGTGTGGCGTGATCGTAACAATTGTCTAATATTGAATTCAGCCCATTTCCTCCTTGAAGTCTCAGGCTAAGGGGTTTGTTTACTTTCGCACCGTCTCATAGTCTCAGGAGTATCAACCAAAACATAGAGCCTAAGAAATATCCCTACACACTAATTTGTTATAGAGTCAGTCACTTCTACTAATTTAGTTTATTCAGAAACAAAATGCTCGAAATGAAGTTCAAGGAGGTAAGATCCTGCGTACTATATAAATCTAGGAAGACTCCCAATCCCCAACCTCCTTCGATCTTCTTGTAAACCCACATGATCACCAGAATTTCTATTAATTCACCTATGACATACTGAAGACCTCTTCGGATACTACCGTGCAACTACACTCAACCTTATCTCAAGTCTACAATCTTGATCTATACTCAACCTTTGTTCAAGCCCACATCTCTGACCTAAGGTCAATCTTCACTCAAACCTACCTCTCTGATCTACACCCACGGGCCTGACCCCCACAACAACCGAGAACCTCCTCCACCCTACTAGATCTATTCAAAGAATACACCATGGACCACACAGCTTCTCAGAGTTCCAAGGCCCCGGCCCAGGACCCTCAAGGCCCAGAGCCACAGAGCCCAGAACCCCAGAACCAAGGACCTCAGAACCAAGCACCTGAGGACCCAGCAACCCAGAGCCAGGAGGCCCAGAATCAGGAGCCTCAGGACCCGCAGCCTCAGGGACAGGAGATCCAGGCCACTCAGTCTCAGATGCCTGCGCCACCTGCACCCAGCCAGACCACATCCGGGCCAGTGATGCGGTGCTGTGGTAAGGCAGATATCCGTGACTGCCGATGTAGCTGGCCCAGTGGTCCGTGTCAAGCGCCTTCGATCCTTCTCTCGCACTATGACCCTTACTGTGTCTGCTACTCCTGTGAGTGGGCCAGGGAGACGAAGGACCCCAAGATTCGCAGCCGGAAGCCTGGACAAGAGGGCAGGATCATCGACAACCCCACGTTCAGTAAGGGCCCATTCGACAAGCTGAAGAAGGTCGTCCCCAAGACCATGACCCAATTGGAGCTGATGCATCCAATCCTCCTCGACGACAGGTGCCAGCCCCGGCGCTGGGCATGGGTCATGACGCCCGTGCAACATGGCATGCTGCCGTTCCTGCCGGACAAGTACCAGCAATACGAGGACGTATGGAGAGTCACCCTCGACAGTCAGGGAAATTGGGTTGGGATCGGCGAGCAAGGCGAGCGCATCGATATTGAATTCGAGGCGCATCACTTGAGGAACATCCTCTACACCGACTATGGCTATCACCGAGCTGTCAGCCCATATTTAACTAATCACGAAGGACAATACTATCCCCGTCAATTTCCCTTGAGGCCTGAGGAGGTCAACCCACAAGGCTGGAGGCCGTACCCGCCACCCAACAAGTCTCGCGCAAATTCTGCCGCGTCGCACAACACGACCCTGTTCATTGGCGGCATCAACGACGAATTCGACGAAAAGAGACTCCGGTCCCTGTTTGAGCCGTTCGGCGAGATCAATTATATCTATGCTCCCTATCAAACTAACGGATTCGTGCAGTTCGTGCAGCGACGCGATGCACAGATGGCTATGCGTCAGATGCAGGGCGTCCCGGTGCTCAAATGCCGGCTCCGCATCTCCTGGGGCGACCCTACAATCATGTTTCAGCACCAGGTTCGTCTCAAGAAAGCGGGCGAGAGGCTCCCCTACAAGGGATACAAGAATGATGAACTACCGCAACACGGCTCTCAGGACAGATTGAGCTGGCAGTACAGCCCAGAACAGTTCTACAACAACATGCCAAATCCATCGTACCACCAACAGGGACGGCACGAGATGCCTCACAGGGCCGGTGGGGCTTTCCGGGCAATCGGAGGGCCTTCTCGAGAGGGTCCTCACTACCCCAATCACAACAACAATATGCAACAGCCACCGTACCACCAGCAGGGACAGTCCACTCAGCAGGGACAGTACCGCCAGCAGGGACAGTACGCGATGCCTCACAGGCCCGGTGGGGCTTTCGAGAGACAAGGTCCTCACTACCCCAACCACAATAACAATATGCAACAATCACCGCAACACCACCAGAGACAGCACGCGATGCCTCGAATTCCCGGCGGGGCTTTCGGGAGAATAGGAGAAGGCCTAGGAGGGCCTTCTCGAGAGGGTCCTCACTACCCCAATCACAATAACAATATGCAACAACCACTGCCTCCCCAGCAGAGACAGTACGCGATGGCTCAAACGCCCGGCGGGGCTTTCGGGAGACAAAATCCTCACTACTCCAACCAGCAACAGAGGTGGAATTTTTTCATGGCTCGACCAACACCCCGTCCATTCGCAGGGCCGCAGCCACCACTATGCCATCCATCCATGGCACCACAACCCCCAACATGTTCGCCACATAGCACCCGTAGTGGCCACTCATCCAGATTGAATCCTTCTGCTGCCTCCTGGACGAGTAGTTCGGCAGTGAACAGCCCAGCCAAGAACTCTACTGCCATGATCCCCAATCCTGGCCAACAAGCGCCTCAAGACCAAGCCCCACCAAGGGCGCCAGTGGCTGAGGTCGCCAGCACTACCGGCGCTCAATCTCAGGTTCCAGCAGCGCCCGCTGGATCCCCATCTGGCGTCGTCGCCCAAGAACCCGCCCCTCAGCACATCGTTTCAGAGGAGAGAAAGGATCTGGATCAGAAGAGGAGCACCCCGTCACCCGAAAGCGGCCACACACACACCCCTCCATCGTCTCAGGATGGACAACACACTACCAGCAAGACATCCCCCGAAACCAGCCACACACACACGCCTCCGTCGTCTCAGGATGGACAATACACTGCCAGCAAGACATCTCCCGAAACCAGAAGTGATGCCGATTCTGAGCCTCAGGCTGTGTCCGAAACTGATTCCAAGGAAGCGGCCGATGATGAACAAAGTCCTGACCTGCTTCAGAGTTCAGAGCCAGAAGCTGGCTCGGATGATAAGGTTGAGGATCCCAGGTCAACTGCATCTGAGTAATCCCAGCCTCACCATGCCTGTTATTCTGGGGCCAACCAATCTCTCGGCCCTGTGAGCGGTTTGGAGATCGGCCTCCATTGGAGGGACTGTTGCGCTCCTCGGTCAAAGTGGGAGTGTGGACAGGCCCAAATAAGAAGATATACACACGGCATCGAAGGACACTGTAAGAGAAGATGCGAAACCAGAAAAGAAAACGACAAAAAAAATTGTTTACTCCCTGCGAACAACCTCGGCGATTTATTGATTTTCTGCACAAATCATCGCATAATTGGCAAACCTTCTTCAGCCCTGGGAGCCGGCCGCACTTTGCCGCAAGCCCACAACCTCAGGTTGACTGTTTGTTGTCTGAGCTTGTTGGCATCACGATCGATTGACGAGATGACGTTGGAAATCGGGCGCGCCACAGGTGGCTGGAATCGAGAGCAACGCCAAGTGCCTGGGAGCATCCTTGTCGACCTGAGGGATGACCCATCTCTGATACAACCCACGCCGTGGCCTCGGTAGCCTCCACCAACGATAAGCTCCCGCCTGTCACCCCTGTCCCGCACCGAGGAATGTGGCACAGCTGGGGTGTGGCACGGGTGACATCACCTCGCATCGACCCTGACGACGACTCTACAATCCAGGCTGCTGTGCCACGGGTATATATCAGCGACCATGTTCTGTCGAAAACGGCCTTTTTTCATATTTGCTTTATTTCTGTTGTACAAATCACCTTGCAACTTATAGACAATTTCAATCTACGCCTCATCACCACCAAACACCATCATGAACAACAACTCAGACAACGGGGTCACTGGCGCGGCCAAGACCGTCACTGGAATTCTCGGGAACACAGTCTCTGGCCTGTCCAACACCGTCGGCGGTGTAGTTGGTAAGCTGAAAGCACCATCCCCGTGTGGGCGTCACTAAGTGCACGTCGGCTGAATTTTGAATTTTAAGGTGGAGCAACTCGCGGCCTTGGAGAGACTGTGAACGGTGTGACCGGAGGTGTTGGCAGGCCCGTTGGTGACGGCCTTGCAAATGTGGGCACAGGCGTTCAGAATGGCTTGTCTGATGTGGCCAAGGGATCGCGGGATGCGGGGAACTGGAAGAAATAAATGAATTTGGATTTGTCTCTTGGGATTGTCTTTTTTTTAATGATATCATGATGGGATAGTACCAGTTTACTACCACTGGACTTGAGTTGTCCAGTCTTTTTCAATAGCTATAGGAATCAAATTGATGCTTGTTCATGAGCTTGGCAACGCACCACATGCATGTGACATAAATATAAACTCCTACAGACCATAACTTCTCTGTGTAACATGAGTTGGTCAACCTCTCTAATAAAGATGTCGACAAGTTTCAGATGACCTGGAATTGCAGCATATCCCGGTCCAAGTATAGGAAGAAATACTACTCCGCTCGGCTGAAGGCACATGTCAGATACGTTTAGTCCTGCATGACGCTTGAGCTTCAGAGCGTCTCTTGCACAGAGATAGCCAGCCTTTATTGGTCAGATCCTCGAGTCTTATGGTCTCGATCGCTTCTGGGCTTGTCAGCCTCTGATGTAGGTTATCCCATAAGTAACCTTGAAAAGGAGCATGGCCTCAAGCAAGACTCGGTCATAATTGTTAACCTTTGGTGAGGCAGACGACGAGGGTAATCGATAAAAGGCCATTAGATATTGAGAGCTGCTCAGGCTGCCACCGGCCAGAGCCAGCCTGCAGCCAGCTGCGTGCCCCAATCCCCACCATCTGTGAAGCCTTGATAGTCAAAAATGTAGCTCCGCTTTCATCGCGAACTTTCGTGACGCTTTACACCAACCTCTGCCAAACCATCCTCTTGTTACAACACTCACGTGCAAAGATGATCAACGATAAAATTATGAATTCTACAGATATTTACGACAGGGCGACGCTCCCAGGCCTGCCTCGGGAGCTCCTCGATCAGATCTCGCTCGAGTTGGGCTCTGGCGACATTCCCAGCCTCGCCAGGCTCACGATGACCTGCCGCCAACTCCACGGCCTGTGGTACAGCCGAAGCGCAGAGGAGCTTCATCATGCTGGTGCCGGTCTCCCGCTGTCCACAAATGGTGGCACAGCTGGGACCTCACATGCAGGCGCTCTAGTTGGCGGTTTCGCCTGGCAGGCGGACAGGTCGATGCTCAACAAGCTGTTGCTGACCTTTGCCAACCCGCGGGTGCTGCCAACACTTATCCTGGTCGCTTCCACGCGCAGGGTCCGAAAGCAGGCTCTACAGGCGGCTTCTCTCGCCGACAGGGTCTCGATCTTGTCGCGACACTACTCGGCGGTCCGCGACCGGCAGCTGCACGGCGTCACTGACAACTTTAGCCTGGAGGATGCCTTCCAGGCCTTCTTGGTCAATGAGGCATCACAGGGGCTCGTTGCTTTCTATTTTCATGACCTCGTGGGACACAACCACTTCATGCCTCGTGTGAGCGACAGCCGGCAGCAGGGCCCAATGGCCCCTCTGCGGGAGCTCGAGGGCGAGCGCATCCAGCGTGCTCTTTGTGTCCACGAGCATTTCAGGTCCTTTTGTGGTGTCGACGTGTTCGAGAGCTGTTTCTCCCGCCACCTCGAGTCGTTCTCGAGCATCGAGCTGGTTCGAGTGGACACCATCACAGAATGGATACGAGAACGAGTGTTCTTTGTCTTTATGAATCATGTCCCTGGTTTCCGCAACAGGCGGTGCTGCGAAGACCCCGTCCAAGAGTACTGTCCCGCGTCCCTGCTTATGAGGCTCACGCTGAGCTTGGAGGACTTTCACAGGCTGATGAACGCCTCTGTTCGTGACCGTGCCCCGGACGAGGAGGTCCTTGACATCTTGGACCTCGAAAGAAGACTTGTCCTCCCTTCCGAAACAGAGCCGGGCAGGTTAGTCCCAGTAGACCTCCGTGCGATGTTCTCGATGGACAATGCTGCAGATAACGTCGAGGGGGCCCATGAAATTCACGGGCTCGTCCGCTCCATCGAAGGTGGGTGGGGCGAAACAGAATCTCTCTACCGAAGAAGCAACGTGAGCACAGAAGACCAGTTCCATGACCCAGACACTGGCCCTGTGGACTTTCTGCGCTGGACGGAGGACTTCCCACGCGGCGTGCACAGCCTGTTAACCGGCGTGACGGGGGGTGACATGCTCGACAGGTTCCGGCTGCTGTCGCTCACCGATGGCGAGCTTCCCGACAGCTCGGCATCAGAATCACCCTCCTGATGCTCCTCTCTGCGCCAGGCGTGTCATGGTCGCAAGATTTCTGCCGTGACCTCACCTCGCAGCGTAATTAGACAAAGAATTGACGTTTCGTTTCAAGTATTCTTCAACGAATTGACCTTTACGTGACGCATGACCGCGATGTACTGAACTTTCCATCACCTGATAGTAGACTTTGTGACTAGTGAATCCGTAGAACCTCGTGGCAGCTGTGTAGACAATCTTACTCGGTCGTTACAAGGACATATCACTCCAATTACTGAACGTGGACACATGGACATGTCACTTCACTTAGTGCACGTGTCAAAACATTATCAGGCCAATCAATCATTGGTGCCCTAATTTAATTATGCCCGAGTGCGGCGGACGGAGACTGACCCCGTCACGTCTTGCCCTTGCCCCTATCCTCCGACTCCCTCGGCTTCTTCGCATCCCTTGCCTTGGCTCGCTCCTGTTCCTCAAAGCTGGAGCTATAGCTGGGCAAGTCCTGCTTCTTCCGCTTCTTCAGCCCAGGTTCAGGGGAAGAGCGGTTGGACTTACGGCCCGTGGACTTTTTGCCTACGGAGGTAGCCTTGGCGGTAGCCTTGGAGGTAGCCTTGTCTGTAGATTTGGCCTTCTCCGACGCCTGTGGCGCCTTGGGTGGGCCTGCCTCGCTGCCTTCAGCCCTTCTGCCTGGTGTGGTCCGCGCCATCTTGGTTGAACCAGACACTTGTGGCAGCTTTGTTGGGGACGACGAGGCGCTGTCTGATACCAATGGTTGCTCATCCGTGCCTACGTCGCCTCGTCTGGACGGCGCAACCGAGCTGGGGCCCGTGGTCCTGCCGGTGACCGCGGCAGAGCTTGGCTGTGGGAGCGAGCTGAATGACTGCGACGCACCCGGCCGCGTGCTCGAGCTCTCTCGGTTCAAGGGCAGCTGCTCCTCCGCTGTCATGGGCGGCTTGGAATGTGAGCTGCCCGTTGGGAGAGGGTTCTGAGCGCTCGTCTTGGGCATCTTCTCCCGCTGCTTCGGCGAGGGCGCTTTCGGGGGCTCGTCATGTTCGTTTGGCCGGACCACTCGTGTCCCTGGCTCTGGCTGATGCTCGTCTCCTCGTGAGGTCTGCTGATGAGGTTGGCCTGTGCTATGTCCAGCCCTGGCCTCCTGCTCAACCTCAGCCGCCTTGTGGATGGCCCACTCCTCGAAGAGCTGCGCCGGCGGCACCTGCCCTGCTGGGAGGGGGTCTCTTGGCCGAGGCACCTCGCTGGCGGTCTTGCTGACGGACAGCACTTTATTCTGCGGGCCCAGAATCGGCGCAAAGTACAACATATACTTGTGATCCTGTTCACTTATAGACCACTTGTCGTTGTAAAATGACGCAAACTGTGGCTCCGAGCCCTGGGGGACGACTGGCCGGCCTTGCGGGTCGTAGAGACGGACGTAGTCATGCCCATCGGCGTCATTCCGCAGGCGGACGACAGCGATCAACGAGTAGACCCTGACGGTTCCCGTTTTTGAGTACACGGCTGTCATTCTGCCGCCGCCGCCAGACTCGGGCTCCCACTTCTGAGCCCTTGTCTTCATGGACACTCGGTAAATGTTTCGGATGCAAAAGGACTCAAGCTTCTTTTTCGTGGGGTCAAAGCAGACCCGAGCAATCTGCGGGAACTTGAACATCATCGTGTAAGTGCCGTGCTCCCCCTCGTGGACGGTCTGGCGAAAATAGTCTTCAAACACATCCGTGAGGTCTCTGTGGACACTAGTGTCCCACGTGAAGAGACTCTGTGATGTGCGGACCTTGTCCAGATCGCTAGGGGATGTCTCCAGCTGGGACGGGTCGTAGAAGCGGTCCTGCCCACGCGGCTTGATCAGCGATGGGTAAAATGCCTGCAATTCGATGTCCTGCCAGATGTTCTCTTGCATATACGGGTGCTGGTCGATCTTTTCGAAGCTCAGGGTCCCCTGAGCGCCGACGATGGCCTTGCATAATGCCTGCCAAACGAAGCGTCTCGACGTCTGGACATTCTTCCTCTGCGCGGGTGTCGTTGCCGTGAGATCGCGCTGGGCAAGATTGAGCAGCAGGTTGCGCTGGCGGTGTCTGTGGACCAAACACTGGGCGTCCTTGCGATGCAGGGTGGCGAGGATCTGCTGCATGACGCGAACCATGCAATCAACTCCTGACACAGTGCCACGCTCCTCAGAATAGGAGCTCGGTGCAGACACACGAAGGGTGTGGACAACCTTGGCCCATTGGTCTTCATCTTGAGTGTCCCAGTTGGAGATCGGGGCAACCTCGAGGGAGTCCATGATCTTAGATGCCATAATGTTGTTTCGCAAGATTTAAATGTACCCTCTCTGGTGTCAAATCTGGTCTTGGTGGTTGTTGTGTTCTTGGGGACAAGACTGAGACTAATTTTAAGATTATTATTCTTTTGAAATTAAGTTTTAAAATTCAATTATATAAATAAAAGGATATAACATATATTTATATATATAAATACATATGAAATAATTTCATTTATATAATACTATAAATATATAATTAAAATTATTTTTACTTATTTATATATATAAATTTATTTAATATATTTCTATTTATATAATTAAAAATAAATTCTTTAACTAATATTTTAAATATAATATTATAATACTTATTTATATATATAATTTTATTTATATATATAAATAAAATCTTTTAATATTTATTTATATATATAATGTTATAAATGTAATAGGAATAAAACTAGGGGAGCACTATTAGTTCTTTAAAGGTGCAAATAAACCCTATAAGCTAATAGAGTAGGCCTGGAAGGATTTGCTATATAATAAAAGCAGGTTATATAATAAAGTAAAAGGATAATTAAAATAATTAGAGTAATATTTTATTTTAAATAATTTAAATAATTTAATACTTCTACTACTTTAAATAAGCAATGCTTCAAGTAAGCTATTAAAAGTAATACTTCTATTGCTTTAGCTAAAAAGATAAACTATATAAATTATACTTATTATTAATAAATAGTATTAATTTAAAATAGCTTTTTAGTAATTAATTTAAATATTTACTTAAAATAGCTATAAAACTTTTAATTTACTATTATTATATATTGCTTAAAATATTATTATTTTAAATATTTTTTAAATATAAATTTATTTACTAGGTTTATTAGTTAAGAATTAATTATAATTATTATATTTTAATTGCTTTTATTTAAATATTTTATATAAACTTTAAGTAATAATTTATATAGTTACTATTTTTACTTTAATATATTTTTTAATTATATTTAAAAAAACCTTTAATAAAAGCTAGATAATAATAACTTTAAACTTTTATAAGCTTAATATTTTAAGATAGTTAAGGAGATTAAAAAACTTTATACTTATATTTAAAAATAAGCTAGCTAAAATAATAAAATAGAAAAACTTAAAGTTAAAATTAAAATATTTTAAAGTATTACTAATATTATTAATACTTTAATTAAACTTAAGGAATTTATTAAGCTTATTAATTTAACCCTTTATAATAGTTTTTTAAAATAATTATAAGTTTACTTTATTTAAATTAAGGCTTATTAATGCTTTTATAGCTTTAATAATTAGTTTAATAGAAAATAAATTATATATATAGCCTTTTTTTTAAAAAAATAAGCCTTAATATAGTTTAAACTTTATTTTATAAATTTTTTTAAAAAAGATAAGTTTAAATAATATAAATAAAAAACTTAAAATATTTTTAATAATTTTAAAAACTATAAGCTTACTTTTAGGTTATTTTTTTAGGATTTAAATAAAGAATAGTAAATAAAAAGGGAACTTATAAAACTATATTAAAAAAAACCTATTATAACTTATATTATAAAGTTTTACTAAATTTATATTAAAGTTAATTATATTAATATTATAAAAATTTTTATATTTTATAATAGGTTAAAAAATAAAGTAAAGGATAAACTATTTAAATTAAATTAACTAAATAATTTTATTTAATATATAGAATTAGCTATTTAAATTAATAACTGAATTTATAAGTATAAACTTAAAAAAAAGGAGTAGGATTTAATATATCCTTTTTACTAGTAAAATAAGCTAAGCTTTAGAAAATAGTATTAGCTATAAATAATAGCTAGTAAGTAGTATTTAAGCTTAATAAAATTTAATATTATTTAAAAAAAATTTAAAAAGGATATTAAATATTATAATTATAATAAAAAAGGATATTTTATATAAAATTGCTAAAGTAAAAAAAAGAATAATTAAAAATTAGTATTAAAGTAATAATAGGCTAACTTAGCTATTAAAGAACTTATAGAAAACTATGTGTTTATAAGCTAAATAGTATGCTATAATAATAATTATAATATATACTTTTTAAGTAAAGAAGCGTTAAAATAGTTTTTAAAAGTGTTTAAAAGTTAGAAAACTTTTATAATAATAAAATAAAAGTTATTTATAATTATAATTAGTATTAATTAAATAGTACTTTTAAATTTAAAAAACTAAAACCTTTATAAACAGGTAGATAAAGCACTTTTTATAGTATTTAATATTAATATTATTTAAATTATAATTTTAAAATAGGATAAAAGTATAATAATATTAATAGTTTATAAAGAACTTTTTATATTATTATTAGTGTATTTTTTTAATAATAACTTTTAAATATACTATTAGTATTTAAATTATAAAGAAATTTTATAAGCTTTATATATTTTTAATAGGTATAGGATATATTATATAAGTAAAATTAAAAAGGATTTTTTTTTTAAATAGCTAAATATAATAAAAATAGTAAGGCTTTATAAATAAAAGGAATTATAATATTAAAGTATTTAATAATACTTTTTAAGCTAAAAATATATAATTTTTAAATTTTAAATAAATTATTTTTTATATTACTTATAAAACTTTAAATTATAAAGGTATTATTTATAAATTAATTATTAAATATATTTTAAATTAAAACTTTAAAACTAATATTAATATTATTAATTTAATATAGTTTTATTATTTAATAAAGAAGATATAATGCTAAAAAACCTTATTATTATAATATAAGTATTAAAAGTAGTAAAAAGGCTTATATAAAAAGCTATTTAATAGATTAAAAAGATTTTAATAAAAAATTAGATAATAAAAAATAATTAAAGCTAAATTTAAATAAGCCTTAACTAACCTTAATTAATATAAAAAGGTTTTTTTATATAATAAATATTAAAAAATATAAGTATATAAAAATTATATTATAAATTAAATAATAACCCTTTATAATACTTTTAAATAGTAAAGTATAAAAAAACTTTATATTACTAATAATAGTAAATTAATATAAAATATTATAGTAATAAAAAATAAAACTTTATATATTTAATATTATTAATAAATAAAAGGTATTTTATAAAAATAGGATTATTAATATAAAAACTAATTATTTATTAATTATTTTTAATAATTATAAAGAAATTATTTAGTTTAATATTATAAATATAGTAAAATATAAAATTATATTAGAGATTTTATAGCTTAGAAAGAGTAATTTTTAAATTAATTAAATTATTAGTTAAATTTATTAAAATTAACTAATAAATAGGAAAATTAAAGATAAAGGAATAAATTTAATTTTTAAAAATAGCTATAATACTAGTACTTATATAAATTTATATAGTAAACCTTTTTAAAAATAAAAAAAGGATTTAATTATTAAAATAGGAATAGTTAATTTTTTAAATAAATTAAATAAATAATAATAGTATTTTAGTTTACTATAAATTAAAAAAAAAATAAAGTAGCTAGCTTAAATAGTATAATAGTAGATATAAAAAATTTAAATAATATTTAAATAAGTATATTATTTATTAAAAATTTTAAGAATTATAGTTATATTTTTAAAAAAAACTTTATAATA